ATATCCAACGTCCTAAACCGAAGGAGAAAAAGAGTGAACCAGGTACTATAATAACTGTATAATTATTGTGAACATACAAGCAAGCAGAACAGAGCTTCTTTTCGCAAAAGACTTTTATGTTTAAAGCAGAACACTATGTTGTAGCAATAGTCACAGTGTCCTTTCCCGTGGTTATTTACCGTGTACTTTCACTGCGATTAATTTGATAGCACATCAGATCCCAGTAGCTTATGTATGCATATATGTGCACCCAGTATGTTAATATAGCTATAATCATAGTTATGATTTTCCATTGTTAAATACGAATTATATATGGAGTAGTCGCAAGCTACGAGCAAAACCATGTTTGGTTTATTTCTTTTCAGGTATTCTCGGGAAAATCATGTTGTCCTTTAGCGCCTACACTAATGGCAAGAAGATATTGGGCACATCTCAGCCAAAAGGAAGTCTGACGGCCGTCAACGGAATCCGATTCCTCAGTATGAGTTGGGTCATCCTAGGGCACACCTTAGCTTTCATACTGGGAAATACATGTAAGTTACAATAAACCATGCAATATTTTAAGGTATGCAATGTACAACGACCATATTTTGTACGTACTAAATGAATGATCCGATGATTTAATCATGGCAACGTTTTGAAGGTATTATCAAATAAAAAACTCCACCAAAGGAACTTACAAAAATTTGATATTCATGTAATACAAAATTTTAATACACGTGTAATCTAATTAATTACACCTAGAATTTTACATTGAAATCTATGGTCAGCGCATGTTTTATTAAGATATTGTTAAAATTAATTTTGAACGTCATACAAATCTCTTGGGAAAATGTGCATATACTCTCTCTTTATTAAGATATGAAATAAATTGAATCATCTACCACAGATATTTTGAAAAAATTAAAATTTTTCTTCATATCATCAAGGGCAGATGAATCTCGCAAAATGACGGGCTTCTAATATGTTATCAGTCATGTGAATTTGGTTAACTTTACTTTCATCATTATCCAGCAATACATATTTAACTAGTTTAAAATGACTCAAAATTATTCAATATTCCTTCATTACAAATTGAATACCTTAATTTCCTATGTTTTAAGCCAATGCACTGAACATCCTTGACGAATTCCCTGACTTTAATTTGCATTACAATGATTTCAAAACCTTCATTCTGGAATTCTTGATTCACGAGAACCCCGATATTCTAACCTGTATTCACCCAGCAAGCCGGATGTTTAAGGAAATTTCTTCGTCTTTTTAATACGCTGTTTTTGTAACCCCTTTTCAGCCAACACGCTGGTATACTATTCCGATTTCATGGGTCGTGTGTCGTCCCAGGTGATCTTCAATGCCTTGGTGTCCGTCGATACATTTTTCGTTCTCAGGTAAGTTCTGAATCACTATCTTTGCTTACATGGGAATCGTTTTTTCAAGATTTTTAACAAATGAAAGTAAAGTCGCTGTTATCTGTTTAGTGGATTGTTGACATCTTACCTGCTGCTGAAGCAAATGAGCAAAACTAAGGGGCGGATCAACTGGTTCCTTTTTTATTTCCATCGATTTTGGAGGTAATGATGAAACTCGTAAAATTGATAGATAATTAATGATCATTGAATCCCCTTAGAAAGGGTATGATTATTTTGTTGAAAAAAATACTAGTTGCTAATTACTGGTACATATAGACCGTTTGCCGTATTCTTTAAATGGGAGTTTTCTAGGTTCTCTGTGGTTCTAATCCTTGCGACAAGATGTATAATTTTTCGATGAGAAACACCAAAAACAATAGAGTAGAGTATAAAGGATCAATCTAGAGTCTACGTAAACACAAACTACATATAAAGTCCTGAATAGATCAGAAAGATATAGTCAAATTTCACGTATCTTTAACATAATTATTCTGAGAATTTTTTAGACTTCGTTAATTTTGCAACTGACCATAAATTTGAAAAATGCTTGCGGCATATTTTTTCATTCTAAAAATTAGTGTCTAATTACATTTTAGTAAATAAAATTCTATAATTCACTGGGAATGGAATCGACAAACACGTACCACTACAAAAATTCTGTTAAAACTGTGTGTTATAACAATACAACAATCATTGTGGATATTTTCAGATTGACACCCGTTTACATGATGGTGATCGGTATGTATGTGACTATATATCCTCACTTGATATTTGGCCCTAACAAAACAGCTCCAGACGAGACATGTAAAAGAGCCTGGTGGAAAAACCTTCTCTACATTGATAACTTTTTTGGAGTCAAAGACTTGGTAAACTTAATTCTCAGACAAATTAAACTTGTAGAGATTCATATTTCTTTTGTTTGAGCAATCTTGATCATATAATACTATATAGTCTTGTATAATCACCACTTGTTTGAAATCGATTGTACGGGTAATAAGTAGTAAGTAAAGGAAAATTGCTAGACATATGTAACTACTAGACGTGTTATACTAGTATATGGAGGAAAATGGCTAGACTTTTTATTTGTGGAAGAAAATTGCTAGAGGTCTGGATGGGAATATGAGTATTTATCAACTGAATCTTATTCTTGAAGCTTTCATTCATTTACAGTGTTTAGGTTGGTCATGGTATCTGAATAATGACATGCAGTTCTACGTGTTAAGTCCACTTATGATTGTGCCGTTATTCTTGTAAGTACTAATAGGGTATTACGGTTGACTTTGGTTAAAAATTACATATACTTTTTTTTATTTTAAAATATTATGCTTACAAATGTATCTACCGGTAAGTACATGTAATTAAAGAATATGATATCACATTTTTCAGCGACAAGATTGCTGGGGCTGTTGTGACCTTGGTTTTCCTCCTGGCTGCGACCATCACCCCAGGTGTACTAAGCTATGTGAAAAATCTTCCAGTCCACACTATTGGTGGCGGTCCCAAGGACGCTGAGTACGTTTCACTCAACTCTTCTGCTATGTAATACAAAGTATAGGAACAGAGATATCTTGCTTTTTAACGGTTACAAGAATTCTGTGAGAATAAAAATCATCTAAAGAACAAATGTACACGATACTTGTTTGTTTAATATCATTGCCTTGAAACATTAACTTGACACCCTCTCCCCTCCCCACTTCATATCTAAATTAAATACTTTTAATCTCTTACAAAAAAGGAAATCATTCACACAAAAGTTTAAGGTATCCGAAATTAAGTCCCGCAGTAAGAACAAAAACAAAACCGTTAAGTTCTCCAAATCTGAAAAATCTAATTTTTTTTGCTTCCCTCGACTTCATATGACTCTTCGGCGTTACCGACTTACGAGACGTCCGTGTATCGGGAGGGGGGGGGGTCCAAGGTCTTTTTTAAGTTACTTTTCTTTGTAAATTTGATAACTGAAAATTCATGGGGGTGGGCTGGTCCGGAACGCTCCCCCCCCCCTCTTTCAGGTTTTACAAGATGTCGTGGTGATCAAAAATAGGAAAAGTAAGATAGTGAATTAACATAATTTTATTTTCATTTGACATGGAGAATACAAATTAAAAAGACCAATTGTAACAAATGTATTTTTAAAACTTTGTAGTAGAGGCGCCTTCTTTGAGGACTATTATATAGTACCATATTGTCGTATGGGACCATATATTTGCGGTGTTGCAACAGGCTACATACTCTATAAAACAAAATGCAAGTGCAGAATGAATATCGTAAGTTCTCTTTATATAATGTTCAATAATTCATATTGTAAGCGCATAAAAAAATATCGGTTCGTCACTTTCAGTAATTACTAGTAGCGTAATTAATGTTCGTTTGACCTTCCATAATAATTGTATTAATTAACATTTAGGTCAATCAGAAAATGTAATGCAAATTCCGCCAAATTGTGAATCTCGCTAAAATATCCTCATACTATATAGTTTACTAAGCGACGTTAAATGCCATACTGAATTTACAGTTCCTGAACCTGTTGGGATGGGCCGTAGCCGCAGCCTCTGCCTGTGCCGTTCTGTATGGTATTTACGACACGGTAAAACCAGACCAACCGGTGGCACTATCCAAAGAGGTCGCTGCCCTGTACAACGCCCTCAACAGAACTGTGTGGGGAGCTGCGGTGTGCTGGGTCATCTTCGCATGCGCTACCGGCAATGGGGGTAAACTAGTAATATATTTTCGCGTTTTATATTTGTTTAGTAATTTTTCGTCATTAACAAAATTGCCAAAAACAAATTAGTTTACATTCGACTTACGCCGTATTAATGTTAATATACTGAGTAAATACACGGATAAAAATGAGAAATTATATATGCATTTAGAATACATTTTTAGTCGAATTTCTAGGAGACAAAATTCATTTTTGTTACATTGGGCATTTTCATTGTTTATCTGTTGTAGGGTACATCAACACACTGCTATCATGGAAAGCGTTCGTGCCTCTTTCTCGACTGACATACTGCGCCTATTTGATCCATCCCCTGGTTATGTACGTGTACTATCTCAACAGAAATTTCCCCTTCTATCTTACTGATCTGGACATGGTAAGTGTTTCCGCTCTTCTGACGGAGGAATATAAACCATTCAAACGTTTCGTTTTCGTTGTTTCAATTTTATTTTTGGATATTCCTGAAATTTTAACACTAGGTCTACACCTTCCTTGCCAATCTCATGGTATCCTACGGAGTGGCTTTCATCCTCTCGATCGCGTTCGAATCGCCGTTTATGGGACTCGAAAAAGTCATGTTTGGAGGTCGTGGTAAAAAAGAAGCCAAGTGAAAATAAAGAAAGGGTTGTTTTCCACAAAAGATATGAAATGTTTCCACCCAAACATGGATTCTCTGTTGTTGTTTTTTTTAAACATGAAATATGGATGGTTTAAGTAAATGTTTTCTTTGCTACCAAAACAAGATTCATTTGATAGACTTAAAAAATAAATTGCTTTTTATATGATGTCTTTTTTTTTTTTTTTTAAATTTTGTTAAGTCATGAGATGAATTTTGTTTAAACAAAATATTAGAAAATAAACAAATATACTCTAAATCAATTTTCAGAATGCCTTGTAGCTGATGTTTATTTATGACATCTTTAATATTATAGGCAGCAGCAGTATTTATGTATCATTCATCAAAATGATCATATAAAACATATATAAAATGGACATGCACAAAGATTTCTTAATTTCTTAATTTTCCTTTAAAAATACAAACTTAAAAACTCACTAAACAGGAATAGTACCGCAAAAAAATGAAACACTTCCTTGTATAAGGAATGAAAAAAATCCTTGGAATTTTCTTTCAAGAACATGACTCTGACAATTTTCTTTACCTATAATATTATGAAATAAATTTTACATTCCCTTAATTTTTCCTGTATACATGTAAATTACATGTAACTTTAAAAAAAAATTAATATCATATCGACTAGAATGTCACAAAAAGCAGTATTTACTAGAGTAAATTATTACAAGGTGTATAGAGTATATTCGTAACAATCTCTTGAAAATAAAACAAGAATAATTGCATACTTTCAACTAGTTTCATTAAAATCATTTGATTCATTTCATAGAGGTTTATCTGAATCATATCTGTAAAATGTAACACATCATACAGTATATACAATCTCTAAAAATTGTTTTGGTTCTGTGAAAAATCTTTAAATTTACATTATCCAACTACATTTTTCGTCTCAAAGAATGTATGATTGACAATGTTGATGTTATCTATGAAGTTATAAAAGAGCACAGTTATTCCATACAAGGAGCTGGTTATATTAATTAGTCAAAAGTCATGGTTTTGATAAAAAGAAAAAAGAGAATCAAAGCTTTATTTAATGCTTCATTCACCTCTGTTTAAAATAAAGCCATGGTTACATGCATTTGGAAATGTAACAGATGTAATGATATGTCTTTTGTATAACTTATGTGAATCTATAAAAGCTCCTATTAATTATACATAACTAAACACATCTGCAAATAAAAAAATTAGTTTTGATCAGAAAAAAACTTCAAGCATATAAATCTTCTTTCAGCAAGTGCAGCAATATGTCATGGACATCTACATAAAATTGGAAAGTTCAACATGTTTAAAAACACGCGCACAACAAACAATGATGAACTTCAGCACCAAATTCAATCTTTTTTTTTAGTTTATCAAAAGATATTACTAGTAATCTGTATGACAAATTTGTCACTCAGCATTGTGGAGAGTGAAATATTGATGAAAACTTAAGCCAAATCTGTTCAAATATACTGATTAATTTTTAAAATAATCCAAAACTAATTATTCAACAAATATGCAATAAATTTCACCATTATCTGAGCAGTAAAGAAATCTCCTCAATGAAAAGTAACAAGAAGGAGAGAAAGATTTGAATACCCTAATGAACAATTTATGACTCTAATTTATCAGGTCTGTGATAAAAAGTATTCATCTTTGCTGAACTGCACATCACAATCATAAATAAGAAATATATGTAACTGATTGGTGATAATTTGTGTAATGAACCAAACTCCATACAATTACTTGAGGAAGCCCTGACATTCATCTAAAAATGAATCGTTCATAACAATCTACATACAATATAGACATAGTACATTAGAGCATGTTCTACTCTCTGTATCACAGTGATGTACATGCAAGAACAGTTTCTCATTAGCATAACATGACAAAGAAGATATTTTGATTCAAAATAGCACAGTAAAACTTCCTTGTATTATCAAGGATTAAGGCAAATATGAGCTTTTGTAAGTGGGAACAGTTGTTTTGTGACTTCAGTTGAGTATGGGTTCTTTATCAGATGTGTTGGTTCCGTGATGAATATCCTCAAGGTCCTCTTCAGGCTAAAGCAATCCGAATATGATGGTTAACAACAAAATCAATTGACAGATAGAAAAATTGTATATATCAACTGTGAATTAAATAGAAGATTTGTGAAAAAAAGAGGGGATATATTTAACTATCCATTTTGTAGGAAAAAAATCAGTCACGAATTTTAAAAATATTTTACCACTTGAACCCACCTTGCTAGACACTCTTTGCTTAATAAACAGAGCTACTGTGCAAATAATCATGAAGGCCCCCAAAACAATCAGTCCATACTCCACAGCTTCTGTTAGCTTGATAGGAGTCATCACTTCTTTCTTAAATTTGTCAGCACTCTTATCATCAATCACAGCACTCTACAACACAAAAAGTTCTAGCTTAGTACATTGGAACAAACTTAACACTGTGTGCAATTATCAGTATTTATTGTTGTAAAAAGTATCTACTATATTTACTGTATAATTGCGATTTACTCCACACACCTATCAATTGTCTATTTAATCAGACACATTGAGTCATCTTATTCCTTGATCAAGATGACATCTAATAACTGATAAAAATGTCTATCAGCATAAATTGAATCAATGGGGAATTCATTGTCATTGCTTCCATGTATATCAAGAATAGATAGAAATGCAAACATTTTAATTCATATTTTACCAAAAATATGTGACAGGACCAAAAGCAGTAATTGTAGTAACTGCTGTTATTCAAATTGCATGTGAAATGCATAAACAACATTTCAGTTTTCAATTTTCAAAATTTTGTTATAAATCTATCAAATGTAGGGTAATTTTGAATTTTTTGGTAAGATTAATTTAACCTCCAAAGACAAGACTTTTGGTTCAATTCTGTCTACTAAATCCACAAAAAATATTCCCCCCATTAAAAAATGTTTTGACTCCATATTGTGTACCAAATTTAGCCCTAGGAGAGCTATGATTTAATCACAGTTGAATTCCCACAACATGCTTTAATATCAATATGGCCCTGTTGCTCTGGAGCGGACTTTTTTTTTACTGTACACATACATTATGTAAAAGTATGGATCTCTGATTTTGGTCCAACCCTAACCCTGGGGTTCATAATTGAAAAAAATAATTACACATGACTTAGGTATGTTTGGCTTTTTAATACAATTTATTGTGATCCCACCACTTTTGGAGAGATTAGTTCCTATATACTCTCTTGTAGAACTCTGATCCCCTATTGTAGGCTCAACCTATTCCTGAGGGCCCTGATCTGAACAAACTTCAATTAAAGCTGCCTAAAGATGCTTGCTTATCAACATCACTAATAATGACTTTGCTGTTCATAAGAAGAATTTTAAAGATTTTTAACGTATTCCTATATAAAACATTGATCTACTAATGTGGCCCCATCCTACCCTCAGGGGCTATGATTTGAACAAACTTGAATTTACACTACCTGAGGATGCTCCTATATAATAATAGGCCCAAGGGCCTTAACGGTCGTAAAATAAACAGATAGATAAAGCTTTGTTGCCCAAAAGCAAGAGAAATAGAATGATTAAGATCAACGAAATACATGTAATTAGTCTAATTAAACATAGGTAATCAGAGATTACAGAGCTCACCTCAACGAATGTTGTCTTTAAGTAAGGCAAAGTCCCACACTAAACTAATAATCTAGGAGTGTGCATCCCTAGATGCAACATTTATGCAATTTTGGTCTGATAGGGCTTGCAGTTACTTGGGAGTGGACTTATCTGAAAACTTAAAACTAGTCACTCATTCAGAAAATGTAAGTCAAATCCAGCATCCGAAGTTTTGAGATTGTTCGTCCCTTGATGCATCATCCATGCAAGTTTGGTTCAGATAGGCCTTATAGTTACTTGGAAATGAGATCTGCTCCAAAAACTTTAATCTGGTCACTCATCCGGAAAATATTGGTCAGATCCAGCATCTGAAGCAAGTCCAGTAGTGTGCATCCTTAAATGTATCATCCATGCAAGTTTGGTCAATATAGGGCTTTTAGTTACTTGGAAATGACATCTGCTCCAAAAACTTTAACCTGGTCACTCATCCGGAAAATATAGGTCAGATTCAGCATCTGAAGCAAGTTCAGTAGTGTGCATCCTTAAATGTATCATCCATGCAAGTTTGGTCAATATAGGGCTTTTAGTTACTTGGAAATGGGATCTGCTCCAAAAACTTTAACCTGGTCACTCATCCGGAAAATATAGGTCAGATCCAGCATCCGAAGCAAGTCCAGTAGTGTGCATCCTTAAATGTATCATCCATGCAAGTTTGGTCAATATAGGGCTTTTAGTTACTTGGAAATGACATCTGCTCCAAAAACTTTAACCTAGTCACTCATCCGGAAGATATAGGTCAGATCCAGCATCCGAACCAAGTCAAGTAGTGTGCATCCTTAGATGTATCATCCATGCAAGTTTGGTCAATATAGGGCTTATAGTTACTTGGAAATGAGATCTACTCCAAAAACCTTAACCTAGTCACTCATCCAGAAAATGTAGGTCAGATCCAGCATCCGAAGCAAGTTCAGTAGTGTGCATCCTTAGATGTATCATCCATGCAAGTTTGGTCAATTTAGGGCTTATAGTTACTTGGAAATGAGACCTGCTCCAAAAACTTTAACCTGCTCCAAAAACTTTAACCTGCTCCAAAAACATTAACCTGGTCATTCTTTAGCTGAAATTGCAGCATCTGAAACCTTGACTGGTACAATGAAACACACTAGAAGCATCCTCCATGCATCTCTGACTAATATAGGCCATAGAAGTACTTGAAAAGAAAACTGCTCCAAAAACCTTAACCTGGGACGCCGACGCCGACACCGACGCCGAGGGTATTACATAAGCTCCCCCAACTTCGTTGAGGTGAGCTAAAAATGAATAATCATGGCTTTGTTGTTCTTAAGAAGATTTGTAAAGATTTTTTTCCCTGCAGATTCCCATGTAAAACTTTGATTGCCTAATCTGGCCCCTCTGGGGGATTGACTAATCACTACTTTTCTCTCTTGAGAAAAAAGATTTTCTATATCTTCGTTTGTAAACTAGATTTATTAACATGAACATGCAGTTTCTGAAGCAGGTCTATATGCCTCTCTAGATACATCATCCATGCAAGTTTGGGCAAGCTGTGGATTAATTTTTTTTTTTTTTGGAATGGGTCTGCTCCAAGAACTTTAACCTGATTACTAAATAAGTAAGCCATGTTTGTTAGATGCAGAATGCAATGCAAATCTAAAAGTGCATTAATTGATCAGGGTAGGGATTTTAGTTATTTGGGAATGGACCTGCACTGAAAAATGTAATTAACTGATCATTCATCAATATAATCATTTTAAAAAAGTAGATCAAATGCACAAGCAGGCTGGAGAGCATCCCTAAATAATTCATGCATGTCTGGTGAGAGAAGGGCTTATATCTTAATTTGAATAACCTGTCCAATACTTCAACCTGGTCATTCACTCATCTGGAAAATGTACGAGAAGTCAGAAGCAGTATCTTAAGATGGTCTGGTAGTGCACATCCCTGGAGACTTCTATGCAAGTTTGGTCCAGGTAGGGCTTATGATTTTGCTCCTGAAATTTTAATTGGGTGTAGCATAAGCTTATCCTCTATATTTATAAGATGGCTTTAAAAGATTTTTACAGTTTTTTTCCTATATATTCCTATATAAACCTTTGGTCTCCTATTGTGACCCCACCCTACCCCTTGGGATCACGAATTGAACAAGCTAGAATCTTCACTACCCGAGGAAGCTTACGTATTGATAGACTAGTCATGGGTTTGCTGTTCTCGAAGAGAAGATTTTCTATACAGTAAAACACTCTTACAGCAAACATGCTTACAATGAATTTATGCTTAGAGCAAAGTGATTTTCATTCCCCTCACTTTTAAATAGTATGAGAAATTTTAAGGATATTACAAATTACGTCTATAACGAAGCAAAATTGTTCGTCCCTGGCACTTCGCCATAAGTGTGTTTTATTGTATATTCCTATGTAAAACTTTGATTGCTCATTGTGGCCCCACCCTTCCACCAGGGGGTCATGATTTGAAAAAAAACTTGAATTTACATTAACTGAGGATGCTTCTATATAAATATGACTAATTATGGCTTTGCTGTTCTTCAGAAGAAGACTTTAAAAGATTTTTCCTACATTTTCCTATGTAAAATTTTGATTGCCCATTGTGGCCCTTACGTACCACTTGGGAGGAGAAGGGGGGGGGAGAGAGGAGGGTTTCATGATTCAAACAAACTTGAATCTACACTACCTAAGGATGCTTCCATATATAAATATGATTAATCATGGCTTTGCTCCTCTTGAGAAGAAGATTTTTAAAGATTCTTCCTATATAACCTATGTTAAACTTTAATTGCCTATTGTGGCCTTGCCCTAGCCCTGGGGGTCATGATTTGTAAAACAAAAGGCCCAAGCCCCTTAATGGTCACCTGAGTATAATACAACAATTTGGAAAATCGATAGAGTATAAAATAAACTGATAGATGAAGTTTTGTTTCCCAAGAGTAAGAGAAATAGCAACAAAATAATTAGTCTAGTATTCAGTAGCAACTCATAAAAAAGAAAGTTCTATTCTGTCCCACGTACATCATTATTACCATGCAGACTATTAACAAAATATAAGTGCATCAGTACTATTTTCACCTCTCGCATTGGCCTATCTTGGTCTTTGAAGAACATTTAATGAGATAAGTTAATTTTTTCTCATTTTTATTTATCAATTATTTACAGGTCTACCTGACCATTAAAACTATGAAAGTACTTTTTGTATTATATAATTAAAATTCTTGCATAATTTTTTATTCTATTAGCCTTTTAAATACATTATTTACAGTGATTTATTATCAAAGTGAATGGCAAAGGAAAATATCTTCTTTCAGTAGAATACAAATTGAAAGAGCCTGGCCAGGACTAGAACACTTGACCAAATGGTCCAGATGTTCAAAAATCTGGTAAAAATACCCTTACTAATTAAAACTTTTACTCTGCCTCCCATATGCCCAGAAGCAGAGAGGATTTTCAAAGAAATGCATTTTCACCACAGATTCAACACAGCCCTACCCTAACACCAGAACCCATGACCCGGGGTCATGAAATTCACAAAGGATGATGTGACATAACTGCTATCTGGGGCCCCTTTTTCTACGACGAATTATATTTAATCTACAACGATTTTGATAGTTTTCATACATGAGTGATAAATACGATGCCTTTTGAATAGTTTCAACAGTTCTGACAAATTTTAATTATAAGGATTACTGTTTTATCTATGATTTTTTTACCCTATGACAGCAAAATTCGGCCTGGTTTGTGACAATATGATCTTTTACGAAAAGAGAATAGGCGGGGTTTAGTACAATATAGGGGTATGCATGTCTGAGGAATCTACCATATAAGGCTATTGTTATTATTTCGCACATAGTCGCTTACCGAGAACAATTATCCAATCCGATGACAGAACGACAAAACATGCTGGTTTACAACATGTTTACATTTTATCACAGGCACGTGGTTTAGGTCAATTTACACAATATCTCTACTACATTTCAAACTTTTAATGGTCAGCCAAGGCTATTTATACATAATAATACGCATGGAACTGCAGTGTTTACCGTTTAGGGTCAAGAAATGCACATGAAACTTTTATTCACTGATTCTCGGGAATACGTGTAGACCTAGCGAATTGCCCACCAAACGCTTTACAAAACTTTTAACTATGTATATTTATAAATCAATTGTTTGTAAATGTGAGCTGGGGAATTGTAGATCCGTGTCTAATCTGTGACTCAAATGCATAAAAAATGTTTATCGGAAAGCAGGTTAAAAAAACAATCCAAGCATAAAATGTCCTTAGTATTTTTGTGGTACTCACTAGTTATGCAAAGCAGGTTAAAAAAACAATCCAAGCATAAAATGTCCGTAGTATTTTTGTGGTACTCACTAGTTATGCAACTCATTTAGCTGATTGGTCAGTTAGAAAGTATCGCCAATGCCTTGATTAGCATATGAATTTATTCTTACGTCAGAAAAAATAGTTTCGTCAATCTGTTCATAATGGGAAAGGCCAGCTACATTTTACAATTTTTTAAAAACATGTGAGCGCAATTAGGTACATTTTTCTCCTTTCACATATAGGTAGATTTCAATAATTAAAAAGACAGTGACCAGCCAAAGGAGAAAAATGTACCTACTTGCGCTCGTATATTTCAAGGGCTTCAAAGAGTGGGGCGGGGCCAAAATTCAATAGGAATTGGATGTAAACATGGTACCCCTACTCAAAATAAAGACATATATCTTCCAACTTATGTTTTTATTTTCGGTAAAAGTAGTATTTTATGAGGGTATACATATCAGTGTTTAAATGCATGCAAAAATTAGAGTAAACTTTAGATATTTAATTTTTTGTCAATTTACCGGGGGCCGTATGTCACATCATCCTTTGAAAGAGGTACCCTCATCATCATAACTATCCACTTAGCTGAAGATTTTCAAAGAATTAACACATTTTCACTATATTATCAATAGACCCCTCCCCCCCCCCAGAAACACTAGATCCCCTGACCCTGGGACCACACATTTTAAACATTTTGTAAGAAGCACCCTTGCTAATCATAATTATGCACTCTGTTTATCTGCTCAATACTAAGGACCAGACAGGATTATTTAATAAAATTAATGCATTTTCACTATATTATCAATAGAGCCCATTCCTTATACCAGTACATCTGACCCAGGGGCCATGAAAATCATAATTCTGGAAGAAGCACTCTTGCTCATCATAGCTATACACTTAGTTTCTTTGATTTATAATCAGGCACAGAAAAGAATATTTTCAAAGAAATTATGCTTTTTCACTATATAATCAACTATAGCCCCCTCCTTTCACCAAAACCCCCAACCCTAGGGCCATGAATTTCACAATTTTGGAAGAGGGATCCTTATTAATCATAACAATGCACTTAATTTGTTTAAACAATACCTAGGAGCAGAGAAGAAGATTTTCAAAAAAATAATGCATTTTTACTATATACTATAGAAGCACAAATTTTGGTGGGGATAAAATTCTGTTGTTTTGTCATCTAGGAAGGTTTCGTGGGCATTAAATTTCGTTGTTTTGAAAGTAACCCTATTCTATATACAGTTATATAAAAATTTCGTTTGGGATTTAATTTCGTTGATAATTGTTAACAATGAAATAAACGAAATTAAATCCCCAACGAATATTTCTGCTTTTACAGTAATCAGTAGAGTCCCAACCTAACACCAGAACCCCTGAAGCAAGAGCCATGAAATTCATAATTTAGGAAGAGACATTCTTGCTCATCATTACTATGTACTTCATTTGTTTGTTTGATGCACGGAAGCAGAGAAGAAGATTTTCAAAGAAATAATGCACTTTCACTATATGATCTTTATAGCCCCACCCTAGCACCAGAACCCCTGACCCTGGGGCCATGAAATTCAGAATTTTGGTAGAAGACTCAATGCTTATTACAATCATGCCAACAGTTTGACTGCTTAATGTTCAGGAGTAAAGAAGATTTTTAAAGATTGCATTAATTTTGGTAGTTTTAGCCTCACCCCTCAGGCCCCAGTGGGGCAGGGAGCATGAAATTCACAATTTTTGTTCCCCTTCTCCCATAGTGACTCAGGTGACCTAAAAACTTGAATCTACACTATGTAATGAAGCTTTCACATAAGTTTCATCTTTTCTGGCCCAGTAGTTATTGAAAACAAGATTTTCAAACCAGAAGTCTCTGTCAAGACTGTAGCTCTACTGGTTTGTACTTATAACAATTAAGGAAGAGAAAAGTAGCACTTGGACTTGAAACTTTGCAAAAGCAATAAATAAATAGTAATCCTTGTTTTACCCGCTTTTTTGTGGCAAGATGAATTGCAATCAGACTAAAACTGTAGAAGGAGTAGCCTTTTAAAAGAATTTAGAGAAATTTCGATTTTAGGTACCATGGCAACATTATTCATCAAAATCAAAAAAACAATTAAGACAATTATGTATCTCAGTGTAGTCTACTTGCATGCCATGTTATATTAAAATCAGACCAAACTGTAGGCAAATTAATATTTTGAAAGTATATCAAAGAAATTCAATTTTTTTGTAAGCATGGCAACACTTCATCAAAATCAAAAAATTGATATACAGAATTATGTTTCTCAGTGTAATCTACTTGTGTGCCAAGTTATATTGAAATCAGGCCAAAACTGTAGGAGGAGTAGCATTTTGAAAGTATTTCACAGAAATTTCTATTTTTAGTAACCATGGCAACACCGTTCACTGAAATCAAAAACCGATAAACAGAATTATGTATCTTAATGTAGTCTACTTGTGTGCCAAGTTATACTGAAATCAGACCAAAACTGTAGGAGGAGTAGCATTTTGAATGTATTTCAGAAATTTCTATTTTTAGTAACCATGGCAACACCATTCATCGAAATCAGAAACCGATAAACAGAATTATGTATCTTAATGTAGTCTACTTGTGTGCCAAGTTATATTGAAATCAGACCAAAATTGTAGGAAGAGTAGCATTTTGAAAGTATTTCACAGAAATTTCTATTTTTAATAACCATGGCAACACCGTTCACTGAAATCAAAAACCGATAAAAATAATTATGTATCTTAGTGTAGTTTACTTGTGTGCCAAGCCATATTGAAATCAGACCAAAACTGTAGGAGGAGTAGCATTTTGGATGTTTTTCACAGAAATTTCTATTTTTAGTAACCATGGCAACACCGTTCATCGAAATCAAAAACCAATACACAGAATTATGTATCATAGTGTAGTCTACTTGTGCGCCAAATAATATATTGAAATCAGACCAAAACTGTAAGAAGAGTAGCATTTGAATGTATAGTCTACTTGGGTGCCAAGTTATACTGAAATCAGACCAAAACTGTAGGAGGAGGAGTATTTTGAATGTATTTCACAGAAATTTCTATTTTTAGTAACCATGGCAACACTGTTCACTGAAATAAAAAAAAAAGATACACAGAATTATGTATCTTAGTGTAGTCTACTTGGGTGCCAAGTTATATTGAAATCAGACCAAAATTGTAGGAAGAGTAGCATTTTGAAAGTATTTCACAGAAATTTCTATTTTTAGTAACCATGGCAACACTGTTCATCGAAATCAAAAACCGATATACAGAATTATGTATCTTAGTGTAGTCTACTTGGTGCCAAGTTATACTGAAATCAAACCAAAACTGTAGGAGGAGTAGCATTTTGAAAAATTGTTTACAGACAGCTAGACAGACAGACAGCTAGACGGACAACGGACAACTTACTATCGCATAAGCTCTTCTGGTCTCTGACCAGTAGAGCTAAAAATGCCATTATTTTGTTACTAATTCTTAATTTCTCCCCTCAAAAGAAGGTGTGGCCCCTCTTCAACCAAGGATGCTTTCTGGCAAGTCTGGTTGAAATTGGGCTGGTGGTTCTAGAAAAGAAGTTTAAAATGTGAAAAGTTTACAGATAACACAACAGATGGAGGCCTGACACCCTTTAATCAGAAAAGCTCACTTGAACCTAGTAGAGCTTAGTATCTAGTTTTAGTGAATCAACAAGTCATTAAATGAACTACAGTTTTCTTCCAAATGCTTAGAATCTGGTATTCATATCCCATGAATAAATTTTTGTGGTATACACTGTAATGCAACTGCAGAAATAAAACGAATTTGATGCCTTTCAGGAGTCAAATCACAAAAATTTTCAACCGCAGAAAATACCCATTATTCATTAGTTAAACTGACCTCATTTAGCCACAGAACTGGATAGTATATGTGATTTATGTTAGCTGTATCTCTGAAAATACAAGACAAATAGAAAATACAAGATAATTACAAAATACAATTATATAATACAAGACAGTTCTCTGTCTCCATGCACCTGCAGATGGATTAATAAGAAATTTTAGAGATTGAAAAAAAGTGGATCTGAAAACCAAATCAATTTTCATATTCAAATCCTGCAGAATTGAATTTCAAACTTTATGTACATGAAGGGGCAATGGATATTAGTAAAAGATTTAAATCAAAACACTGAAATTATAGCATTCTATATGATATTTGGGGAAAAGTTGCTATCATGTGTAGTACTTTGTTTTAGGTATTGCCATGCCTTATAGCAAACAATTAGATTTTTTTTTGCATTAAAGAAAGAATGAATTGTTTAGAACCTGATGTGGGACACATTTCTTATGTAGACATTTAACTGCAGCCTTTTCTGAGCATTCATTACCACTCCAGTTAACTGAAAAAAAAATGCATCCATTTGTAGCTAGATTAAAAATAATAACAATAATAGTTTATTGTTTTAGATGACTGCTACTCAGAAACTTAACTTTTATCTTTGCAGCACTTTCTAATTTGCTTTTAATGGAATGTTGTTTTGTTCCAGTTTAAACAAATATATAAATATATGTGTTTGTTGAAGAAAGAAGGGGGGTAGGGATCTAGAATTTTGCTCAAAAAGAAACTCTAGTTTTGAACAGTAATAAAAGCTACTACAGAAAGAATCCTGTATGCTGTATATTAATAAGTATCAAACTTACAGGTTCTACATCCAGAACTGTTCCGTGTTGTTCTGGATCCGGAGTTAATCCGATGACCTGATCCTGTACTAACTTCTTATCAGCAGCTAGGAAGTGAGGCTGGGACATGATGACTGGAGCTCCTGGAGTGGACAATATGACATAGCTGTTCTCAACTACTGAACATTACATATCTAACAACTCTTAACTGCTATCCCAAAAACTCCACATTATCAAATAATATTTCCATTTCTATTTGTTTTCTCTGTGATAACTCTCTGAAAGTTAGGAGAGTTGATTTCTTGATCATTCCACCGGAATGTAAATTTCGCCAAGCGAAAGGTCAGGAGCTAAGAAGGCCTAATATGCATGTAATTCTCGTGTGGCTGTCTTTGTGTCAGACTCTTAAGGAGGCCTAATATGCATGTAATTCTCATGCGGCTGTCTTTGTGTTTGACGTCAGTGGGCAGTGATTATTGAAATTGACATGTGAGGCCTCGTGTAATTTAAATCTATTAGTGTACATTTTTAAAATCTAAATTTACAATTTCATTTCACAATGAAAAGGAAATATGAGGAATCACTGTCTAGTTAGTAGAGTATGCGAGGGACATCAACGATAGTTGGAAACGTGGGATAATTTATGCATAACGGGCTTCGCCCGTTATGCAAATTATCCCTCGTTTCCAACTATCGTTGATGCCCTGGCATACTCTACTAACTAGACAGTGATTCCTTAAATATTTCCATTTCATTGGAATTTCTAATTATTTTCTCTGTGATAACTCTGAAAGTTAGGCGAGTTGATTTCTTGATAATTCGACCGGAATGTTAATTTCGCCAGGTGAAAGGTCAGGAGCATTATATGCATGTCAATCTCGTGTGGCTGTGTTTGTGTCTGATGTCAGTGGGCGGGGCCTATTGAAATTAACATGTGAGGCCTTTTGTATTTAAAATCTATTAGACAGCATTTTTAAAATTTATATTTAAGAAATAAAGTCCGCGTTATCGTGAATTTTGCAGGATAATCTCCGAGGTCGAGAAATGTTGTCTGAAATAAAAGCCGAGGTGTTAGCTGAGGCTTTTTATATTTCAGACGACATTTCGAGATCGAGGAGGTTATCCTGCATCATTCACGACAACAAGGACTTTATTTCTATTCTACTAACAGCTCTAAAATACGGCTGATCGAATTACATGTAGGTCACCATGTCGCGATTTCGCTGTTCCATTTAACACCAGAGGGTCAATTTGTTTTTTATACTTGTGTATTAATTGCATAAATGCAGACGATTTCAGCTTTCGTTGGATCAAAAATATCATTTAATTATTTATAAACTTGTTTGTAACATACATTGATTAATTTTTATGAATGTAAAATAACAATATCACTTGTCTATTTCATTGCTTTATCTGTAAAATCATGGAGTGTAAATAAAAATGGATATTTATCAACTGTTTCAGGCAATACACACTGTTTAAACTACGTAAGATGACACGTCTATATGGTCTAAATAAATATTTGATTTTACAGTGAAATATTTATTTCAACTGTACAGGTTTGACATGTGTTTCTGATCTGATAATTTTTTGATGACGTTCGTGATTTATTGGAGAATAATGTCCGCTGCATTTCTTTGACCTTGTCAATAGCTGTGGTAGAATTACAATTTTATTTCAGAATGAATGTAAATACAGTGTATAACGATAGTTGGAAACGGGGGATAATTTGCATAATAGGCAAAGCTCGTTATGCATAAATTGTCCCACATTTCCAACTATTGTTGATGCCCTGGCATACCCAACAAACTAGATAGTGATTGCTTAAGTATGTCCTTTTATCAGTCTGATTGTAACTAATGAATCAGATTATTACAAGCAATTATGAATCAGATCTGTAAATAATGCCCCATAATTTCTCCTCCCTTTTTTATTGATCCTAAATTTTTCCTAAATTTGCTAAGTTTAGTACTAATTAATGTATGCAGACTAACTTCATATAAAGTTTTAAACCTGTAAAAGGTTGGAGATCACTGTCTGGATAAGTAGTGTGTTAAAAGCTAGATGCACTTTTATTATCAGTGTTAAGAATCTTGTATAATTTGTACTTAGTCAGTAAATGGTATGTAGAGCATCCTCTTTTATCTTATTTTCTGAGGTCATGTGCACTGACTGTTTTGAAGTACAAAATGTGACCTACAAGATAAACCCTGTGTGTAAGTGCTTAAAAAAGAATACCCACATAATCAACAGGTGTAGAGAATATGAACACATATCTTATAACATAGATGTTTGCAATGAAGAGGCCTATCATATCTATTATACTGACATTGGAATACCAACTTTGTTTACAGGTTCCGATATTGAGGACACCTATATTGTCTACAGATGCTGATACTGAGGACACTTATATTGTCTACAGATGCTGATACTGAGGACACCTATATTGTCTACAGGTTCCAACATTGAGGACACCTATATTGTCTACAGATGCTGATATTGAGGATACCTATATTGTCTACAGATGCTAATACTGAGGACACCTATATTGTCTACAGATGCTGATACTTAGGACACCTATATTGTCTACAGATGCTGATATCGAGGACACCTATATTGTCTACAGATGCTGATACTGAGGACATCTATTTTGTTTACAAATGCTGATACTGAGGATACCTTACTTGTCTACAGGTTCTCAAACTGATACCTTGTCTATAAGTTCTGATGATAAGAACATCTACCCCGGTACCTTGTCAACGGCTGCTGAAAACATTAACACCTATTTTGTCTACCAGTGCTGATATTTAGAACAGCTACATTATCTACGAATGCTAACACTGAGGACACATTCATATACCTTATTTACAGGTTCTGAAACTGTAGCACCTGTCTAACTGTCTAAATGTCTGTATTAACTGTCTAACAGTACTGATGCTGGGACACCTACCTTTCCAACAGATTCTGATAATGAAAACACATTCTTTGTCTGCAGGCACTTATAATGAGGATGGTGCTGATATTGAGGAAACCTACCTTGTCTTTAGGTGCTGATGTCAAGAACATCTTACCCACAGGTGCTGATACTGAGGACATCCTGCCCACAGTTGCTTACATTGATGACATCTACCTTGCCTGCAGGTGCTAATATTGAAGACACCTTGCCTAAAGGTGCTAATATTGAGGACATCTTGCCCACAGGTGCTGATATTGAGTACATCTACTTTGTCTACCAGACATTATAGAACATAATTCTATATTCAGAATTCAAATTCTTGTCAACTGATATTTAAAATATATACTATAAGTTATACAATGTATACCTAGTACCATTACGGAACACCAGCCTATTTTCAGGTGTGCTTAGAATGAGTACACTCACCTTGTCTACAGGTGCTGACATTGAGGAGTCCTGAGGGCAGACAGAGATCAGGGCGGGTACAGAATCCCTCATTATCTGGGTTCAGTTTGTGGTTGAGAAAAACTCTGGGTGGAACAGCAAATCTTAGCAGATCAATGCCCTTAAGTTTCACCTCTTTCTGATACACAGTGTATATAGATCTACAATGCCATATGATGTATAACACATGTATAATCTCTAATTAATTACACAGAATTTATCAAAATGCTTATATCTTCTTTTTTTAAAGTTTTGAATTACCTGCAAATGTCAGAAGAAAAAATGTACAAAGTTTTGCCTTTATCTTCAAAAGGTGGAAAAATTGTCCCATCTAACAAGAAGAAATAAATCAGCATTTAATTTGTTAAAAGACAGCTTAAAAACTGTCTATAATTTTTAAAGTAAATAGGCTCTACACTGCTGAGGTTATAAATCACTAGGCCCCTATGTTAATCTTAACTGATCTTTTTGGCAGGTGAATGATGTTTATCAAAAATATTTATTTAAGATTAACATTGGCATTATTCAGGATTCCATGAAATACATCTGTAGCTTTTGTACATATGACATAAAGAACACCTATTTAGATTCAATTCATCATTTATACAAGTTTGGTCCAAATATACTTTGAATTTCTTTGTTCATGAATAATTCAAACTGGTCTAAGTACATGTATATTTTGAAGTTAAAGTTGAAACCTGGATACAAAAAGTGTAAAATGGATGATGATTCCTTTTAGAACAAAGTCAAAATTTTCATCCAGATTCTAGAATTCTAACTCTCCCTTTACTTGGTGAGGATGTCAACAAAATTTATCATAATCAATGAAATAAATGATGCGTGCACCTGTAGTCAAAATGTGCTTGAAGACTGTTTAAACATCGGTACAAAATAGCTTTTATGTGCTCCCAGTTCACATCACTCATAATTATACAAATATTCTTTAAAAATTTTAACCAACAAGATTTAATGTCTGTGTGGTTTCATAAATGGCTACCCAGATGGACCAAAAATAGATTTCATAGAAAAGCGGTAGATTTTTCAATAAAAACTGTAGGCAGGAGACGGAATACCAGTAAAAGAGCAATAGAATTCCCTTAAAGTGGTAAAGATGTATGATGACTTTGGAAAATAGCAAAATGCACAGATAAAGTCTAGCAGAATTAAAGAAATCTCTCAGCTTAAGTTATATCTTCATGGATTGACAAAAATAAAACACATTGCAATATTTTCTATACAGTAGGTCATGATAAAACGGGTAAAAAAAAAAAAGAGGCCAAAGCGCTGTCTAAGAGTGTTTAAGCATATCATATCTATGTAAACTTACATTTATATTTTGGCATCATGAATTTGCTGATCAATGAACTGCTTCAAAACATGAAAATCATTATAAGGAGTACTTGGAAATAGACACGCCATAAATATATTAGGTAACATGGACACAGTGCAGAGGCTATTATTTACCTGTTCCATTTATCATATTGCATGTGCGTGTACTCCAGAAGGGAACAGTCCTGCAAGTTAAAGGGAAATATGTCAAAATAGGACAGCACTGCATGTAAATTAAAAAAATGGTTTACCAGTAATGAATGATGAGATTAAAAATCTTATAACTTACTTTTCTTTATTCCACAGCTGAATTTCATTAAAATTTTCCCATGACTTTGTTCCGGAGTATATGGTATACAACCCATCATCTGTACCATTTTGCTAATAATTGTAAAAAGAGTCTTATGTTGGTATCAATATCTCCATTAGGCCACATAAAATTAATTCTTTAAAAATCCTCAATCCTGATTTACAAAAATCATGGGATGGTGGGTGGATTTTATCTTTTCTTTATTTTTAGAAGTACATTAATGTATTTGTATACCCCCCCCCCCCCCCCATCACCACACTTTTTTAATGCTAAATCGAGAACATAAAGATTTTTATCAGTTTTACTCAGTACACAAATTTAATTTCTACAATACTAAAGTTTGTATATATTCTGATTATTCTCTCTGTATACCAATATTGATTCTTTCTTGTTTGTATTTTTTTAAAAAAAAAATCTAAAATGAAATCTGCTACAGCAAGACAATGTCAGAGGGATGGTAAGGGATGAGAATCTGAAAATTAATTTCATTTTGCCTTTACTAATAAAAGCAATTATCATTATGATAAGGGAACAGACTCTGGATTTAATTTATAACAACCTTAAATACAAGTACATGTAAATGTAAATGAAGTTGCAAAAAACAGAAAACAACACCATTTACCTTGTAAAACAAACCAAATTTGTCATCAAATTCAGTAGTATTGATGTATTTTTGCACAATGGCCTTGATCTTTTTCAGTAATGGATCCTCGTAACCCCACATGATGTCCTTGACAGACAAGGTTGTGAAAAGGTTACTGTCATCTCCCCAATCGAGCACTATTTCTACCAGCTCCTGAATCCAGGAATATTCTCTTCTAATAATATCAGCTATAGTCTGAAACAAAAAAAATGTCACTTTTAATGTTTTACTCTTATAAGCTTCATACTCATAATTTTACCAAAACATGCGCAAAGAGGTATATCATGTTTACAAATGAATACAAGGAAATAGATGTGCAAAGTATATCATGTATAAGCGGGAAAAATATTTAGCATTAAAAAAAGCCTTTTCATTTAAATTTCAACAGAAGATAGAATGGCATAATTAGCATTTACATTTACAGATTTAAATATTTTGAAACACTCACCACCATGATGAGATTAACAGTGGTGAAATTTTCCTCATGTGGACCCACTGACTTCTCCAGATCAAACACAAAGCTCCTATTTTCTCTGTATGAGAGTGTTCCATTATCAAAATGAGTTATCTGCCACTTTTTCCTATGTTCCCTATAAGTGTATGGTCCTTTCTCTACAAAGGATGGTTTGGCGCCATGTTTGACGACCTCTATGGGGTTCTTTAGATCTTGTACATAGATCTGAAAGTAGATCGGGACTGGAGGATCCAACCAAGTGTTGTATGTGTCTGTTCCTTCCTTCAGAGGTATTGACTAAAACAAGGGAAAAAAATAATTGTCAAGTTCTAGTTTGAGGGCGTTTTTATTTTGGGAATGGACTCTAACAGAAAATTTAAATATGACCACTCATCTCCAGATAGAGTTATATTCATCATCTGAAGCATTGCTGGTAATATGCATCCTTAGACATGTAACTTTGTGCAAGACTGGTCAAAATAAGATTAATGATTATAAATAAGAAATGGACTTGCTCTATAAGAACAGCTTATCAGGCAATAAAATCTAGTAATAAGCAAATTTGTACAGTTGTTGCATTCAGGGATTATGCCAATGATGTTTTGCATTCTACATGCATCCTACATCATCCCCTTGAGTACTCTCTGAAGCAGGAACTGCTGGTATACTTTAGTCATAGTGTGTTAAACATGGCCAGAGATAAGGCCAAAAAAGTGAGTCTAGGGCCTTTTGATTTTGTGACTTTATGCCTCAGATCTCTTAAAGTCTTTATTAGTCCTGGTAAAATTGGTATACCAAAGTTTAACTAAACTTTTAATTTTTCTTCTTTGGATGTTATGAACCTCAGTGATGTAAACAAGTCAAAGGGCATTCATAAAGCTGAAAAAAAATAGTGTTAATAAAAAAACCCTTTATTTTCATCCTTAGAAAAATAAATGGTCCTCAATGATACTGTTCTGGATCATATTCTTTACATTTCTGTGTAAAACTAGTTTGCCCCTCTTATTTTGCTTTTCACTTGCCCCAGGATCGTGATTTGAACAAATTCAAATATATGTTTAAATATGGAGTTTTGCCTTTTTTGTCCTAGTGGTTCAGAAAATTCTTATATGACTACATCCTATTTCAACTTTTTCTTAACACATCTTCCCTTAAATAAGGAAGTTGCGATTCTTTTGGGAAATTTTTTTTTAAAAAACTTTATGTAAATACTTGATTAATCTTGATTGCTTAACTTAACTCTTCAGCAAATTATGTATATAATCTCATAGGTGCTTGTCAGCTTAATTGGTAAATCAACATACATATACTGTACTATCTGTATATAATATTAGAACTAGAAGGTAAGCTTTTTATTCAAATAAAAATAGCAATGAAGCTCAGGGGTGCCTAAATGAATGGCATTTCTAGAATTATCCTTGTAACTCCATACATATATTTAGAATTTACTTCTTTCTTCATGCATTTCAAATTTTAATCCTGATTCTTGATACATGCATGTTAGATCTATATATTTTGATGGGCATTTCGTGAAATAACACGTTCATACATTGTATAATATTGTACAAACCTGTTTGATTTTAGAATCTATAAAATTCTTTAAAACAGGAATAAGAACACATCCAGCAATTAGAAAAACTAAGCCAAATATGCCAAGGCATATTATACACTTTGTCATTCGCTTTGCCATCGTCTCAAGAGGCTACATTTGTACTTTGTCATCTGTGAGAGTGCAGTAACAGATTCACTAAACATCACGTGAACATCATTCATCTTGATACCGTGCCCGATCATAATTCCTTCGGAATTTTTTTTTTTAAATCATGCCGCCCCGGTTTTGAAAAATACCTCTGTACTGGTAGATATATTGGACAAGAACAAAGAGATAAAAGAATATGTGAAAATGTAATTTGAATGTAGTGGAAAATGAAATACATTTTACCATAGATTGTCCTTTTTACAAAGAAAAAAAGAACCAAACTTATAAATGAAGCACAGAAACAATAAAAATTTTAATAGCTTAGATAGTTCTCAAAAATATTTTTGGATCATTACATGTGAAAATATGAATGTTTTACTTCAACTTGGAAACTACCTCTCTAATCATTTAATATGACATTGTAAAGCACAACAACTTGCTATGTATGTATTTTACTTTTACAATTTAAAAAAAAAAAATTATCTCCTTATTGATAATGTACTGCCTTTGTCTACTAATGTATCTTTCATGCCTCTCTGGGGACCCTTGATTGGAAATAAATATTGTCTTTTCTTGTGAATAAAGTGTGGAAATTTTCATTTAAAAAGGCCGAAAAGACTCCTTTTTTGTTGCGGACTGATAGTATATACATGTATGATTGACCATGTTGACCCGTCCCCTAACCTAGGTCACACAAGTCGTTTGACCCCCACCCAACTCACAGGGGCATCTTATCCGCTCTGTTCTCTAGTAATAGGGAACAGAGTGGATAAGATGCCTATGTGCCCCACTCAAATACTTTGCATAGCCGTAAAAACCGGGTGGGCACGGGGAAGCCGTGCCCCCCCCCCCCAATAATTTTGCCGAATACAATAGAAAATATAGCTACTGTATGCTTGTGCCCCCTCAATAATAACGTCAGATGACCTTCTTTTTTTTGCTTGTCAAGGAATTTTGGTAGTGGATAGTGCCCCCCCCCCCCGGCCCGAACTGAAAATGTATAGTTGTGCCCCCTCAAAGTGAAATTGCTTCCTACGGGCCTGTTTTGGTGTGAGACTAACGATGGTGACCTAGACTAGATCCTCTCCTCCTCCACACACACGGTATATTTTCTTTTAGCTTGTTAGAGCCCGAAATCGAACCCAGGACCCCTGCATCAAAAGGCCGGCGCTATATCGACTGAGCTACCCAGCCTATGGCACGCCAAATTCACGAAAATGAGCTAAACATATTTTCACAGTTGAAACTAGGTTTATCGACTGCAAACTATAGTTTACTTACCGTAAACCATAGTTAACGACGTTAATCTATATTTCACATCTCTAAGCCATAGTTAATGCCTTAATCTATGTTTTACAAGTGTAAATTATACTTAATACCGAAAACAATCATTTGCGATTGCAAAACTATAGTTAACAATAGTTTTGTCCATAAATTATAGATCTAGGTTAATCCTAGTTATAGCATGATAAGATTTTGCTATGCAACGATTATTTTCATTGGTTGATTTATTGACATGAAAAGTAAATAATCTGTCATTTTAAAGCAAATCTAGTTGGAAATAAAAAGAAAAACGACAGGAAAATTACGGAGTAAAATTATTTTTTAATTTAAAAGAGAAGAGAGAGAAAAATGCATTTTGAGTTTGTAATCAAACTTTTCTCATCAGCAACGGAATAAATCACTAACATTTAGGCTATCCTTGCCGTCTTGAAATCCAACCTTTTGCGCTGATCAAACAAAAATGACTGAGCATTGCTGGTATGAAAAGAGTTGCTGAAAGCTTGACTTATGATATTAAGATTATCAAGAAAAGAAATCACTATAGTAATTCTGTTAAAATGGAACAGGATTTGTTTTCCGTTTTTATACAGAACTTACGGCAATGACGCACATTCAGTATTGCTGTTCTCGCGATCGGTGCCGCGAGATTTTGAATTGAAAACTATCGATCGTTAACAGTTAATAGGTGTTTAGATTTATAAACTATATTTAACAACTCTTAACTATATATATATACAGTTTACGAGTGTGAATTATAGTTTATGAATTTTGACGATAAACTATGATTGGCAAATGTGAATCATAGTTTATCTCTCTACACTATAGTTTACGATCGTTAAGTATAGTTACCGTCTGCTAATTATACTTTATGAGTATTAATGACAGTTAACTATAGTTATATAACTACATAACCAGTTAAGTTGTAAGAACTTGTTTCTGATCCATTTGCTATGTCAATAAAATATGTTCAAAACTATAGTTCACGACTGAAGTCTATAATTAACGAATGTAAAACAAAGTTTATCTGATAATATAGTTTCACGATTTGTGAAACTATGATTAACAACTCTAAACTATGGTTAATGAATGTAAATTATAGTTTACAAATGAGAATCTGACTATATTTAACAGCAAAATATATTGTTAACGTTTATTTACAGACAGATAAACTTAGGTTAGCATTCGTAAACTACACTTTGCAACCGTTAAATATAGTTTTACAGATGAAAACTATAGTTAACGAATCGTTAACTATAGTTTACAGTTCGTAAACTATAGCTTACAATCAATAAACCTAGTTTATCACCTGTTAAACTATGTTTATCTATAATTTTTGTGAATTTCTCGTGCCATACCAGGCCGATATCCCCTACCTATGACTTTTGAGAATAGACCCCCTTTGAACTGTTGAAACCTTGTGCTTAAATGTCTTTAACCACAGCAGATGGTAGTGATTTAAAAGTTTTGGGGAAGGTTGACTAAGAGATTAGGATAGGAGATAATTTGTTTTGTCATGAGTTCATTGTCACTGAATTAGAAGATATATATATATACTTCGAGACAATTTTTTGCTCAGGAAGAAATGTTTCCTTTTTATTCTGATTATAATTGAATGATATTTCCTTTTTCGTTCATCATTTGTACCAGTGCACCAGCACACTGGATGCTAAATAGCGATGTTGGTGGACGACACCAACTGACCGAAACTATAAAGCAATTAGGATGATACAAGTTACAAGATATTTTATTGACCAATCAACAATGATCAAAGGTCCCGGAAAACATTTTAACATAAAAAGGTACAATTTAAACACATTATCTCAGGGTAGAAATTAATAATAATGTACAGTACATAGATATCATGTAATAATTCATGTTAATTATTTCTATCTAAGATTTGTTTGACAATTTACAGATATTTGCATATTTGTTTTCAATATTGATCAAGTTTTTTTTTGTTTGTTGAAGAGAGTTTTTTTAAATTTCTCTATACCCCTTTCTTTCTCTCTGTGTATCCTTGTATGTTAGATTATTTGAGATATATTTTAATCTAGCCTTTTTAATTTCTTTTATGTGCATACAAAAACATAATGAAATTCGTTGCTGAAAATTTTCGAGGCAAGATAAGAAGAAATTTTTCTGGTTAAAATTTATATTTAATACCCTTAGTTCAAATTTATATTTAATACCCTTAGATGAATTATAAACATTACTTTTCTAGTTTTGGATATTTTGGTCTACAAGTTTTCTTTTTATTTAATTTTTAAATACTTTTAACCTAATTGGCCCAAGATTGGTCATGAAATGCTGCCAGTGCATACATTTATCCATCGTCTGAGAAAAATGAAGTTTTGCCCCGAAAGAAAAAAATTCTCACTTAATATTAAGATAAGTGGAAAGCAACAAAGTTCCTCATATAGAGGACTAGCTATAGTAGCTCATTATAAGCATTCAATTTGCCTGCTAGATTCCCATGGGTAATGAAAAATATTTTCAAAGAATTGATGTATTTTCTATATTTGACCAAGTTGGAAAAAGGGGGCGTATTTTTGCTCACAGTAAATTGAATCAGTTTCTTCACTTCATGTAAATGTTCTCTTTAACACTTTCAAAAAAAAGTAATGTGGTTTCAGTATAGACTAACTTAGCCCAACCTTGGGACGTGAACGCAAAATCCAGGAGTCATGAATTCTATAATTTTGGCAAAAGGGTTAAGCACTCGATGTAATCATAAAAAACGGTTTTCCTGCTGGATGTCCATGAATATTGAAGATATCCAAAGGTGCACTTTTATTTTCAATAAACGGCGAACTTAGCCTCATCCTGGGGCATAAAAATGGACCAAGGGCAATAAATTTTACAATTTTGGTACAGGGCAGTTTATTATTATGATGGAAATAATATGCCTGTTGGATCATGGATGCTCATTAATAAAGGAGAATTTTTTTTAAAAACATATTTTATTTTTAAATAAAACCGACTAAGTCCCATCCTTAGTCCTGAATAATGAACCAAGGTATTTGTACCATGTATATGTACCATGTATATGTACCATTAATGTGTTGATGCATATATTTTCAAAATGTAAAACAATCTTTTCTGCTGACCCCAATGTACATTACACACCATATAATGAGTTTTACTTGGATATTTTAAATGAACTTTGTCATGGCTTGATAGTCATAAAACAAATAATATACAAGTAGTATGTAATATAAGACAATGGAGTCTTAAAATAATATGCAATCGGGGACCATCCAGAACACACTAGTATAATATACTGGATCCTCAACTCAAATAAATAAAACGCTGTCATCAAATGACTAAAAACAATTAAATTTCAAAGCAAATACACGTGTATAATTTTCATGATAAATTAACAAAAAAATCATTGAACATTCAGATTTCTGTGGCACAGGACTGGTGGATCGGCGGTGAAAAGCATCGGACATTCTCCATAACATTCTCTGTATTTTCGTCTGTTTTCAGGTATTTGTTGAAAATTGCAAAGATCTGGTTGTTTAATATCTCAAACCTTCTTATGCGACCTGTCACTTTAGACAATTGCTAAAATCAAGATAAGAATTTTATTATGTTGTGATTTTGAATTTACTATGTGGAAGTACGTACAAAATTTACAACATGATCTTGATGAACAAAGTTTTTAACAAGAAGCCAACAGGCCACAACACTCACCTCTTTTTGACATGATGGATAAGTAGATTTAAAAATCCTTACGAAGCCATCAAAGTAAAGTCAATGATTTCAACAATTGTAATTTGCAGTATAAAATCATGAGGTTTAATGTCAGGTTTGCTTCTCTTTCAAAGAATTTTTTAAATGTATTACTTTTGTGATTCTATGTTAAACTTTGACCCCTAATCTGTCCCCTTGGACCAAGAATTGACATCATATTGAGTCTACATTATATTGCTTGCATATACATGTAGCAATACACATGTACCTAGAATTCTGTCTCTGCATTTGGTTAAGTGTAGCTGCAGAACTGTAGCGTTATGGTGTTATATTTTAGATTTTGACCATAGCGTTACAGATAGAGATGATGCAATTTACGGCGCAAGATTTTCTGCGCAAGGTTGGGGATGTTTTTCTCCACTTTTTACAATTCTAGACATATTCTTTTACCAACATGTATATTTTATCCACCTCCTAACCCTTTATAGACATCTCTAGCGAGATATCCTCAGTAAGTCAACATGGCTGTTGGAAGACAGAAAATTCAAAACAAGTGAATTTATTGGTCTGTAGAGATGACTATAAAGGGTTAGGAAGTGGATAAAATATACAGGTTAGTAATAGAATATGTCTAGACTTAAGGAATGAAAGGTAGTTGATTGAGCATTGCTGTAAAGTGGAGAAATACATGTCCAACAAGTGAGCAGAAAATCTTGCGCCTAAATTGCACTTTATTTTAATATTACGGGATCTCTATCTAGCGTTATGGTCAAAGACTAAAATGTAAAACCATAACGCTAGCTACAGTTCTGCAGCTAGGTTGAGTGACGTTGACAATGTGACAACTGATAAAATTCGATCAGAAAAACGAATTCTATAATAATATAAAAACACATTGTTTTCTCAGTTATCAACAACTGTCAAAATATTCTTTTCACGATTTATTGTAGAATAAGAATGCAAATGTAAATGTAAACCATATCCTTTTATTTACGTACAGGTATTTAGACATTTTAAATATGTAACAGACGACTTACATGGCCTTTCACGGTACCGTCCTTCTTGTCTACACGGTTGACTTTAAGGAGATGGTAACAGAAATCTAAAGCCTCAAATCTACGTTGCTGTGACAACAGGACAATAAGGGCGCATCCAGCCCAGTTCAGTCCCTCCCCAAATAATTCTCTATGTAAATAAATACGCCATTTTTTATAATTTAATTAATGTGTAGCAAATTTATGTCATTGTCAGAAGTCTTTCCATGAAAAAAAAGTTTTATATATATATATATATATATATATATATATATATATATATATATATATATATATATATATATATATATATATATATATATATATATATATTAAGAAAACCTTTATGATTTGTGAACGACCAAATAAGCAACGGCGATATTTATATGAGATTTATCAAGTAAGCTCTTCTCTTACTCGACCGAGTACTCGTTTTCCCTGACTGGCATACAGTACACGAATTGTATGGCACTCCAGAGTCGATGGAACTCTGTACATTCGTCTATATTTATCACTCCATTTTTGGGATGTTGCCCATGCCATATATCACTGTCTAAGAATGCTCTGATTTTGTTGAGGACAACTTCAAACATGGAAAGACCGCAACACAACCGTTCTTTGGTCAATAAATCACTTGAAGCAACAAGCAGTTTTTGCTGTATAAAATAATCCAAAAATATTTAAACACAAATTAGCCAAAGGAGTGGAAGATCATCCCATTAGACACAATAACCTTGTTAACGGTTTACCTGGGAACTTCCGTGCCTGTTGATGACCGGGACAATCTGTTGGGAGGCATACTTGACCTCTAACTTGTTTAACTTCTCTCTGAGTTCCTGTTCCTTCTGTTTACGATCATCACCCTCTATAAAACAAGGACACCTAGAATAACTTATTGCTGAGAGTTACCCATATCGGGAGTTTTGAAATTATTCACTGCGATTTCAAGGAGGATTATGAGATAATAATGCAAACTAATCATTTTTGAACGAGTTCAGGATTGTCACTTTTAATTTTTTCACTCTTAACTAATTTCAGGTAAGGTATATGTAATACTACTATTTAAAACAATTAAAGTGTAAATATTGTCTTTGCATTTAATTGAAAATCTCATTTAGTCAACCAGAGACCAATATACTATACAATAAATCCCTGATTTAATAAAGATTTTTTTTTTACCTTTAATTGGAACGAATGGTTTGGGAATAACATTCTGAAAAGGAGCAGCCTGTTTCAGGTCTAATATCTCTTCCTGAACCTTTAGTAATAAAACGGTAAATCTGTGACATAGTAATTTACTAATATCCTCTACAATGATTGTTTCACTATAAACCAAATGAATTGTCAAACTGTGGAGTTCAGATAAAGTTAAGAAATATTTGCGGATAACAGATGCAAATATATGTTATATCTATCAAATAATTAAAGTGATCTGGTGATTCTAGCGGAAGGACTGAAAATCCAAATGTTCTTTTATATAAAGAGACAAAGTCAATCAATAAAGCTCAATTGAATCATAAACTAAGTTATCTTAATTTCACAAATACATGTAATATAATAATTTAAAATATTCTAATTGCATAAGTTACGATTTTTAAAAATAAAATACCAGTGATTGTTCCATGAGTAAAGTTAAAAGTATGGCATTGCCAATTTCACGGAAACTTTGAAAGACATCTGTGCGCAAATCCGGATACTGAATGACGCCAGATAACATTTCATGATAATATTCCATTATAGCTACAAAAAGAAAAAAAAACCATGAAACGTAAAAGTGTGTTTAAAGAAGTTTTATTAGTTTTATTGTATTATTGTTTGTCCACTTCTAACTTCATCATTTATACACTGGATTATTAATTTTGGAAATTGAACAGCACCTGACCATGCCGACTAATAGATATTTTTTGCGCGGTTGAGTGTGTTCATAGGGAGAAGGTTCCGATGATACATATTTCCAAAAGATTTCAACGAAGGAAAGTACACTGAATGTCACTATTTCAGCTATTTTACCTGGAGATCCGTATGCATACAGTTGTAACTTGCAGACCGGTGGCATCCCCGAGAGCAACGTCTGAACGTAATCCATCAATGTACCCTTCAACTACAGCAAAAAGAACATTTTTTTTAAAAACAAATATGCCTCCTTAAAGAAAGCACGTCTAAGTCTTACATTACTCAACCTTAGATTTAGATGAGCTTGATATTTTTTTTAAAATCAAATTACTTACATTAGTTTCAACAACCTTGACTATTTCCTCTATCACAAGAGAAATTCCCTGGTAACCAAGGAGACGACAAACAGACTGAAAGTGAGGCAGACCTATAAAACCTTGATATGGTTTGAAAATGCTTGCAAATGCCACTGACAGTTCCTATAAAAGATTTTTAAAAAAGACGTATTTTGAACTGGGCAACATAAGCAAATTGATGCTGAGGTTTGAATAGAAAGTGAGTATCCTGATCAATTATACCTTGGATCCCCACGTTAAAGTGTGGGAGGAACTGGGTGCTTTCTCACGTTCACACTGATCAGCAATCAGATAAGTGGCCTTTATAAACCTAAGCACGTGAAAAAGATGATAAAAAAGGAGATTATGTTGCAAATTGTAAATATTTTTACACCTTGAACTGCTGCTTTAAATCATACTAGTCTTACCTATTATTAATTATACTAGTCTTACCTATTATTAATTATACTAGTCTTACCTATTAGTTGCTGCATTGTAACAGTAATGCGTTAAGAAATCATAGCTGATTTCCCAGAACACATGGAGAGTAATTCGTCCAAATGGACTGGAGACCTTGTTGTCAGCTTCATGTAGCATGCTATCAAAGTTATCCAATGGAATAAAGTCTTTCATCAGTTTATGAGCCAATTTATTGCACTTGATAAGTTTCTCGAGTTCCTGAAGAGTTTAAACACATATTTATTAGTATATCAGCTCTCCCTAATAAATCCTTTCTTGATATTGTCGCTAAAGAGGTTTTTTTCTGAAAATTAAAAATGGCAGCATTTACCAAGATGCCTGTTAAATCGCTAGCCTCGAACCTCGCTATAGCAATGTCCAGGGCTCTCTGGAGTGATGCGTTGATACGTTGACCAATCAAGTGCTTGAGATCAATGGAACGACCCAGAATCTTCATGAAAGAACATCGAAGTTATCATTTGCAATACGTGTATTTATCAATAAAATATTACTTTCTTAGCATTTAAGATTTTTTATTCTTACAAGAAAACAGAATTACCTGTACTTCCTGTTGCCGTAACAGGGTATGATACCTGTTGGCTGTAGGGTACGGAATTTTGTGTCCTTTTTTGGCACACTCTGCCCGAAAAGTCTTGTCTAACATTATGCTTTAATTCAATGATACATCTATGTTACAACGTGTATTTTGTTGTATATATGTGGATAAGATAAATGGTTTCCATTACGTAGAACCTCCAATGCAGTTTCATAGTTAAACTTACCTGCCTGCTAGGTGTTTGTAGTAGGCAAAAATCTGTTCGCTCAGTTTGTAGACAAACTGATCAAAGCACAAATTTACCTGAAAAAAAATTAATTACACATTTATTTTAAAGCATTCTTGTAATTTTGGAAGACCAAGGTCCAACTTGTTGGACGATTATTCAGTGATTTACTAACCTCTGCCTCGACTTCATCATACAGGAATTGTTTGTGGAATTTCATGATGGCGTATTGACCACTGTCATTGTATAAATCCAGAGGATACAAAATATACCTACAAAAGGATATAAGAAAGGTCTATAACATGAAAATCGGTCCTAATGTAATTTTCCAAGAGGAATTTGTAGACATTTCACTTGTTCAACACGTAAATTGCTCTATATTATCTTACTCCATCATTGAAGGGTCTTTGGTTTCCAGGATGTGGTCTGTAAGAATCCAAGGCATGGACATATCAATTGGAAACTAAAAATGTAAGTTCTTCATATTATATTTCATGTCTTCTCAATAAAATATTTTGGTTTCTCATCGCTGTATAGAAACGTCTACTACATTTGTTATAACGACTGCTAATTAATAATTAATAAGAACCTGTATTCTTTGACCCATGGTCATCTCCAGGAAATATTCTCTGAACCATAACTGAGAAAGATCACCACAAGCATGGAGGGACTCTGAAGTCCAAAAATAGCATTTAGGTAAGTCGTGTTAAATGCATGTGCTTACAAAAACGATCAATTTTTAAGATGCTGGTTTTAACACATTTTGTATTCATTGATGTTAAAAAAGATAAGGAAGTGAAATAAGGTACATTATCTGTAATGACGAAAGAATTTTTTCAGACTCTGTAATACTACGATTTACTTGCAGAGGATCCCTTTCCACGATTTCAATATCTTTGTATAAAGTGCCAAAAAACCTTCCTTTTACCATCTACTTGTTTTTTTCTAATACCTGGTATATAAATATTGGATTGCAAAATCAATTCTCATGTGTGACAGTGTTTTTTCCCAGAAAACCCGCCTTAGTTATAAGCAATCTAATTAAAATTAGATGTTCCGAATCCGCTATCGCTTCTCAAACAGAAGCGATAGCGGATTCGGAACATCTAATTTTAATTAGATTGAGTTATAAGTATTTTCCATGTTTAATAGTTTACTATATAGTGCTCACTGTTGAAATTAAGTAAGTAATTCCAGTAAGAGGACTGCTTTAGGAACTGGTTGATGGCAGTCACGTGATTGGGATCTAGTTCCTTCTTCAATGACCTCTTTACTCCTACGGCACTCCTGTCTGTAATCGACTCCAGCATTGTTCTCACCATGTACAACTGTTTGTTGTAAATATATATTTTATTAGACCCGTTATTATGTTACGAAACTAAACTGCGGGAGTTTGATCAATTGATCAAAGGATATATATATATATATATATATATATATATATATATATATAGAGAGAGAGAGAGAGAGAGAGAGCACAAAGAATTCACTTTTGTAAGGATACCCACTTCCGCCCCAACCCGGGGTTGAACTCTCGACCTACGGAACCTGTCTTCTAGAAGTCCAGGAACACAGCGCGCTAGACCGCTCGGCCATCTAGGCAAGTCAAAAATTTGCTTTCGATGCCGATGGAATTCTCGCGGAGCAACCCTACACTACACGGTCATTGAGAATGGAAGTGAGATACAGTTATTTGAATATTAGTTTTATTAGAGGATCGTTACCGATACACATTGTAATGAAATTCTTTATGCTTTCTATATTATTTCTTCACTTAGAATTTCTTTATGCTTTCTATATTAATATTTCTTCACTTCACTTAGGGCAGTTATGTTAGTTTAAGAGTTGTTGTAAAATGTGCTTATATATATATATATATATATATATATATATATATATATATATATATATATATATATATATATATATATATATATATATATATAAAACGCTAAAAAAAACAACACTGTATATCCTATATGTTTCGGATCTACTAAATAGATACAAGGTCACGGATGGAAATTTAACTAAAGCACTAAAAATGACCAACCAAACGAGCAATTAAAAATTGTCAAATTTTCGGGACGCCCTTTCCCATCCTCAGGATATAGAAAAGATTAAAAAGACATGATAAAACAAAACAGATGAAAACAAAAAAAACATCTAGCACAGTGACTATACAACTACGCTTCTAAAAATATTTATTGCACTTTTACTTTTGGAATTCCGATGTTCTCTGCTCGTTGGAGTTTACAGAGACAGCCGAGTGTCTGGTTCTAAACGTATTAGACGCGGAAGGTTCATAAAAATATTTTACACATTCTATTGGAACCCTATTCATATTGCCACGCCCAATCAACTTAGCGTGCAGAATACTCCATTCCTGTGTGTCTGCTATATAACCGTTAATCTAGATACTCTGGATGGAATTTTATTTTTTCAGTTATACTGAACCACTTAGTTTAATGTGTACATAGAACTATATACTGAGTACATAAAGTAAAATTCTTGACCAAAACTATTGCAGTATGTTTTTTTGTTGAAGATTTCTTTTGAGAACTGGAGCCATTTTAACAGACAATCCGTACCTGGGTGGCTGAGGGTGCCACATTTTTACGGGGAGCTTGTATGCTGAACCCTGTATCCGGGTCTTTTTTCCCCTTGGACGCAGGGTCACCTACTGGTTCTACGCCATCCTTCCAATCCACGCATGAATCCCGAACCGAAATAATCACCCTGCAAAAACAAACAATATTACTTACACACAGAATAATATTGATACTGAATGCTGCTGCACAAAGGATATATAGCTTATTATGTGAGCGAAGCGGCGAAATTACATTTTAATAAGATCATTTTTCTTCTTAACTGCCCGTCTTAGTGGCTCTCGCAGAAAAATCTGCGCAAAATCTTGTAAAGCAGCATAAATGTGCCTTCTGATGGCGTCCAGAAACACGGACTCCATCCTGGCCATCAGGAGTTGTAGCCCCTTAATCATGGCGATCACTTCCACAATGGCAAACTTTTCATCCTTACTGTAGTTATATCGGGTCGACTACAAGAATTCAATGGTTTTTAAATGTTGGGGTGAACAGAGATGAGGACAAGACTCTGAAGAACACTTTATAACTTACTCGTTCATATTCTTCTGAATCTTGGGGACATTCCGGGTTCATGTGGTGGTCAGTAGGATTCAGTAACTTCCAGCAGTACTAAATAAAGAAACGTATTGATAGAAATTTGGACATATCCACCCTGTCAATGTAATTTATCAGGATTCAGTAACTTGCAGTACTAATAAAGAGATATATTGATAATTAGATATAAATCCACTATGTCAATGTAATTTATCAGGATTCAGTAACTTCCAGAAGTACTAATAAAAAGATGTATTGATAGTTAGACATAATTATATCCACTGTGTCAATGTAATTTATCAGGATTCAGTAATGATCATTATTAGAAACCTAGACATATATCCACTATGTCAATGTAATTCATCAGGATTCAGTAATGATAATTATTAGAGACCGAGATATATATCCACTGTGTCAAAATAATTCATCACCTAACAAGTCAAAACTTCGAAGAAGTTTCACTTTAAACATTACAGATTTTTCTTCATCATTTCATAATAAATCGAACAGCTCTTGGAGGATCGTGTTTACATGCACAGCTGACATGCTTTGTCACTTTCGGATTGAATTGTGATATTTAAAATTTAATTAAAAGTCCGATATAAGTAATTTTAAAATGGGCGTTGAATAACCATTTTTTGCAATAACATGCATGTGAAAATTTTTTTGTACATCGATAACACAATAAAAAGCCTAAAAATGATCATTTGATTTTTCAGTACACGTTTGGGAGATTTCTGTGAGAATGAAATGAAAAGCTAAGGAGTCAACTTCAAGTGAGAACCCAAAAGATACACTAAAGTCGCCCAAATTTTCAAAGATTTTACTTGTGAATGGATATCATGGCCCTATTTTAAGAATGGTATTTTTTGGGGTATAATACGTACCAACTCCATGACCCTCTGTGTCCATGACGACATGTTGGTCAGACCACGCAGGGCTAAGTCATACATCTCCTTGTTTTCTTCGTCAGTCCGTGCTGATTTAGCCGACGTGGTCATTCTCTACTCAACACAAAACGTACATTGATAATATTTCATTTTATTATTCTTGCACGTGGCTTGTTTTAGTTTTAATCAGGTTAATGATCAGTTCTTCATTTCTTGAATTGCTTTCCTGCATAATTATGTGCTTTAGTTATTTAGTTTTATTTGATTACTTCATTGCTCCTCCGAGCTAATTCTGATACGTATTCCGTATGACTATCCCTCAGCGCCTGTAGACTGGGCAGTATCTGAGACTGCTGACTCGGCTGGTTCGATTCACAATGGTTCCACTTTGAGGAGTCAAAGTTCACGCTCTTCATAATGTAGGAGTAAGGTTTCATTTGCATATCACCATACAGAGGGACAACCTCCATTTGCTGCAAAAAGAACAAATATTTTGTTGCAAAAGAACTAATCATGTCCACAATTGAGCAGGCCATTACAATGGTAGTGTCACCAAAATGTATTTCAATGGCGCAGAAGGATGTACCTTTAAAATTTTGTCTATTTTTGACAGATTGATCCTCTTTTTACTGTCCATTTTGTAAATGCTGTTGTCTTTACTGTCCATAAGAAACAGTCCAAATGCAATCACCTGAAAAGACATACATGTATTACCATGCTAACTTACAACAATTACAAAGAAAAACCACATCTGCTCCATTATCCTGTCAAATTTAAATCCTACAACTTTTTCTGGCAAAAATGTTGAAAAACAGAACGGTACCTCCACGGTCTGAAAAACTTAGGGTTTCTTATAAAATATTATCAAACGGCAAGGAACTCTAACATTTCATCATCATAACTAATATTAAACGCATTGAATGTTCCCATACCTTAACTAACGGTAATGAACTCTAACATTTCATCAGCGTAACTAGCATTAAACACATTGAATGTTCCCGTACCTTAACTAACATGCTTTTCTCTCCAGGTTCTAGAAAGAGGCGGTTTTCGTACATGTGTACCGAGTTATTAACGACGTCAGCCAGTAGCTCCTCGTACCCAGGGGTTGTTTCTAGCGCTTCCTTCAGCAGGTCCCGAATTTTGTTCTGAGTCGCCAAGAACATGGAAAGATTTTGGGACTCTGTCATTTGCTGTGGATCCATCATCCTTCTTAAGCTTTGTATGGCTCTTTGAAACAAGAAAGGGGATGAAATTACAAATAGGAATATTATCCACAACTGGACTTAAAGTAATCTTGTAGTCTGAAGAAGACTTGTACCTCCTATAGGCCGTATAGTCATTCTTAACACTGGCTTTCATATTGGTGAGGTCGTTGAGCTCGGCGAAGGTGTTGATAAACTTTCCTATGGTCAGAAGGTAAGCCTCGGAAATGAAATCGTTCTTCCGTCCTGGGTGACAGAGTCGTTTTATCTCCTCACCAAATTTTTTAATGCTTTCAGTCTGATTCAAGAAAAAGAAGGAGTCTCATAGGACTGTCGATAATCATATGTCTTATTTTAGTAGTAATAGGAGTAGCATTGTGGAAATTGTTAACAGACATACAGACGGACACCTTACCATCGCATAGGCTCTTCTGGTCTTTGACCAGTAGAGCTAAAATCAAAGCTAAAAGGTGTATTCTTGTTTTCCATTTTAGTGTATTTAGAGAAACATAATAACGATCTACCGAAGCCGATTTAGGACCTATCGAAAATATTTTTGAATTCGATATAAGGAATTGTCAAATTTGTTAAAATGAATTCAATTCGTTATACAGCTGTATATCTTTTTAAATTCGTTATAACAAATTTAATCTGATATAACAGATATGTTTATAACGAATTCAAATATTTATTATAAATAACGAATTTGATTTCTTTAAACGAATTTTTATATTTGTTATAACGAATTAAATTCGTTAAAAAGAATTCGACATCTCGTTACATCGAAATCATAAATGATTTTCGATATGCCCTAAATGTCAATTCAAATTTACGGAAGCCCATTTAGGATTTATGACTAAATATTTTTGAATTCAATATAACAAATTGGTTTAATTGTTATAACAAATTCAAAAAAAAATTATAAATAATCAAATTCGTTTAAACGAATTCTAAAATTTGCTATAACAAATTAAATTTGTTTAATCAAATTTAACAATCAGGGCCTATAGAAAAATATATATGAATTCGACATAACGATTTGTCGAAATAGTTTTAACGAATTTAATTCAATAATACAAATTTTTGAATTCGTTATAACAAATTTAATAGATTTGTAATAACAAATTAAATTTATTATAACGAATTTAAAGAAATTGTTATAACAAATTAAATTCATTTTAGCAAATTCGACAATTCCAGGCGCGTAGCCAGAATGGAAGTGAAGTGTACGCAGAGAACGACAAGGGGTTGGGGTTGGGGGTTCCATTTTTACAAATCAGAATTTTATAAATACATTACCAAACTACTATGATTTAACTAATGCTACAACAAAAATTTAAAGGTTAGGTATTGAAATAAGTAGGGAACAACCCCCCCCCCCCTTCCGATACTACGTGCCTGCTGGTGAGGGCCCAGAAGATCCCGAGTTTTAATTACTAAAATTTTTTCATTCATTTTCTTGCCAATTAAATTATGCCATTTAGCTTTTGTTTAGAAAATAAAAGTCATGGTAATATTTATTGTCTTAACGCAAAGTTAATATTTCACTGGAAACTTATTGTACATGTAGTTTAGGATAAATATTTAACCGATATATTGGTATCAAGTACTCTTTTTTAACGTTCAAAAACACGTATACTTAATATGAATACATCATTAACAAGAAATATCGCATAGGCGTCGGAAGCAAATTGAAAGGGGGGGGTTAATTGAAAGTGGGGTGGGGGTGGGGGTGGGGCTAAACCAGCGAAAAAAGGTAAGCCCCAGTTTTCAATGCCTATATTATGTCTATCTTTGCAAAAAAGTGGGGGGGGGGCTAAGCCCCCCTAGCCCCCCCCCCCCCGGTTCCGAAGCCTATGTATCGTATTTTAAATCATATACTAGTAGTTCATAGCATTCAACGATGTGTTTGAAATTTAATTTCTCAAAGATCTTTACAAAAAAAAAATATCAATGTATTAAAGAACAATTACAAATTAATGAATGGTTTATTTTGGATTTGGCAATGATTTAATTAAGGACTTTAAATTTTATTATAGAGTCATGATAATATAAAATTCAAATCGAAACAGTATAACACAAAATAATTTGAAACAGGAATATTTGTTGGATGGTATTGAAATTTCTTCGAACACTCTCTCTCTCTTACATAGATGTTTTTTTTTTCGAAAATGATGTGTACGCACTTGCGTATTTGCGTATAGGCAGCTACGCGCCTGAATTCGTTATATCGAATTCAAAAATATTTTCTGATAGGGCCTAAATGGGCTTCCGTACAAATTCGATTACCAGTTAACAAATGATAACAAATTTAAGAATTCGTTTCAACAAATTTAATTCGTTATAACAAATTAAAAGATTAGTTTAAACGACGTTAATTTGTTATAATAAATTTAAGAATTCGTTAAAACAAATTTAAGAAATCATTTTAAATATTCAACAAATTTATTATAACGAATGAAATTGCTTATCACGATTTCAAAAAATTGTTATAATGAATTAATTCATATTATTGAATTTGACATCTCGAATTCAAAAATATTTTTGATAGGCCCTCAACGGATTTCCGTAGACATCTGATACTGAACCATGCCAGCAAATTGTCAAGGGGAACATTTCACTCATTACGATGTTTTTTCTCATCCTCCTCCCATCATGAAAATAAATCTGTCTTTAACTTATATGTTAGCAAAGGCACCAAAAGCATCATACGATATACCGTTCACGTAAAGAATAGATGCAATGATGTCCGGTCCCTGTGTATGCATTTTCTATTTAACGAGTAAATTAATAACTTTATGTCTGAAAATTGAGGAAATAGATGAAACTACCTGTTCATTCAAAGTGACTGTACATGCATCTTGAATGTATATTTTTAAAACTGATATTATTGCGTATATATTTACTGTGAACTTCATAAAAGCCAGCAGCTTAGAGACGAGTGGTTCCAGAACCTCTATGATCGTCGTGTTGATCTGTTCTCGGTTTTGCTGGTCATTGCTCGCAATCTGAAGACGAAAAGATGCACAGTTCAGAAACAAATGGTAGACCCCAGCTGCTTCGATATTTAACCATAATATTTATCCAACAGAGGTGAAATAATCAAATTTGGAATTTTATAAATGAAGGTTTTCAATGGCTTAAAAATCAGAAATAAATAAGTGTTTTGCAATACACATGCGCTATAAAAGCAAGGGAAAAACAATACCTTTGTGGAATGCAATGTATGACAATTCAAATCCGATCTTTTTTGAAGGAATATTCATGTATAAATTAATTTCTTTCCGGAAATATTATTTTTAAGTTATCTTTTCCCAAAACATATTTTAAATGATAAATCAATAATTGAATGGTGGCCGCCGAATAAAATATTTTTACCCCATGGAAAACTAGTTTCTGATCTTCAAAAATTGTCCATTTACGATTGGTTAAGCGGATGTGGCCAGGTGAAATTTTGATAAGCACGGTTCCATAGAAGTATGGCATGTGTATATTTTTATTTAATTTATGAACCTTTTATGTCGTTAATTTCTCCGTGACCTGTCATTAGCGAAAAGTGAATAGAATCGTCTAAATAGTAATTCAAAAGTTACTCTGCCCGATCAACATCTCGTCACGGATAGTACTGAAAAAAAATCTTTTTAATGCCCCTCCTCCTTTTTTTTTTTTTTTTTTTTTTTTTTTTTTATTATATTTTTGAGGGTGAAAAAAGTACCGTGAAAACATGTTATTTCTTTATTTCCTTAATATTCCAAGTTTTGTGATCAATTTTGATTTGTATTACTGATTGAAAACTTTATTTTTATAATACATAATGGTGTTCACCTGTGGTAATGCTCGGGAACAGCATCTCCAGGTATAAAGCATGGCGGCATAATCCTGTGCCTCTTCTATCAGCTTGTTCTGTAGAGAAAATAATATTAATCACTGTGACACCATATTCTTAAAATACAAGAACGTTAAAGTATCAAGACTTAGAACCTTTGATTCAATATGAAATAAAACTTTTCTGTCATATCGTAGATGGTCAAGAACACATCAATTTTACTTATATATATTAAATTTAAAGAATACATAATACCAAAACTAATAGTTTTTGCATATTTTTATTTACTAAAATATCGAAAGAATTGACAGGTTAGCTAATCTCTGTGTTCCTAATCACTTCTAATTTGTAAAGATACCAAATATTACGATGGCCGACAGCGGCCGCCACTTTCTGATTAAGAATATTGTCATTCTGTACAGCGTTTTTGTCAATTTTCGTTGAAATATTACAACTAAACTGGTAATGCTATATGTACATGTACACTTTTTACACTGACAATTTACACCAGCAAAAAACATTAAAATTCTTTCGTGTGATATGAAATTAAGATACATAAAACAGGTGGCTTGAAAGAGATAAAGAGCATTTTAATGATTTTCACCCTCAATTAGTCTGAGATATCGTAACCCAGTTAATACTAGATTTAGACGTAAATCGTCATTCTGTCACCTTGTATCATTAAAAAGATATTCTTGGGATTGTAATTAAAAAGGCGAATAAAAGTAATACGTTTGTTGTAATGGATATACATGAATATAATGGATATATCTCGATCCTCAAAGTGTATGAGACAACTCGATTCTACCTATTATGTAGAGGTAGAAAAACAGGATTTAGTAGCTCTACATGTGAGCATCCAGTCAAAAGTTTATGGAATGTATCAAAAACAAAACTTTAGATATGGAAATATACCCGTTTTTAAGCAAGAATAAAATGACAACCTTAAATGTGGGAGTCTATATTTGCTCTCTAAATACATAAAATTAATAACTAAATGCTTGAAACACTTTTAAAGGCCAACGCAACCTCTCAAGACTTCCACCTGGTCGGCCAATTATTTTTCAATGTGGCACGGGAATGAAAATATAGGTACATGTAACTAATGTGATCATTTCCTCGTGGGCATTGTTTAAAAAACAAAATTCATACATCAAAGACACGTCCGATTATGAACAAAATCAAATTTCTGATAGACCTGGAAAATTTCATCCTGGTTACCTATGGTGTGACCAGCAGGTACACCAACATGGAATTTTATGAATTAATTACTACAATCTGTCGAGAAAGCATAATATCTAGAAGAAAATACTAATCTGTAATCACCCCGACCTTGCTGTTCTGCTAGAACCTTAAGCTTATCACCTTCAAGTAACCTGTTTTATGTATCTTCAGTTCATATCACAAGAAAGAATTTTAATGATTTTCTCCAGTGTAAATTGTCAGTGTAAAAACTGTATATGGACATATAGCATTACCAGTTTAGTTGTAATTTGTCAACGAAAATTGACAAAAAAAGCTGTACAAAATGACAATATTCAGAATCAAAAGTGGCGGCCGCTGTCGGCCATCGTAAAATATACTTATAAGGCAAAATAATATAATTATGTATTTAAATAGATAATGTAAGCAAATCATGTTTCTGAATATATGTCCGTATATACCACTCTCTTAGATCAGTTTAAGCAAACATGGTTTAGTGATGTACAAACTTCCCCTAAAGGTTTGAACAATAGAATTTTTAAAAAATCATTAATCTTTGAAGACTATTTGTTGAATTTACCTCCTAAACAATCCAAGAAATAATGTTTATTTAGAACTGGGAATACAAAATTACCAATTGAGACTGGTAGATGGTTAACATCTCTAGAGAAAATAGAATTTGTAAATTATGTAACAGCAACGAAATTGGGGATGAATTTCATTACTTATTTAAATGTACTGATGTGTCTATAAAGAACTCAAGAGTTATGTATTTGTCAAAATATTTTCATTTGAATCCAAATGTTTTGAAATTTGAAATGCTTTTTAATGTAACCAATACTAATCAACTCAGCAAAATTTGTAAATTGTTAGATATTATAATTGAGAGAGTTGGCTCTCTTGGTTGACATACTCTGTTACCCCTTCTTCAGGCATATAATATTTTCTGTTTATTATACTGTACATATCTTCTCTTCACTGTTTTGTCAGTTATGAGAATAAAATTCAAGTCAAGTATAAAATGTGTGGTTATATGATAACGAGATTTTTCTTGGCTGAGAGTAGTGCAATTTAATACTCACACATTTAATTGTCTGAAAAACGCGAGATCTAAACCTTCATCAAACTAAAGATACTGTTAGTCACCATGACTACAAAATGAAATCCCAACACCACTGTCGTTTACTAAACAGAATATTTTGAGCAATTGTGTCGGGTTAAAGTCAGAATGCATGTAAATCGGCAACAGTGATGTAAACATTATTGTACTCTTGAATAAATAAAGGATAAGTTTGGGAAACAATAGTTATTGTTATTTGAAAATAAATTGTTATTGAAAAAAAATTCAAATTTCCTAAACAATGACGGAGTAACAAAATCCAAGTGATATTCAAAGTATCAAAGTTTGTAATTTTTTCTCGGTGTAGAGGGTTTATTTCTATGTGCACTGTACTCGACCAATGAATATAGCAGGATACCCGTTTTTGGCAAATTAGGGATTATTCTCAGTTCTTTTTTGTGATAAAGATGTGATTTTTTCAGGAAACTGAGACGGTGATGGAAGGCAGTCAAACCCCACCATCTAGATTGTGACCATTAAAAATGAATGCTACGCTGTAGGAGATAGGGAAGTGCAATTTAGATTGGAAATGTTGCAGCGAAAAAATTCTTTCTGCAGGGTTTCATTTAAAGTATGCAAGTATGCTCCAACAGAAGACAGGAGAACGAGGAAAAGGTGTTTTCTATGAGGAATTTTTGAAAGTTACAGAAGACTACCTCTCAATACATTCCTTATGTATAATGGGAAAATGTGGTATGATAAACAATTACATACATGAAATATGGAAATAACAAACAGTATTCTAGCTCAACGTCCATTAAAACAATACAAATCGGGAGCAGAGCATTCGCGGACCTCCAAAAACATCAGAGGTGGGATCAGATGCCATGGAGGAGTGAGCATCCCCCGTCACACCTGCCGTGTGCTCCTTGTCGTGATTGGGAAATAACGGAAAAATCCGATCACAATTCAGTGTGTAAATAATGGCCTAACAATAAGTATGAAAAACGTCAGTCAGTATACCACTTGATGATAAATTGTATTTGCTGACAAAGTCATTGTATCGACCATAGAACTTACGAAATGATGACTTTAAATGAGACTGTTGATATTCTTGTTTAATCAACTTGTTTGTCAATAACTTACTCGTTTTAGAAATTGTTCATGCGTAGAGCATGCCACTGCGTATCGAATCAACTGAGAGATATAAACCACATATGCAAGTGAAAAGGGTAATTGCTGCATGGGTAAGGAATTTGAAAATTAAAAGATTGAAAAATTAAAGTCATCACGTTTATCATAAAGCTGTGTTGTTAGATTACCATTAACGTCTTTTTCTAGCAAAATATCCAAATTTGAAACAGATGTGTCAGACTCTGTGATATCTTTTATTTCAAGCTCACTAGGATATATCGTGTTGACATATGAATGCGAGATTTTAACATATATCTGATACATTTAATACATTCTGAAAAGTGTGAAGGTCTTCTTTTTCATGTCTGGGCCATCGCCTGGCGTAATCGCTCACAGAATTCATATTTATGAAATTATGATTCCAATTGAAAGATCGGGTTTCCCTAAATTTTGGCTCTTTTAAAATAAGTGATTTAAAGGCCCTCGTGTACGGCGACGTATTAGTAGATTCCTGCAAGGAAAATAGCTATTGAAGGCCTCATCTTGCAGCACCAAACCTTCCACAAACTGAAGGCAGAATTTAAGAATTTAAGCACATCCCGCGAACTAAAAAAATAATATTTCATAATTTTCAGAAACAGATCTACCATTATATAATTGCACATTTTGGATCAGAGGTTGTGCTCTATGGGAAATATTGAAAAAAAATTCTTCAATTTTATGGTCATTTTTGAAGATTTTTTTAGGATATGGGAAAAATGACGCAATTCATGATGTCCTAATCGCACTGACTAGAGAGAAAATTACGCCATTCTAAAAAGATATGCAGACATCAAGGGTCCAAGTGATATTTATTACATTGTCAACTAAAGCTGAGCAGTTATGCTTTTTCAGTAATTAACGGGGCCGAAAAAGGCCCTAAATGAAACTTGCTCTTTATGATTTTTAAGCCAGAGACTTTGAACTTGCCTAAATGACCTATGCTGAAGGTCATTACATACCCTCAGGTTATAATAAGCAATCTTGATAACAAGTACATGTATGAGCTTCTAAATAATGTTTCTCCATTGCAACGTTATGGAACAGGTTGCTCGGACAGCTAGACAGATCAACATACAGACGGACAAGATGATTCTTATATACCACCAAACTTAGCTTGCAGGGTAAAATTAGCATGAACTTCAGTGGTTGGTCATTTAAGGAATCAGTTCCAATATGTATTGATAATAATTGGCGAAGAACATTGCAGGATGTAAGAACATTGAAAGGGGTCGATATAGGAAGTGGTCACACTCTTATCTTAGCAGAGCTGCATGAAATTGAAACTGAACGAAATTACCCATGGTGATAGGAACAAAAATACCAAGGACCCTACAATCAGGAAATCTTCAGATACGGGTTAAGAACAGATTTACCATCCTCCAAAATGAGCTAGAATGCAGTACTGAAAAAATTCAACGCCGCATTCCTTAAAGCGGGAAAGAAAACACTACGGTTGAAAAGGAGAAAGAAGGAAGAAAGAATATCACCCAAGACCTGAGAATTTTAATTAAAAAAATTATAATAAAAAAAAATACGCAAACAAAAAAGAAGATACTTGCAGCAATCTCAGCCAGAATGAAAGACCAGCTAAAAGTCAAAAACTCAGATAAAGATAAAATTACGAGAAGTATCTAGAGCAACAGAAAGGTACTATATTATCAAACTAACACAAGATGCAGAGAAGTCTGCCTCAAAACAAAACATGGGAAACTTATACCTCTAAGTGGAGGATTCTGAGGCAGATACACCAGTGCGTGAAAAAAATGGAAAATTGATCACAGCATACAATAAGAGCTTACCGCTGGATTGATTGATTGATTGTACGTTGTTTTACGTCCCGTTCGAGAATTTTTCACTCATTTAGAGACGTCAAATTTGAAGGGCTTCAAATTTAGACCTTTACTCGGCACTCAGGGCCATTGAGCAGTGAGGGTTCTTTATTATGCCAACGCATTTTTGAGGTATGAAATATGTTTCGATAGCAATTCTAGTTTGATCTCCATCTGGGATTTACCTGGAATTAACTGTATTTTACCAATGCATTATAATATTTAAAAGAATAAATTCTGAAAATTTAACTTGTCCATTCCAACCGAAGATGTTGATAATTTAGCTAAATATCCTGCTCGCCCTTTTATTTCATGAAGATAAAATGAATGAGTAGATGAATTCAATCCCATTTAAAAAAACTTTTCCAGTTAATACCATATGAATATAATTATAGTTTTGATTAGTATTTATGATATTTTTGTATGTTTTAAAATAGTTTTTTTTTTCTAAGTATGAAATTACAGAAATAAATCAAAATATCAAATGCGAATTAATTATTTTTTCTTCCTATTCTTTCAATAGATTCTCTGTCTCCAAATTCACAACTATGATACAGACTATAGCAATGAAGTTATTATCTTTCCTCTACAATCCCCGTTTTGCATACATTTTTTCAATATATGAAATTCAAATGTGTGCAAATCGGGAAGAAACCGTGATGAATGTATTACAACGCTGTCTGTCAACTTCGTCGATTAGTCAAAGTATCCGACAATAACTAAATTAATATGCTCTCAGGGTAATCCATACACACTATGGCATACCGAAAAAGCTAACTTCCCTCAGAAAAATCCCTTACAAAGTCTTCCAAGCAAGGATGATCTGTGGAACAGAATTGACAGACATTTTTACAATCGAAATAGAGAAATAGAAGAGCGATAGGAATGTCTTCTTTCACTGTATCTCTATACTTTCTGCGTAGACTGGCTCTTGGAAATCACCACCAGTCAGGACAGTAGATGAATATCCTAGATAATACGATAACATCGCATAACTAGCACAGCACAAAAGGATATTCAAAGCAAAACCGGCGATCTATTCCAAGATGCAAACAAATAGTCTAAAAATAAATGTCAGCAAAACCAAAGATCAACACCAACATAGACAGGGAAATCACAATTAACAACAACAGAATAAAAGTACCCCGGAGGCAAGATTAAATGACAACGGAGATTCCACCATGGATGTTGAAAATAGAATTACAAAAGTCAGTGCTGCATTTGTAAACCTGCAGAATATCTGGAGAACTCCAATCAAAATCAAATTAAGGATTTTTCAAGACATCCATACTAAATTCTATTTTGTCCTCTTTTGTGTTGTAAAAAAGGACGTTCACACAAAAACTAGACTCCTTCCGGACAAGATACCTTAACAGACAAGATATTCTGAATAAACTTTAAGAGTGAAAAAAAAAATCAGAAATACCTATAGTAACCCTAAAATGGACTACATCATGAGAGAGCGACCAAAGGAGACACGGCGACTACCAGTAGAAAAGGAGATGAAAGACAATAGATTGAGGCATGGCTTAGCATGTCAGCTGACGGATATGACAGTACTCGGTAAAGTTTTATGCACGAAGAGGACTTAGTATCTATAAAATATTTCCTTTTTTCATAAATTATGACATTATACTTTCCTTCAAATAAAAATGAATTTCACTTCTTAAAAAACTAAGCTCATGCAGATTTTATATAAGGAAATACAAAAATCTCAACAATAGACATTGGCTTATCTATTTTTTTTTTTTTCGAGAACTTCCCTCATAAACAACTTTTATATTGAAATTTCTTAAATGCTGTCATTTCTAATAGCATATTTATTTTTGTGCAAGTATAATTAAACTTTTATTAGAGTATTAATGTATATTTACTTTTTCTTTCAGTCAGTATCACGAGAGAAAAAAGGGAGACAAACATTGCTTTTTCTTCCGGTAAAGAGATACATTTTTGCACTGGTTGTACGTCGATCTGCATTTAATTTGTGTCCGGGATATAGCTGTTTTACCATACATTGAATGCATTGCTCTAGTTTTAAGTAATGGGCTAATGACATCAAGCATCTGGAACACACGATTACAAAAATAGCTTATGAGTAATTACAATTAAATAAATGAATCATTATAATTGTTGTTCGTTTGTTTGATTGCTTTATGTTCCTTTGACAATATTTCACTCAAGTTTTTTTTTTTAAAAATTTTAACTAAAGTTGGGACGCTACCCATATCAATTGAAGGCTTCAAATTTGATTATGATTTTAATTCAGTCATTTCGGTAAAGCAAAAGCGATCTTAAGGAATAGGATACTCAAATAATGGAATTTGTAAAATTTTGTACAGGCTTACTCCTATCAATCATTAAGTTTTCCTTATTCTTTCAGCCTCTCCAAAATCCATACTTTTATTTCTGCATTGAAATTCAATGCAAAACCACGAAAAACATTCAATTCCCCGGAAAATATTCAAAGAGATTTTCTGGATATTTATATGCAAGCCAATGTTAATGTGATGGGACTTCTCAACAATACACCAAGACATAGGTGAAGTCATGGACATCGATCATACAATAAACCAAATGTACATAATGTCTCAATTGATTCACTTTTACTTTACATCAACAAAAGTATTTATTGTGATGTACATCACATTCCCACAAAACTTTCACACTGCTCCCTTGCAACTTTTAAATGGACCATTCGAAGAAACTGAAGCAAATCCATACTTGGATTCTTCAATACCAGAATAGATGTAAGTGTCTGTGATTATGGATGTTGCTCAGCATAGAGCCTTTAAACCGCCACGTATTACCTAATTCCGAACCTTAAGATTAAACTTGTAGCAAAGGTAAAAATGCTGTAAACATAAGTAACATTTTTAGTCATAAACAAAGTCCAGTCTTGGATTTCACCGTATTTTAAGATTGTCTACATCCTGCATTTCCGGCAGATATTCCCCAATTGTTGAATCCAAACTTTTCAATTATAAACAACCCCTACAGTGCCTAGATAGTGGCCATCTAAAACAAAATCTTCCACCTGTTCTTGCTTTCTTTCAACTATAGACAAATCATTACTGGTGATGTAAATATACATGTTGCTTAAAATGACGACTTGGAAGCAGTCATTTTTGAAAGATCCAAAATGTACGAGGCCCCAATCGCTCAAATGACCCCTACAAGTTCATTTCTATTATAAATTCTGTCAAGGGGGTATGCTAAACGATGGGCTTGATATGAAAGGATCAACCTCGACAATTTGTCGGAATAAATTGCTTTATATTGAAGATTCTTATTCGACAATTAAAAGGCAAAATGCATACCATCTTACCTTCCGTTTTCAGCAAATGAAAGTGATAAAAGAATTAGATATATTACATCATGATTCCAGCAGCTGAAAAAGTCTGAAACAATATAGTCTTTGTAAGGTTAGCCTTACATCTACATCTGGAAATACAACTTATGTTCATTGTTCCCTTTCAAAGTATGAAATTCTTAGAAATTACTTTCCAGTTTTAAATAATTTTAACATTCCACTCAACGGAAATGAATTAGATTTATCGACCTATACCGAATTCTATCATCCTTATAAATGAAAAAAAAAAAGAAATAGATGCATTCCAGGGTTCTGTAAATGCTTTTCCATGTCATTAACTTTACTCCTCACATAATATTAACTGCTGTGAATGAGGAACATCTTAATTACTAAAACAAATCTGAATTCTCAAAAACTTTAAAGAACTTCGAGATAATTTGAAATCACATTTCCCCCCAAATCAGTAACTTCAAAATATATGACCTTTTCAAAAACTTTAAGGACTAGCTTTTCGACATCATAGACAACTGCTTTTTCACTAAAAATGGAATTCGGAAATATGTGATTACATGTATTCTACATCTCTTAAATATGTGATTACATGTATTCTACATGTATTCTACATCTCTTAAATATGTGATTACATGTATTCTACATCTCTTAAATATGTGATTACATGTATTCTACATCTCTTAAATTACTTTGTTTAAATCCTTCTGATTCTACACACATATACTCTGAAGTTGATATTTAAAATCACTGTCAAAAGCTATGTAGCGTTTGGAGACCAGGTCTTCCAACAATCTGTTCGAATTCAATGAGTACTAACTTTGCTCCTTTATAAGCCGACCCTTTCTTAATATTCCTGTGAATTTATCCTAGAATTTACTCAATAACTTCTAAACGAAAAGAAGAAACTCTTGCTGTGGCCTTGAATTCGACATTTAGGTGTATGGAGGAAGTTTTATCAATTAACAATAGCTTTCATTCATATGTCGAACGACATATTTCAGTGAACTTTAAATAAAAGACACCACAGTATCTGCAGCATCTTCTTCATAATTGGATATTTTACTGGCTATAGAACCTTATGTTAATGGCAAATTAACAACTAAACTATATGCAAAACGGGATCATGGTATCAGCTTTTTCCATGGTCAACTTTCCCTATTCCACTATCAGCAGCAAATGGTGACAATGTCTACCATCGGATTCGGTATGCAAGAGTATGCTCTGAATACTCTAAGTACAATCATTTTTAAACCGACGCAGGCTACTGACAAATAGGTTGATTTAAATGGCTTTCAACAATTTCGTTTAAAGTTAGCATTTCTCTGTATGGTCATTATATGGCCTTGTTTGCAAATACAACCTATCGTTTGGTAGTACTTTGACTGATATGTTGCATACCAATTGTTAGGCCATTTTTAATAAATACTTTTGACTATGTATTCACCTGATCAATACAAAGGGCTCACAGGGGGTGTGACCGGTAGACTGGGGATGCTTACTCCTCTTTGACACCTAAACCCACCTCAGGTGATTCCAGGGGTCTGTCTGTTTGCCCCGTTCAGGTTTCGTATTGTTTAGAGAATGTAGGACTTTGATCACAATTTATTATCTTCACCTTTTTCACGTATTTCATATATTGATTTACTTGTTGTTTAATAGTCAGGTAACACGAAATATAATTTATTCACAGTAAAAGCCCCATTTCATCTGATGTTTCAAGTATCTTTTTGTATACTGGGAATATTCTATTATACATAGAATGAGATTGCCTTTAAAGGAAAACTTTGCGATACATATAAGTTTTAGCAATAGGAAAGCATGTACAAACTGTTTAAAAAATTGCTGTGTTAACATTTTTTAAGTATTCTATGTCCTTAACTAATGTCACAGATAATGTTCGACTCTTTAATTCTTCCGTGATATGAAACAGTGCCCATCATTATAGATTCTGTTGTCAGGTTTTAAACCGTGTCCAAGCTATGTTATGTTATGGCTCTATCAAGGATCTGTCATGGCCATTTAAAATAAAATGAAAAAGGTCACAATGCTAGAATGCTTTCTGCATAAATCCTAATGGAGAAGGACTTTCTAATACTTGTTGATTGTAATGAATCTAAATTTTAGATTGTGGTTGCTCATGACCTAAAAATAGGTCTTAACCTTGAATCAAGATTACGACATCATGACGATGGGTATATTTCTGTGCCCATTTCCACACACACAAAAAAACATCTTGTAAGTAAGACATTTTTCTTCTATTTTCCAACAGTATCTAAACTTTAGAGGGTCACAGAGGTCTTATATTTCTATTACATTAGATTACATTTTTATTTAAAAAAAAAATTCAAAAATAGTTAAAAAACTTTTTTAATAATATTTTAGAAAAAAAATGTAAATATCTTTATCAATTTAAAAATATTCAGAGTTGTCAAATTTATTTTGTGAAAGGGCCACTGGATTTTGGGGAAAATCTTCCTTTTGTGCATGCATATGACACTACTTACCATATCAGCATGGACCGTTGCTTCTTCAATGTACCTAGCAACCCCCGTGACGTAAGCATTCCTGTCCTCAAAATTAGTGTCAAAGTTCACCTGATACTGAATGGAGAGCGACATACCCTCGATGCTGGGAGGGTCCCCATGATGGAGTAGGCCGTTAAGAGCATCCACCTTCCCGAGGGCTTCCGAAAGCTCCACCCTCTCCACAGAGGGCACCGACTCTGTCTAATACAGAAGATCAGGAAGTCACTTGTCGTTTAACTTGATCCTCTCAGAGTTCCTCTTGCTTTTGATAATGACTTCTCATTATGTTTATTTGCTTTAAGTAGTTTGTTTTGATTGTTTTGTCAAGGACCCAGTACTTTGTACCGAGAAATTGATATCTGCTACATGTGGATATATTGACAAGCTTATTTTGAGAAGAATGATTTAATAATCATCCATGCAATTCCAAAGACCATTCTTAAAATTACATATCATTGATATTTGCTTTGTCTGTTATCAAAAAAGAGGAAGTTCATTTGTACAAATTCTTAATTTTCTCATTATTTCTCTAATTTATTCAACAGTGTATACAACAACTAAAAAGCATCATGTTTCCCACAGTTCATGATCTGTCATTTTCACACAGGTAGATAAATAAAATAAACAATCGTGTTAAAAGACCATAAAGCGGAAGAGATTTGACATGTACAAAAAAAAATATCAAAAGGTGGAGCTGTTCTGTCTTTGATGTTGATTTAATTATCAGAATATCTCATTATACTCATCATACAACTTTAAAAAACTAGAATGACAAACATGCGTCAACTTACCATAGCTGATACAATATCTGCTACGATTGTATCTCTGTCCTACAACATTGAGGAAGTCGGTATAAGCCAATTACTTATATCTTAACTTCAGCCGACCGAGACGGGAACTAGATCCGATTGTTCACCCCGCCCTCCCCTGGAAAATATTCACCTGATCCAGTAAACCTGACCAACAATATCCCTGTTCCGGTAGAATTAAATGTTCTACATTTATTCTTTTATTAACATTGTGTAGATAAGTTTTCTACTTGAATGCTGTTGACCTTGACGGAACCCCGATGACGAGCATTACCTGGCTTACCTTATCAAGGGTTTATTATTTTTTTTATACATATATATATTTTTAAACGCGCCTTTGATATTCATTTGAAACATCTATCTTTCCATAACTGAATTCGATCTTTGACAGTGACAGGACAGTCGCTTAATTTCATGTATTCATGAAAACAGAATTTTTAATAAATAGAAACTAAATTTTCGGTACTTACAGTAAGTTTGTCATTCATTGGTGATGCGGTGATATTTCTAATCCAGGCAGCTATACAATAACTATCCCGTCATTTTGGAGACTAAAACTTTCAAGACATTTGGCCATCATGCTTGATATTAAACGCTACTTAAATCTTTATAAATCATAAAGTGCTTACTTAGATAACTTGACACTAGTTTCCTTCACTCTGTAAATGCTTTTTTTTCTCAAATGCATTGTGGTGGGAAACACTTGTATTTTCGAAGATGATATTTACAAGGAAGTGTTCCCTCCGACATAGTTTGAGGTAAATTAGACATATTATAAAACATAAACTCTTGTTTGAATAATAACATGGACATGTTCAAAATAGTGTGACAATTTCGTAAGATTAGCTGTTTTGTGAGCCATCATTAATATTCTGGTATGTTTAATTTACAATTCGTAACCAGGTAAGATTCATAGTATAAATTTCAAACGAATTCTCTCATTTGCGATGAGCTTTTTCCCTATATATGGTGTATGGTACCTCTTAAACATAATTCCATAAAATGTTCAATAACTCGATCCCATTTCCACAGACGAGTACACAATTGAAATATTAAGATCACACAAGAGCGGAAAATTATGATTTTATTATGCATAATTACAAATGGTATGAATATACCGGTATGCTAGTTTGTATAAAATCTATACAAGTTTACACAGCATGCAATACACAAAGCGTATATCACTGTAAAATTACGTAGTCAAAAAATTGAATAATTCCAAAATCTTCAATACTTTTAGCACTCTTATACTGTTTGAAGACAAACGCAATAAAATGTTTCACTTTTGTAGAAGAGGAAGACAACGTATTGATTTTATCTCTGCTGCCTTCTTCCTGGATCCTTTAATTTTCTGAGATTCCAAAAAGACAAATTTAAGAACTGTATTGTTTCATTGCTCAAGGAGCAAAAAACACAGCAATCACACTTGAGTCAGTATTATATGGTTGTTGCTAATGACTGGTGTATTGGGGGCTGGAAACAGCGCACGTGTTCGACGGGAATACTTTCAGAGTCACTTGTCTTTAAGTATTTGTTCAATACGGCAAAGATTTGATTGTTTAAAATCTGGAACTTTCTTATGCGATCCACCATCTTCTTCAATTGCTGAAAAACAGATAAAAGTAACTACGTGTACATGTATATTACTTGCACACACCGAGACATCCCGAATTCTATAGATAAGCATCAGAAGTGAGGGGTAGATTAAGATACTTACTATGCCTTTCACATTTTCGTCCTTCATGTCTACACGATTAACTTTGAGAACGTGATAGCAGAAATCTAGTGCCTCAAACCTCCGTTGCTGTGACAACAGGACAATGAGGGCGCATCCAGCCCAGTTCAGTCCCTCCCCATAAAGCTCTCTGTAATAAAATTTCAACATTAAAATCTGTATCAGAATTTATTTCAGCACATGATACTGATTTTAAAATATAATACCCAACTTACTCGACCGAGTACTCGTTTTCCCTGACTGGCATACAGTACACAAATTGTATAGCACTCCAGAGTCGATGGAATTCTGTACACTCGTCAATGTTCATGACTCCGTTGGCTGGCTGCTGGCCATGCCAGATCTGGTCCTCAACAAACGTTTTGATTCTGGTCAATACGATCTCAAACATGGATAGACCGCAGCACAGCCTCTCTCTGGTAAGTAGGTCACCTTCTGCTGCTATGTCTGCTTGCTGTTCAAAGTCAATATCAAATTAAAATTCTATAATGACGTAAACCTTCAACTGAGAAAGAGGAAGACCAAACACCCTGTCCACGTGCTTACTAAACACCCTGTCCACGTGCTTACCTGAGGGGTACCCAGTTTACTGATGACCGGCACCACCTGTAAGGCAGCATATTTAGCTTCTAGCCTCTTCATCATGTTCTTCAGTTCTTGTTCTTTCTCCTTCCGGTTATCACCCTCTATTGGATATAATTTAAATATTCCCGTTGAAAAAGGAACTGGTACATTTTTTGGGCATTAAAAAGCCTCCAAATTTAATTGTATTCACATGACTCAATAATTTTACATCTTAAAGTATACTGACAGATTAATATTCTGTTTGTTTTCATATATTGTCGATAAAAAATTATAAAAACCTACAATTTATTTTAAATGTTCAATAATATTAGGTAAAAAATGTACATTTTCTAAGACCTAAACATTGTATTTGGACTAACAATATTTCCAGTAATAATCGCCGTTAGACTGAATAAGATAACTATAGATATAAACTTTACCTTTGATTGGTATAAAGGGCTTCGGAATGATGTTCTGAAATGGCGCCGCATGTTTCAAATCACACACTTCTTCCTGGGTCTGTAAAACGAAAAAAAAAAAACTTGACTTGGGTCACAAAAGCGCCTTCACATTTTTTTTTATAAAGTTAATTATCTTTCTGTTGTACTATGTAACAGTTAATAAAATTTTATTAAGTTATTTCAAAAGATATACTTCTGTACCCCCCCCCCCCCCCCCATTTGACTTAATAGTTGAAAACGAAATACTTGAAGTGATCAAAATTTACATGATATCATTTGGTCCATGACTTTTGATGTTGAAGAAATGAATGCATTCTGAAAAAGGCATAATTTAATATGAAACCTTCCGATCTCATGAAAAATGGGGATATGTTGCATGTGAGCTTGAGCAGAATATGGTTATTGTTGCAAAAATTATTTAGGTATGAATAGAATAAAACAGATTTAATACCAAAAAAGCAATGCATCCAGCAAAATTCGCATACACTGTATTTGTCGGAACATACTGAAGGTGTTCGATAAATATTCAAACCTTTGTTTATCAACATGCCCCGTGTAAAAAGAGATGTACATGTCTGTATGCATCTCTTGATAATTTTCCCGCGAAAGCAAATTCTAACATACATGAATCATATTTTTAACGATACTCAAATACATGTAGCTGAAAGTACGTCGACCATATCACTTTAAATCTCATTAAGCATTTGCTATTCGAATTTTGACAATCGTTGACTGTTTATATTGGGTATCTTTTTCAAAGGTTAGAACTTGATTGGGAAAAAAAATTGATAATATAAAAAAAATGCAAAGATATGGGGCGATAAGGGTTCTTGATCGGAGACGACAGGTTGTCAGTGGGTTGTATATAAGACACATTGGATGTTTAAACATCGTGCACTCCTATTACAATCTGTTGTTTATTTAGCTGGATAACAATCCATCTCCCATCACATAGCTTTAATGACTAATTCCATTTGCTATTCAAATGTCGTTTCTACCTGATTATTAAGTAAATATGCTCTGTTCCGCCTCTCTGAAACGAAAACTGCTCGAGTTTGTATTACCTCGCAATAATCACACGTTAAATGCAAAACATAAAAATTAAATTACAAAAGCTAATATGTTACAAAGATATTTTTTAAAGAAATTGGTGCTAAAAAAAAGTATTTTTAAAACATGAGACCCAGGGGCCTTAACGGACACCTGAGTATGAACAATACAACAAATTTGACCTATAAATTACTTACTGTAATTAAGTATCATAAGTAAATAGCAAAGGGGAATACCTTTTCGCAGTTGAGTATAAACTTCCCTAAAATGTCAATAGAGCCCTGCTCAGCACCAGAACACTTGACCCAGTGATCAAGAATTTCACAAATCTAGTAAACACACCCTTGCTCATTAAAACTAAGATTTTTTTTTAAAATTATGCATATTCACTACATAACCAATAAAGCTCCAACCTAACACCAGAACCCCTGACCCTGGGGTCATGAATTTCACAATTTCAGAAGAGACATTCTTGCTTATTATAACCATGCACTTAGTTACCTGCTAAATACCCAGGAGCAGAGAAGAAAATTTTCAAAGAAATAATGCATTTTCACTATATTATCAATACAACCCCCCACCCCCACCCCCCGACTAGAATCCCTAACCCTAGGGCCATGAATTTCGCAATTTCAGAAGAGGCATCCTTGCTCAAAATAACCAAAACACTTACTTTGTTTGCTAAATACCCAGAGGAAGAGAAGAAGATTTTAAAGGAATTTATGTATTTTCACTATATAATCAATTGAGCCCCACCTATTACTAGGACCCCTGACCCTGGGGTCATGAATCTCAAAATTTCAGAAGAGACATTCTTGCTTATTATAACCATGCACTTAGTTACCTGCTAAATACCCAGGAGCAGAAAGAAAATTTTCAAAAAATTATGCATTTTTCACTATGTAAACAATACAGCCCCGCCCTAACAACAGAACCCCTAACCCTAGGGCCATAAATTTCGCAATTTCTGAAGAAGTATCCTTGCTCAACATAACCATGTACTTACTCTGTTTGCTAAATACCCTGGGGCAGAGAAGAAAAATTTTAAAGAAATTATTCATTTTCACTATATGATCAATAGAACCCCATCCTAACTCCAGAACTCCGACCCAGGGGTCATGAATTTCACAATTTTGATAAAGGACTCAATGCTTATTACAAACATGCGAACACTTTTAACTTTTTGATGTCCAGGGGTTAAGAAGATTTTTTAAGACTGCATCAAATTTGATTCTTTTTAGCCCCACCCTTCAGGCCCCGAATGGGGAGGGGATCATGAAATTCATAAATTTTGTTCCCCTTCACCAATATATGCCATACGCCAAAATTGGCTGAAATAAGTTCAGCGGTTTCAGAGAAGAAGCTGAAAATGTTCAAATGTTAACACATTACGCAGGTCGCACGACGACGGAGCAATAGATCACCTGAGTGACTCACGTGACCTACTAAGAAGAAAGGGGTTCGTCCTACTTCCAGTACGACAAACGTATTCGAACAGCTGGAAACAAAGATAGTGACGCAACATAAAGATGACGAGTTCGTTATCATTTTGTATCAATTTAAAGATATAATAAATCTGTATGCCTACATTTCATCTCAACAGGTGTTTATAGTATACAATCTAGGTTTATCTACACAAACTTTTCATTAAAGTATCACGACCTGCCAAGTTCTTTGATGAATTTTGGAATCTGAGACAGTGATGAGAAAAGATACCATGCGGTGTACCTTTGTTAAAGTTTATTCTAACATATACAAAAGTCCCAGATATATACAAAACGGTTAAAACAAAGTCTTACGTCGATCGCATGCTGAAACGGTCAAAGACTCGAATGCATGCATTTCCGGGACAACTAACAGGTGGTGAGGAATATAGAAGATAAGGAATTGTCTGTGACCGCTGTCGCGCGTGTTCCAAGCTAATTAGCCTGTAATTACGGCCGTTTTTGGAGACGAATCAGGAGGGTCCCGATACCCCCTCTTGGAATTTTAGTCTAATCATATCTGGAGTAAACAAACATTCGTGTGCAGTGATGACAGGACTAATCTGTTACAAGAATTGGTGAAGAGCCCCGGCATGATAAGATCTGTTACCCATGAAGGATACTGGAAAACCGTTCAGGTGGCTGAGAGAGAGAACTCACATAATCTGTGTGTAATCAGAATATATTGTGTGTCGTAGGATCTTACACATAAAACTGGACTAATATACTACAGGTAAATTTTATGTACAATGTAAAGTACATTTACTAAGTGTGTCAAATGATAACAGTCTTTTATTCACACGGAAATCTGTACTATTAACGGAACTGTCATATCCAGTTAAGGATGTTTAACGTGGTTTATGATTAATTAATTAAAGGAAGTTATACCGAAAAAGAAACAAAATATACCTGAAAATATTCCCAAAAAAAACCCCCGATAAATCTTAATAATTACCGTGTAAAAATGGGAATATTGGTTAAATGCTTCCTTAGAATTAGTGATCATATTTAAACAATACTAATTCGTGGATTTAAAAAAGAAGAAAATGTTAGCATAATTTTTCCTCGTATAAAATTTCAAAAATTAAAATCCTTGCAACGTAACTATACACTGCTAACTAAAATAAAAAGACAGTATTCTGGCACTAGAATATTTGAATAAAGTACATGTTTGATTTAAAACGCTAAAAGTCATATTCGCAAAACCGTGGTTTAAAAAAAAATACTTAAACACAAAATGGATGAATAAAAATCATTTGCTTACAATACTTCCATTTAACCATTCCACTAACTAACTTGTAGAACAATAATAATAAAATTTACACCCCCTCCCCCCCCCCAAAAAAAAAATTGCTCACGTTTACCGACTTTTTGTCTAGTCTGTATTATCTTTCGCGTCAAAGGGAACAATTTCAAAAGGCAAAATATTTATCTTGCTAAATGAACGTCTTAATGTGTTTTCATTCCTTACAGTCTAAACTGTACCAATGCAAATGTCTCAATATATTAAATCATATACAATATAGATCTGAAATTAAGTGACCCGTTATAATTCAGTAAGTAAAAGACAGGAATGCTTTAGTTTATTCTTCGTAAATACTCCATAAAAATCCTTTGTATTTCTGAGGATCACATTTTTGGGCATATGATTGAAGCAGGGGTTTTTTCCCCTGAATCTCTTACAAAAAATATGGAAAAGAAAAACTTCCGAGCCCAATACTTCAAATAAATTATGTTGAAGTTGATGATGTCCATAAATTTCTCTGTTATTGTGGTTAAATAAGGTCATGGAAACGTTTTAATATTTGTATGTGTTTGTTTTAATTTCATTCATTAAAATGAAAATCAAAGTAACTACTATGACCCTATTTTATTTAGGTAATTAAAATGGGTGACTGCAACTTTAACTCCACCGAAGTTAATTTCCCAAAAGCAACCTCTGATCTGGAAAGCGTCACAAAATGGTTACGATTCTGCAAGGCCGCTTATGTAGACAAATGTGACATGTACCACCTCCGTCCACGTCTCTCTAACCTGTCCTTCTTCTTCAGCGAGGCCACAGAGGAGGATTGTCTGAACACCAAGCAGTTAACGGCTTACTGTATCTCCATGATCCTAAGTGTTCTCATCATTCTCGCAAACAGTGTCATCCTCGCAGCCTTTGTGTATGGCCGAAATCGTCTGCTGAAGAGCTCCAATATTCCGATCATCAGTCTAGCACTCTCTGACCTGCTGACTGGGATCACCTTTCTTTATACCTCTACTTGGAATCTCATCATTCTTGATGCTGGCTATGACTTTGATTTGATGAAGATTCAATACTATACAAGCATGCGTGCCAACTACTACCTCTGTTTAACACTGGATGGACCTGGCTTTGTTTTTGCTTGCATGATGTCCTCTGTTTTAAGTCTGGCCGTCATTGCATCAGATCGCTATCTGGCAATTTTTCACTCTTATCGCTATCACTTCTGGATCACTACCCCAAGAATGGTGATAGCAGTCATAATTATCTGGGTTATATCCTTAATAGTAAGTGTTCTTCCTTTGCTGGGTTGGAACAATTGGAGCGGTACCTGTCAGCTGACTGATGTTATGGATTATGACTATCTGGTGCTATGGAGCTCCATTTGCTTCATTTGTGGATTTCTCATTCTCTTCATATATCTGAGGATATTTATAATCGCCCGGAAACACAGTCGTCAGATTCAGGCACAGGTCTCCTCTACAACTAACACTAGTGAAACCGTTCCACCAGAACCAAGGGTGAGCAGAGATTTCACAACTATGAAGCCTAGAAACAATACCTCTAGTTCTCTTACAAGTTCCAAATCCACAGTGGATTATCTAGAAGACAGTGGTTGTCATGATGTTACAGAGATGCATAATATGTCCACACAAGAATCAAACGCCTTAGAGCCACAGAACAAAGAGGATAATGACAGGAAAGAAGATGCAGGCAATAAAGGAGCTGCAGCAAGTGTGGCTCCAAGCACAAGCCAGGAAGACAGTAAAAATAAAGATATCAATCAGACTGGTGAATCAGAAAGCACGACCACAGGGACAAAGCAGGGGAAGAAGAGATCAAGTGGTGCAACAGTGGTCTTCATGACCGAGAACAAAAATTCATCAAAATTGTCGAAAAAGCAAACCGACAAAAAGGGATTTCAGAAGCCGACCATGAAAGCTGTACGAACCACAGCCATGATCTTGGGGGCTTTCTACATATGCTGGACACCGCTGTTGGTGTACCTTCTACTGAAGGTTCATGACCAGTTCCACAACCTTACACTGTATTATTTATTTGTAGTGACGCAGCTTAACTCTCTGTTTAACCCCATTGTGTATGGATTCCGACAGATGGATATAAAAACTACACTCCGCAGGATGAGAACATGTCAAAAGGCATATTAAATCTTAGAACTTTAACAATCTGAACATGTATATCTTAAAAGCTAAAAAAAAAGTCACAATGTTTACTGTAAAACACATATGTGCTAGAATTGAGCATTGCATGGCAAATTTGTTCCCTTTAAAATGATATGAGGTAAAAATTAATTATCCTGCAAATGTAAAAGAAAACAGTCATTTATAACACATCTCATGCTGCGTGTAAAATGAGAAACCATACTTTTCCACCACTTGTTTTATTCCTTAAGAGTCTGTTGAATCTCAAACGCAAAGATCTGAATTTTAGACAACTTTACATACAAGCCACATACAACTTAAAGACAGCCATGTGGAAACAATTACTTCTTTTCTATGAAATGATACATTTTGTTTAATTACCAAAAAATTAGCTTAATGCCCAACACACAGTAGTATAGATCAGAGAAATATTTAGAGTTATAAATGCACATGTATTTGATGTTTCCCATAATAAAATGAATAAAATGATTTTTTTTTTTACTGTTTTTTATAGAAGGGTTGGACAAGTTTCTCGTAACAACTTGACATCTTTCAAGGATAAATAACACAAACTTTTTTTCTTCCGAAATTCAAATATCTTTGCTAAAATAGGTTCCTCTCTCACTTTAGAAGTGATATTTGTTAGTTACCGTATATACTCGCCTATAAGTCGGTTTTTTGGGAGTTAAATTTTGGTCCAAAACTCTTTGTCCGACTTATAGGCGAGTCATTAAAAACTGGTATTTTTCTGGATGACCAAATGTAGTATTTCATGAACATTTCCGACGATTGTCGTTAAATAAACTCTGAATATAGTATATCATTTGAGTATTCTAAGATTATACATAAAGTACAAGTATTTACACATTTTTATAGTTTAATTTTTATCCTATATGTGCATTACTTATTTGTTTAATGATTTAAAATTAAGTATCGGTGCCATTTTTAGAAATAATTGAAACCAAGTTAAAACATCGGAGCATTGATTTAAAATTGTCAACCGATTCTGGCAAAAACTTGTACCGACTTATAGGCGGGTCAATGGCAAATCCATCCAATATAACCTCAAAAAATACAACCGACTTATAGGCGAGTATATACGGTAAACAGCTTGATATTTGGCTAAGCCACATAATTTGGTGAAAAGTGCAAAAATACAAGTTTACAGTTCAACATATATTTTTTGGAGTTTTAGAAATGTATTAAGTTTTCTAACTGCAAAGCTTCTGGGAACATTTTTAAGAGTGTATTTTTACATTTTACACAATTGAAATTTTTAAATTACATTTCCATTGAAAGAAATATTGAAAAAAATACCAGTGTAACTCTTCTGTGTGGGAGATAGAAAATTTGTTTGTGGTATGTATCTTTATGTGTAATCTGAAATTGGTTATAGGCAAAAACTCTTAGAATATCAAAAATAAATGCACAGGGGGGTACATTGGAAAATTCTGACAATGTAATGTCGTTTTTTAGCATCAGCAGTCTCTATTATTTTGACTACTGTTGGGTCAATGAATAATAAAGAATAAATATTTGAAAGAAACTAAAATATGGTACTGCTGGCTTGTTGATTCTAGCAATAAGTATTTAATTTGAAAGCAAGGTCCAGTTACATATACAATGAAGAGAACTTTAGAATGTATAAAACTGACCAGAGCCTGTTCTACCAGCATACAGAACAGAATGGCATTTCCTACTTCTCGGAAACTCTGGAAGACCTCAGTTCTAAGATCAGGATATTGGATTAATTCAGCCAGCTGGGCTTGATAGTAACCCATAACACCTAGTGTCAAAACAATGCAACATAGATTTTCATGGTATATAAGTGTTCAAAAATATAGAAGTTTGTATTATTCAGATTTTTAAAAAAAATACATGTACAGAAATTTACAATTCTTTAAAAAAAAATCTCCAATGTTTTAAATACAGTGTTCTTGATCTTACCAGGAGAGCCGTAATCATATCTCAGAAGGCGACAGACTGGGGGCATCACCGTCATTAAGGTTTTTACATAGTCCATCAGAGTTCCTTTCAACTGTAGAGTATAGAAAACAACTCAAAATCAGCAGGAGATATCAAGTCTGCCCTCAAAGTACTATAAGTGTTGTGATGCAAATATCTATCAATATTTTCCTCTATTCAAACATCATTTACATGTTTTTGTTATACATTAGTCTGTAGATTTAAAAGGAAAATATCTGCATTATTAAAACAATAAATGGGTACAGCAATAACCTTGACCTTTGACCAAGTTATCCGAAAATCTACAGGTGTCGTTAACCATCCCTATGTTGTTTAACTTTATACAAATTCTGTAGTTTGAAAAGTACTCAAGTTATCAAAAATGACATATCATTTGAATTACCAAAGCTTGGACAATTTTCAGCAGCTCTTCTATAACAACTGCTATTCCCTGATATCCAATCAGGCGACACATAGACCTGAAGTGGGGGACTCCCACAAAACCGTGGTAGAGTCCATATATTGCACTAAAAGATGTGGTAAGGGCCTAAAAAGTGGAAAAATTTGAATATACTAGTATGACAAGTATGAATATACTAGTATGACATTAACAAAATGCTCTGAAATCAAAGACGCATCATTATCCATCGACTGATAAAACACAAACAAGATGAAACAAGAGGCCCAAGGGCCTTAATGGTCACCTGAGTACAATACAACAATTTAGAGGATCCAGAAACTAATAAATGAAGGTTTGTTGCCCAAAAGCAAGGAAAATAGTATGATTAGCATCAACAAAATAATTGGTCTAGTATCTATCTGCCCCCCCCCCCCCCCCATTTATCACTATTCCCATGCAGACTATTAACAAAATGTCTATTATTTAACCCCATATCATTACTTCTCACAATGGCCTCTCTTGGCCTTTAAAGAACATTTAAAAAGATAAGTTATTTTTGTCTAATTTTTATTCATCCATTATTTCCAAGTCATTAAAACAATGAAAGTACTTTTTTTATTATACAATAAATTTTCTTGCATAATTCTCTTATTCTATTAAGCTTTCAAATACATTATTTACAGTGATTTATTATCAAAGGTGAATGGCAAAGGGGAATAACTCTGCTCAGCAGAATACAAGTTAATAGAGCTCTGGTCAGGACCAGAACACTTGACTAAATGGTCCAGGTGTTCAAAATTCTGGTAAAATACCCTTGCATATTAAAGCTTTTACTCTGTTTGCCTTGAACATCCCCAGAAGCATAGAAGATTTTCAAAGAAATGCATTTTCACCATATTATTAAATAAATAAAGCCCCATCCTAACATCAGCTCATCTGACCCATTGGCCACGAACTCACAATTCTGGAAGAATCACCCCTTTTCATCATAACTATACTCTTGTTTCTTTACTTTATAACCAGTAGAAGAAAAAATATTTTGAAAGAAATTATGCATTTTCATTATATAATCAATAGACCTCCCCCCTCACCAGAACCCCTGACACAGGGGCCATGAATTTCACAATTTTGGAAGAGGCATTCTTCCTTATCATAACCATGCACTTCCTTTGTTTGAAAAATACCCAGGAGTAGAGAAGATGATTTTGAAAGGATTCATGCCTTTTCCCTATATAATCAATAGAGCCCCGCCCTAACACCAGAACCCCTGACCCACGGGCCATGAAATTCATAATTTCTGAGGAGGCAGCCATGCTCATCATAAATATGTACTTAGTTTATTTAATATCCAGGGGCAGAGAAGAAGATTTTTAAAGAATTAATGCAATTTTACTATATAATCAATAGAGCCTAGCCCTAACACCAGAACCCCTGACCCAAGGGCCATGAAATTCACAATTTCTGAAAAGGCAGCCATGCTCACCATAACTATGTTCTTAGTTAGCTTATTTAATACCCAGGAGCAGAGAAGAAGATTTTCAAAGAATTAATGCATCTTCACTATATAATCGATAGAGCCCAGCCCTAACACCAGAACCCCTGACACAGGGGCCATGAATTTCACAATTATGGAAGAGGCAATCTTTATTATCATAACTATGTAATTAGTTACTTTATTTAATACCCAGGAGCAGAGAAGAAGATTTTCAAAGAATTAATGCATCTTCACTATGTAATCAATAGAGCCCCGCCCTAGCACCAGAACCCCTGACACAGGGGCCATGAAATTCACGATTTTGGAAGAGGCAATCTCGCTCTTCATAACTATGTACTTAGTTAGTTTATTTAATACCCAGGAGCAGAGAAGAAGATTTTCAAAGAATTAATGCACTTTCACTATATAATCAATAGAGCCCCACCCTAACACCAGAACCCCTGACCCTGGGGCCATGAATTTCACAATTTTGGAAGAAACAATCTTCCTTATCATAACTATGTACTTAGTTACTTTATTTAATACCCAGGAGCAGAGAAGAAGATTTTCAAAGAATTAATGCATCTTCACAATATAATCAATAGAGCCCAGCCCTAACACCAGAACCCCTGACCCAGGGGCCATGAAATTCACAATTTTGGAAGAGGCACTCTTGCTCATCATAACTATGTACTTAGTTACTTTATTTAATACCCAGGAGCAGAGAAGAAGATTTCCAAAGAATTAATGCATTTTCACTATATAATCAATAGAGCCCAGCCCTAACACAAGAACCCCTGACCCTGGGGCCATGAATTTCACAATTTTGGAAGAGGCAATCTCGCTCTTCATAACTATGTACTTAGTTAGTTTATTTAATACCCAGGAGCAGAGAAGAAGATTTTCAAAGAAATAATGCACTTTCACTATATGATCTATATAGCCCCACCCTAGCACCAGAACCCCTGACCCTGGGGCCATGAATTTCACAATTTTGGTTGAGGGCTCAATGCTTATTACAATCATGCCAAAAGTTTGACTGCTTGAAGTCCAGGAGTAAAGAAGAATATTTTAAAGATTGCATTATTTTTGGCGGTTTTAGCCCCACCCCTCAGGCCGCAGGGGGGCAGGGACCATGAAATTCACAATTTTTGTTCCCCTTCACCCATAGATGCTATATGCCAAATTTGGTTGAAATTGGTTCAGCGGTTTCAGAGAAGAAGCTAAAAATGTTCAAATGTTAACACAAGACGCACGACGCACACCGCACGACGACGGACGAGAACGGATAGCAATAGGTCACCTGAGTGACTCAGGTGACCTAAAAATGTATATGACACATATTATGAAGGCAATGTAGGTAACTTTAAACACCTGGTGTTACTAAAACCAGATTGCTAGATTCCTAATGAAACACTTGTGCCAAGATTTACAACTGTGTAACGGTATACAAAAATGTTTGAGTAGAATCCCAAAATTATTAGTATATTAAATTCTATGACATTGATTAGACAGAGAGATGAAAATGGTGATAAAAGGAATCTACCCTTTGCCTCAGATGAGCTAAAAACAATTTGTGGGGGGGGGGGGGGGTTAGAAGCTTTGTTTAAGATTTGAGATTCTTAGTTCTTACCTTTGTGCCCCAAATGTAAGAATACGATGGATTGGGCTGCTTTTCTCTTTGACTAGCTGGAGCAAATGGCAAAACTGTCTTAACAAATCTAGAATAACAAAATTACAAGTATGTAAATATTACATATATCTAAATCATGTCTGTGTGAAAAAACCGTGCACTTGTAAAAGAATGGATATATTAAGGTTAAAGCATTCTTGAAAAAAAATTCCTGCAGTTGAAGTGACTTTTGTTACTTCAAAATATTTCTGATGTTGATCTGAATCTCAGAAACCAGAACAAAGGAATCCTTGAGGCAATTTGTTTTCCCACTGAAAGATGTCTTTTGCTGTTATTTGAATCAAAATTTGAAAAAGAGAATACTTCTCTAGAATGAAATACATTATGGAAATGTTTTATTATTATGTGAGTAGAAGTTTTATGTTAAGGCTTACCTGTTTGTGGCAGCATTGTAGCAGTAGTTTGGTAGGAAATCATAATTGACCTCCCAGAACACATGAAGAGTGATTCTGCCATACGGGGCAGAGACATTGTGGTTAGCTTCTCTCAGCATGGCATCAAAGTCATTCAAGGTGATGTACTTGTTCATCAGTTTGTGGGCCAAGCGATTACATTCTACCAGGCCCTCTAGCTCCTACAAAACAGGAAACCACATGGACATGTAACAGAATTTATAAGGTTGCTTTGGGTTACTTTTTAAAAAAAATTTTTTTTACATATTGCAATGCAGTTTTCTTTGAAAAGACATATAATTTTTCACATTTTATTTGTCAAGACTTTATTTTCACATTATTTTGACTACTAAGTACTGAATATCACCAAAAATAAGTGTGAAGTAAAATATTAGTGATTTACAGAACATGCAGTGTCATTGAATAAATACATTCTATCACCCAACATATTTCACTGAAAATAAATCACTGCTCAATTTTATTTACATATTTAAAGACTACAGTGATTCAAGGAAAAGTCAGAGAGTTCATGAATTCTTACCACAATGCCTGTCAATTCTCCTCCCTCAAATCTAGAAATGGCAACATCCAGAGCCTTTTGTAACGAGGCATTAACTCTCTGGCCAAGCAGGCGATTTAAATCTATTGAACGACCTAGAATCTGAAAAAAAATATGAATAATATTATCAAGAGATAATTCACTCAAAAAATTATTAAATACAAAATGCAGAAATAAACTCAAACAACTTTAAACTTACATACCTGAACATGTCTCTGTTTGAGAAGGGTCTTGTATCTATTGGCAACAGGATAAACTATCTTTGTTCCAAAGCTAGCACACTCTGCTCGAAATCTCTTGTCAAGCATTATACTGTAATATATTTCCTATTTAAATGCATTTTACTGAATTATATTTTACATTTTGAATATATTCACTCTCTTTGGATACTGCATAGGTACTTTTTTCCATGGGGTCATAATTCTGCAGAATCACAAATTCTGTTCAGTCTGCAGGTAGAAAAATTTACAGATTTCTTGATTGCCATTGTATGTCTTAATAGCTCTTTAAGTTCGCTATGACAAATTTGTGACTTAGTTTAAACTAATTTCACACAGAAAATTGTACATCTACAGTATTCCCAATGCTAAAACCATACCAACCTGCCAGCTAAATGTTTGTAGTAGGCAAAGATTTGATCACTGAGTTTGTACACAAACTGGTCAAAACAAAGGTTGACCTGTCAAGAAAATACTAACGATGTATAACAATCAAGAACCCTTTCAAATGGATTATGAGAATTTATGTGCACATTTCAATTCAATTTCAAAATGACATAATGTGTAGATATGATGAATATTTTGACATAAGAAAAGGAGAAACTGTCTGGGATAAATATACACAAACCTCTGCTTCCACTTCATCATAGAGGAATTGTTTGTGGAACTTGGTCAAGGCATAGTGACCACTATCATTGTACAGGTCTAAAGGATACAGGATATATCTACAAAGCAAAGATATCCACTGTTACAAAACTGAGAAAACAAAGAATAATAGACGTAAAAACATTGTTCAAGTACCTTATAGATCAGTAAGTTCTTTTATTTACATTTCCAAATATTTTTCTTAGAGGAACCTATTGAAGATAAAGTATGTTCAATTCTGTATGAACTTATTAAGGGGTCAGAGGTCATGGCGTGACCGAATCACACAGCGAGATGATATCTTGTCTACATATTTCTGTCACGGTGACACTGGTTTCGGAACTTCTAAGCTGTTAAAGCGATGAAAAAGATTAAATTATTGAAACACATATTTTTTTTTTCATTCAACAAATGATCATTAGTTCTTTCTTTGGTGTGAAGAATGTTTTTAATTAACTTAAAAATCACGCTTACCTTTTTAACCCAAATTCCTTTGAAGGTATGTAAACTGGAGACGATACCACCGCTTTTGACTTCATATATAAAGAACTCATACAATAATAGTAAGATTATTCTCAGTAGCGATCATTGTTTTTTCATTATGAACAGATATTTCCTGAACTGGACTGCTGAACATCAAAGTAAGTATTCAAATGTTGGAGCGAGGCGAACTCTCAAGACCAAACAGCTTCTAGGTCATTGTGTGTCACAACATAGCAATACGGTGGGCCGTTCATGTAATAAATGCAGTTCTTTTCAGAATATTTGTCTCAAATGTAAATAAAAGTAATAAACAACAATGTTAAAAAGTTCACTGGGAAATGAACTTGGTTGGTATGTGATCAAATCTTCTGAGAAGCCCTTCGGGCTTCACAGGATTTGATCACGTGACCAACCAAGTTCATTTCCCAGAGAACTTTTTAACATTGTTGTTTATTTCTTAAGTACATAAATCATAGAATGTATCCCTTAGGTGACCTTACAAAAAATCTAATACTAATTACTTTTAAATTAATTTTAACCATGGAATAACTTACTCCATCATGGAAGCATCTTTGGTTTCCAGAACATGGTCTGTAAGAATCCAAGGCATGGACATTTCAATTGGAAACTGAAAGTAACAGGATACTCACAATTACTGCATATTCAAATACTAAATGTTTCACAAAATCTATACAACTGTTCACATAGGCATGACATGCTCTGAAAGTTCATAGAAAGTCGATAAACACTTGGTTTTACATGCATATACAGTTAACCTTGATACATGCAAGTCAAACTTCATGGGAATTAATAAACTTTTTTTTTAATATCTGACTATTTGAGTTCATGAAGTTGAAACTTGGACTCTAACACTAATAGCAAATGTAGAATCAATTCTACATGTTCCTGGTGTTTGATAAACATTGGCAGCAAAGATACAGAAGTCCAACTGTGTACTTTAGTACATTCTTTAAGACCGCGGAACATGAACTGGCAAAATTGAAAATACGCAGCTTATGTCATTTCCATCTGTTACAGTCAAAACATTAATGACAGACAATAGAATGGGCGGGTACAATTCGGCACGGACGTCCAAGAAAACATTGGATTAAAATTCTAGTTTGAAATTCATTTTCAATCCACCTCAGCTACGCTAGATGGCACAGTGTTACTGATTGACCCAAAAGACAAATAATTTCAATTTCGGAATAGTTTGAACTTTAATTATATAAATCAGAATTTCTGTCCAGTGTTTTTAAAGAAATATAAAGGGAGAAATATTTGATTTCTGTTAGGTATGTGCATGTGTGTGTTGGGGGGAGGGGGGGGGGGTGACCAATCTTGAAAATAACAATTTAAATCAATTTCAATTCATTTATTGATTCACCAAACATGTTGGCATACAACCATGTTACATACAAAATGAAAAATACAGTGTGTTTTCAGATTACTACCAAAGAATTTTTTTTCTAGTTTGGACAATCCCTCCCTGTTTTTGATTGTCAAACATTTTTCAGGGAAGACATCCTAGAAATAAATATTTGTCAGGTGAAGGCATGATCTGACTAGACAATTTTTGACCCATCCTCTTCTAGAATCAAATGGGCGTCCCCTGAAAAAATAATCTCTGTCTTCTATGACTTTTACGTGTCCTTAAAATTATAGGCTAAGAAACTCATATAAACAATGATAAATATGAATTTCAAACAACATGTACTTTGGGAATTGAAATTATTTGTCTTTTGGATCATACATTCACACTTTGCGTTTGAAAACAGCTCAGGTGGATTGAAAATGAATTTCAAACTAGAACTTCAATCCAATGTTTTCATGGACGTCCGTGACAAATTGTACCCGCCCATTTCATTGTCTATCATTAATTGTTTTGACTGTAACAGATAGAAATGACGTAAGCTGCATATTTCCAATTTTGCCAGTTAATGTTCCGCGGTCTTGAAAGTTGGTCTTACTTGAATTCTTTTTCCCATTGTCATCTCCAGGAAGAATTCTCTGTACCAAAGCTGAGACAAATCACAACATCTGTGTAGAGAGTCTGAAAAATACATAGCAATTGATTTACTTAACAGTTAACTTTGTCTTCTTTTAGTGATGAAATTAACTCTGGTCCTATTGATAGGGGACAAACCATTGAAGTTGAGGAGGTAATTCCAGTAGAAGGACTCTTTGTGGAACTGATCAATAGCCATTAGATGTTGTCCATCAATGTCCTTCCTCAAGGTCTTCTTCCCACTGCCACCACTCTTGTCCGCAATCAGGGACTCCAACATTGTCCGTACCATGTACAGCTGAACAGGAAATATAGAAACAAGTGAATCATTGAGTAAGTACATACTGATGAGTTCTACACAACAATTTACAGTAGTACTGTCTGTCTTTTAAGATCGAGTAAGTACATACTGATGAGTTCTACACAACAATTTACAGTAGTACTGTCTGTCTTTTAAGATTGAGTAAGTACATACTGATGAGTTCTACACAACAATTTACAGTAGTACTGTCTGTCTTTTAAGATTGAGTAAGTACATACTGATGAGTTCTACACAAAAATTTACAGTTGTACTGTTTCTCTTTTAAGATTGAGTAAGTACATACTGATGAGTTCTACACAACAATTTACAGTAGTACTGTTTCTCTTTTAAGATTCAGTAAGTACATACTGATGAGATCTACAAAACAATTTACAGTTGTACTGTTTCTCTTTTAAGATTGAGTAAGTACATACTGATGAGTTCTACACAACAATTTACAGTAGTACTGTCTGTCTTTTAAGATTTGTCAACAATTTACAGTAGTACTGTCTGTCTTTTAAGATTTGTCAACAATTTACCGTAGTACTGTCTGTCCTTTAAGATTTGTCAACAATTTCTGTATTTACTTGTCTCCTGAATTACCACCACAGGAACACAATTACTTCATATGTCTCATATCATTATGCTGTCTCATATAACCATGTAATATTGACAGAGTTAAGAAATCACAATGACTATTTTTAACTCAAGACAGAAAATTTTAAAAACATTCCAGGCTAAATTGATCAAATAAACCCTCCGCAGAACTAAGGTTTATCAAACAGCCATGTTTTTAAATGAAGTATGTAAGAACAAGCTTCAAGAAAAATATTCCTTTATGAAAAGTCTCAGCTACAGTAATACTCTCAGGAATTTTTTAAATATGAAAGCAATTTCTTATATGTCCTGCAAACTGTGCAGCTTTTTTTTTTTTTATTAAAATTTAAATGTAATGGGATGTTTTAAGCAACTATCAATATTCCTATCAGTTGATAGTATAGGGCCTATAAAATTTTTATTCATAAGTTGACATACAATGTCTATAATCAAAATACCACTGTACTATGTTTATGTACAGATGTAATGCTCTTTAGTTAGTTGAAGTCAAACATGTTAATACCATTTTACTATGTTTATGTACTGATGTAATGCTCTTCAGTCAGTTGAAGTCAAGCATGTTAATACCATTGTACTATGTTTATGTACAGATGTAATGCTCTTCAGTCAGTTGAAGTCAAACATGTCAATACCATTTTACTATGTTTATGTACAGATGTAATGCTCTTCAGTCAGTTGAAGTCAAGCATGTTAATACCATTTTACTATGTTTATGTATAGATGTAATGCTCTTCAGTCAGTTGAAGTCAAGCATGTTAATACCTGTGTGGTTGAAGGACCAACATTCCTACGTGGTACTTTGATTGTAAATCCTTCATCAGGATCTTTTTTACCCTTCATTGCTGGGTCATCATGAGGTTCTACCCCTCTCATCCAATCAACACAGGTGTCTCGCACAGACAATATCAATCTGCACAACAATTGAATACAATTTATGTAATCATCAGTCCTTGAGAACAAATGACTCAAGCTAAAAAAACATTTTTATCTCTTCATATTATGAAAATATTTCTAGATGCTGCTTATAAATACATAAAGATGTCAAAGCACACTATCTGAAGTTAGTTTTATCTTGTGCAGTTCCATTCATTCAGTACATACACTTTGATGACATCATTTTTCTTTCTGATTGCCTTTCTCAGTGGATCTCTTAGACCTAGCTGTACAAAATCCTGTAGAGCAGCATAAATGTGTCTTCTGATGGCGTCCAGAAACACGGACTCCATCCTGGCCATCAGGAGTTGTAGCCCCTTAATCATGGCAATCACTTCCACAATGGCAAACTTTTCATCGCTGCTATAGTTATAACGAGTTGACTGCAATCATAAGAGTAACAGAATATATTATCATTCCATAAAATACACTGTGTTTTCATAATGACCTATCACTTTAGTAAGTTCTGGACTTTTTTTTCTAAATCCAACATAAAATTATCTATGTACTGCACATTAACTTATGTTTTCTTCATCAAAATCTAAAGGGAAGCAACTTGAGCATAGCAATAGAATTTAAATTCATTCAATGATAAGCAAATTAATGATGCAGTGGACCTCTAAAGCTATAACAAAGCAATGAGAACTTGTTTGATCTTACCCTCTCATACTCCTCTGCATCCTGGGGACATTCCGGGTTCTGGTGTGTGTCAGTTGGGTGCAGGAGCTTCCAAGAGTACTACAGTATATAAAAACAGTAGAATCAGTGATTATTAATATCATTCATTAAATTCTAATTTCTAATGATTTTTACTTGAAATTGTAAACCATGAAAAGATTATTCCTGAACATTTTCAAGAACAACTTAACATTATCCAAGATTCCATGTAAATAATTTAACAATAAAACGTAGATCTGCTGGTGATAAATATTCTATCCAACTCTTTTAATGTGGGTATAAGGCCATCAACACAATAATTAGTTAATTAGATGTAATCTACGGGACTGACCAGTTCCATGACCTGTTGTGTCCATGCTGACATTAGATGTAGCCCCCTGAGGGCCAAGTCACTTAACTCCTTATTCTCATAGTCTGACCTGGGACTCTCCCTGGTGGTGGTAATGGCCTTAAAAAGAGAATTTGTTTGTCATCACAGTGTAAATAAAAAGGAAGTGATTTTAAATATCAAATACATGTACAATCAATTCTCAAATTATCGCCATTCTATTTATTGCCATTCTTGCAATACCGCATGATTTTTCAAGAATGTTTTTCCTGCTGTATAAAATTCTCGTTATAATGCTAAATTCGTGTACCCCCACCCGCCACCCCATTTTCACAAGAAACGTCCACTTCAAAGTGTCAATTATCTCAATATACCGCCATAGAGGCATGTGGTGAAGCTGCTAATTGATTGTCACTATCTAGATCACCATTGTAAAGCCAAACAAGGTACTTACAGGGATTCATTTTACATACTTTAGGCAATAGTTCACTATAAATGACACAGCATGTTTTTTTTTTTTCAGTTTATTTTTAAACCAGACTTTCAGATTTACATGCCTGTACCTGTGTACATGAACATGTATATATTTTATAATAGTGTATTTTGTTTTAAAATGAAATTATTGTATGCAAAAAAAATATCTGAACCATTTTCAAATTTTTGAAATGTGTTTTATATAATAAGAATATAAATGCTAGATTTTCATTTCAGAGAACAATAACTCTATTTCTTTTTTTCTCAAGATGGGAAATTCAATTCATCACCAAATTCCTTATACCACCGTAAATTCTAAATTACAAAAGGTGGCGGTTTATTGAGAATTAACTGTATACATGATGTAAAACAAAACAGTGACATTTCTATTGTCTACAATTAATGTAAAATTTAATTTCTCGTAACAAAATAAAAGTTTCTGTTCAACCTAGAAAATCTAAATTTATCTTTGGAATTTCTTTTATAGACAAATTGTTACTATAATATGCACACTACTGAAATGTTTGATACATTGTACAATGGTGATTTCAGAAAGCAATACTACATAGTCTGAGTGAATCCTACCTCATTACTGTGTCTGGCCAACTGACTGATGTACGCCATGTGATCTTCTCTAATGGCCTCCAGATTAGCTAACAGGCTAGACTGAGGACTAAGCTGACTAGACTCACAAAATGTCCATCGTGAGGGGTCAAAGTTCAAGCTCTTTTGGATGTAATGGTAAGGTTTGATCTGCATGTCTCCGTAAAGGGGGACAACTTCCAATTGCTAAAGAAATTGCAAATTAACTTATTGTTTGGGGAAAAAGTAAGGTTTTCTTTTTTTATAATTTTGTTTTAAAGGATGAGATTCAGAAACATGCTGTTTGATGTATATATTTACATGATAAGTATTTACCTTTAAAATCCTATCTATCTTTGTTAAATTGACTCTTTTTCTGCCATCCATTTTGTAAATACTGTTTTCCTTGTTGTCCATCAAGAACAAACCAAATGCCATGACCTGAAATCAACAACAAATACCATTTAAACAATAATATAAGATCAAAATGTTTTTCAACAATAAAAATTAAGACTATGTAAAAACAATTATGGCTAGCCCATTATCCTAAGATAAGTACCTTTTCAGCAGGGTTGACAACTTTAAAAATATCATTTTGTTAATGTTGTTGGAAGTCAGGGCTAGGAAGATTATGAGCAAGTCTCATACACTGGTAATGCATTATTTACCTATTATTTTTATTATTTTACTTGAATTATTTTGGTACAGTGGCTTCCATTTTATCGGATAGCGGTTTAACGGATATTTCGGCTATTTCAATATAATATCAGAGCACAAAACCATTTCTTATATATTTATTAATAATTTCACCTGATATTCTGATGAGAAAATACTGGAATTTCGTTTTATCCGATACAAAAATTTGGACTATCATAGTGTTTTTTGATAATCAGCACCTTGTTCACACCTCCAACTTCGTATGTGAAGCCTTTGTTTTCACAGTTTGACACCAATTACCTTGACTGGCTTGAGTACGACAATGAGGGGATTAGTTATGCCTGGACGCACACAGGCACCTTACCTGTGTCAATAGTGGGCATAGTAAATAGATATGTTTTGATTACAGTTGTGGTGATCAGCTTGGGTTCAATGATGCACTTGTAAATTATGACAATTATTTGCAATTTTTTCGGCATGAAATTTTAATCATTGAACTGATTAGCTTGTGTATGACAATTTGCTCGGAAAGTGAAATAAACCTATTCAATCGTTTAACTTGGTCAATTGGCTTAATTTTTATTCATTTTTCAGTGCAAAATTTATGGTAAAAATCACAAATGGCTCGTTCTATAAAAATACGTCTCAAAATTCATACCATCTTTCTCCACATGGCTCTCAAAATCTCTCTTCAGCAGACAAGAACGAGACTGGTGAACTCACACACAGTATAAAATACGTAACCGTATTAAAGAAACAAATAAAATCGAAACAATTACATATATTTAATATTTTTGTTTATTTTTAATTTACAATCTATCCAGGGAAAAATAGTTTACGGTTATTAGTCAAGCATTTAGTCTACATCCGTTTCCAAAATGGCGACCGTCGAAGAAGGAATGTAAACATGTGCTGAAGAAAGATGGCAAAAACTATCAAAGAATATATTCTATACATCAATTTATTTGAAAAAAAAATTCATATTAAATTCATAAGTAAGTGAAATAAATTATTTTTAGTAAAGTCATTAAGTAAACATGTCAAAAGAAAACGAAAGTGCAAGCTTGAAATTTGCTAGCTACGATGTATTATCAATACATGTAGCTCTATGCATCTATCTTTGGACTCGGTATGGAGCAATCGTCTATTCTAATTTTCGGCTATTCGGATAAAACTAGGCTGACAACTTGACTATTCGATAAAACGGGAACCACTGTAATGCATTATTTTACCTTCACAAGCATGTGCTTTTCTGAGGGTTCCAAGAAGAGTCTGTTTTCATACATATGAACAGAGATGTTGACAACATCTGCTAGCAGCTCTTCATACCCTGGTGTTATTTCAAGGGCTTCCTTTAGCATGTCCCGGATTTTATTCTGTGTTGCCAAAAACATAGACAGATTCTGTGACTCCTGAAGAGACTGGGGATCTGCCATTACTTTTAAAAACTGAGCAGCTCTACAATGTAATAATCAAAAGAAATACCGGTATAATTTTGTGGAATTTATAGATTCATATTTCTTTTTTTTTATGTCTATGAAAATCAGATAGAAGTGAAAAATGTGAAAAGTCATCAACTGTCCACAGGTCTATCACCAAGAAAGTTTACAAAAAAATTCTTTATCCCATTCATCATATCATGGAACAAAAAAATTGTAGTCCAAAAATACACAAACACAAATGTAGGTAAAATACAAAATCTAAAAGCTTATTCCTGTGCCTCTTAGAGAGTTCTGAGTAAAATGATTTTTTTCTGTATAAAGAAATACCTTCTGTATGCCGAATAGTCATTCTTGACACTAGCTTTCATATTTTTTAGTTCATCCAACTCCGCAAATGTGTTAATAAATTTTCCTAGTGTTAAAAGGTAAGCTTCTGACACAAAATCATTCCTCTTCTCTTTGTGACAAAGTCTTTTGACCTCATTACCAAAACGCTCTATTGCTCTTTTCTGCAAAACAAAAACAAATGATGGCCCTGAAACATTAATAATCACATAAATTTTTTTGAAATAAATTTTCTCAAAGATACATAAATGATGAATATATAAAGATATTAAAAGTTTGGAAATATATCTTTCAGTATATTATTGTCATTCAAATATTTTTAATTTTTATCAGTTAGAATATTTCTAAAAATGTGCTTTAAACAGGTTAGTATGGGTATGACTGTACAACATAGATAACACTGATTTTGAGGACTCCTTAACTGAAATACATACCGTGAAATACATGAGGTCCATCAGTTTGGAGACCTGTGGGTCAAGAACTTCCACGATTTTGTTGTAAATTTCTACTCTGTTAGGTTGTTCATTACTTTTAACCTAGCAGGAAAAATTAGTGGAAAAATATCATACCTCATAATCATTTGCATGTAAGATCTTTTTTCAATTAATTAATTAAAAAGAAAAAAAATCACTCATCTTCTAAAAAGTAGACATTATTTGTTTTCTAATGATAGAGAATTCATATTGATGAAACATGGAATATCCTTAATCTTGCACCAATATTAATTTGCATCAATGAGGATTCAGAAATATGTTTACAAACATAATACTTTTACTCTGAGTGAGTGAATGGAGAAACTGAGATCTGAGTTTCTGTTGATGATACACTTACCTGTGGTAAAGCTCTAGAACAACATCTCCAGGTATACAACATGGCAGCATACTCCTGTCCTTCCTCTAACAACTTGTTCTACATAAGATATAACTCAAGACAGGTTAACATTCTTCAATCAACTTCAATTGTTGTACATCTTTAAAATATACATGTTTATTACAGCAAATAATGCACATGGCATGGAACTAATGACTGAGAGTCTTGTCTGTATATTCTGTGAATACCTCAAATGTTTGAACTTTTAATTAATTAATAAAGGACATACACAACATAGTTGATATGAACTTTATTTTCTTTTTCCCTGTAATTTATAATCTAAGACTTCCAATTACTGAGGAACCTTTGTGTGACTTTAATGCCTGATGATGCTGGGCACCCCTTCTGGATCAAATTTTGAGGAAATAAGAGCTAAAACTATATTTTTGTTAATTTTTCTTTGAAAAACACAAGGATTTCATAATCTGATATCTGTTCAAAAACCCTGGTAATTTATGCCTGCTCTTTTGTCTAAGAACATCTAATGGCTCAATGATTTTAAATTAAAAATATCTTTCAAAATTTTCAGTGTTTAACATATGTTGTAAAGTATATTTATATGTACATTACATATAACCTTAAATGCTTAAAACTTTTTAACATACAAGGTCAGCATGGACGGTGGCCTCTTCTATATACTTTGCGACTCCTGTTACATAGGCACTCCTGTCTTCAAAATTGGTATCAAAATTTGCCTGGTACTGAATGGAAAGGGACATTCCCTCGATGCATGGCTGTTGGTCAGGGAGAGGTAACTCATCCAGAACATCAACATTCTGAAGAGCATCAGTCAGGGTGATCTTTTCACCCACCATATGATCACCCTGCAAAAGATATTTTAAAAATTCTACAATCTCTGGATATATAAGCACCCCCATATGCATGAACTTCTGGTGAATAAATATTTCATTCATATATATTTATAAGTGTCAACAGTTTTTCATCAGTAATTTAAAAAAAAAACAATTTAATGACTACTTAGCACATGATGACTAGTATCAGGATATCAAATGACATACCATGGAAAGATAAAGGTAAATCTTTCAGTTAGAGTATCACAAAGCTAATTTTTGCAGTCAGTACCTATCAATTACCTTTTTTATTTGCTTTTACTTAATAAAATACAGTTACTTTCTAGACGTTATGAAACTTTCTACAAGGCTAAGACTTTAAGAAACTCATTTTTTAATTTCTTCTATATCCACTTTCGATTATCAATACACTTATAAGTAAGCAAGAAAGAAGTGTTGAGTTAGAATGTTTTTTACTGTCTTTGCCAATCATCCACATCAAAAATGTGCAATATTTATCTGATAAATCCGCCTCTGTTCTCAGTTTTATATCGGATTATCAAATAGGATCTGATAGACCAGACAGCAATAATCAACAAACTTGTATGCCAAAGAAACACCAATGGAGAAAAAAAGAGGATAAATAAAAAAAATAATATTACACTAGCTGTTCTTACCATTTTGAAAATTATCAAATTATTTTCTTGCTTAATTAATCACTAAAGTTGGTCTACATTTCCTATGTACCCTGCCCATCATTGTTTGCGGAAGTAGCTTTTGTCCGATAGATGGCGTTATTTTTAGGGTTTGGTATTTTTGGAACTGGGTACGATACCACAAGATCCGGGAATTAAATGCTGTTATAATACAATCGAAACTTCTCGGGCCTTTCCGACAAGCGGAAAAACAACAATCGAAACTTCTCGGGCCTTTCCGACAAGCGGAAAAACAACAATCGAAACTTCTCGGGCCTTTCCGACAAGCGGAAAAACAACCTCGAATGTGTTACGTAGGCGTCCATGACAACCCCCCTTTCCATAAACGTTGAAATAAAAGTAGGGAGACCTCTTATCTGTATAGTGTGGATCTCAACTTTATTGAATGTAAAGATATTACCTAAAATAAACTACAGGAGTGACTTCTAACTCTTTTTTCCAATGCTTTGATAAATAGGAAGCGACTCCATCTTGTATAATTTTTTAACATCCGGTGATGTTAATACATTCGAGGTTGTTTTTCCGACCTCCGACGGAAAGACCCGAGATGATGCGATTGGTTATAATATTCAGAGACATTATTCTGTTCTAGAGTAACTGAGTAAATCTACAATTTATATGTGTATCATGATATAGTAAGATCATGTAATTGTATTAAAATAAGGCATCGATTTTTTTCTTAGTTTATGCCACTTTATTTGTAGGTCAAAGAGCAATACCATAATATATTTATCTATTTTACCGACGGAAAGTTCATAATTGTTTATTCACGGGTGCTATCAGTTACAAGTACAGATAGCAACACTGCCTTGGGATACAAACAAATAATGGGGACTGTTTAATCCTTAAAGTAAGGTACGTATTTCCACATTGTAGTGCATTTTTAAATACCCTCAGTAACATTTATTAACTCCCCTTTATCACTTATAGGCCAAGCTTTGAAAATAACATTCATTCATTTATTCTCTCAAAAAACCATATAAATGGTACAACGTCAAGAGGTACATATATACATATACATGTATACGACAGTTATGACAGAGATTATTACAGACGACCGCCTCATTGACGTCAGGTGATTGTTATATAATTATGGTTGAATGCCAATCTAACTAAAGTCAGACCTCTATTTACGCTAGTACCGCATAGAGTAAGATTGAATGGTGATGCTTGATTGGAGCACAGCAAATCGTGGAAGTCATCAACAGCTGCAGCAAATTTCACACCAAATGGCTGACCGATCTGTCAAGCAGCTGTTAAGTACATGTATATAAGACAAGCAGGAAGAAATTCACTTCCCTGATGGCAGTTACATTTTTTTCTCTTCTTCTCATGTACAAGTTTTTTTTAAAATAAATTTTGCTTCATATGAATATAAAAGTAGGTCTGCTAATAAAGGGAAGGGGGGGGGGCAACTGGTATCCATGGGAATTCCGATAGATTGTTGGAAGACTTGATCTCCAAAAAGTACATAGATGTTATCAATCAGAAGCGAATAATTACATAATTTAAGTTGAACATCTTGTCAAGATTTCCATTTTATTTTTTTCCACAGAGAAATGAACAAATTTGCCACGTAATAAACAGAAATGTCTACGAAAAATCTTCTCGTGAACGAGGAGTCCCCACCTTCTTATCAGTCCATATACCCAGCGGAAGTAACCATAACAACAGAGCAGAATGACATTCAAACCACTGTGACCCCCCAGTCTGTCATAGACCCTGACACAGAAACACACATTTATAAACGGCGCTGGTATGTGTTAATAGTGTATTCTCTGCTGGCCTTTACACAAGGGGGTTACTGGAACACGTGGGGACCAATCGCTGCGACCTCTGAGGACGCGTTCGGTTGGTCTGACGCGGACATCGCCCTCTTGTCGAACTGGGGACCTATATCATATGTTCTGGCTGCTTTCGTCATGTCATGGGTTGTTGATGTTAAGGGTTTGTATATATATATATATATATATATATATATATATATATATATATATATATATATATATATATATATATATATATATATATATATTAATTTGTACACATCCATGTAGTTTGAGTCATCATGAGTCACAATAAATGTGCGCATCTTCTAATATTTTTGTATCACAACATTACTTCATAAATTAAAGTGTTCTATAATTTGTAGGACTTAGATGGTCGTGCTTAAGTACGGCGGTTATGGTAGCCCTCGGTGCTGGAGTGAGATGTATAACAGACCAGCCTCCATATGTTACATGGTAAATGATTCTGATGACAGCCCATCTTTTCATGCGCGACTGAGTGGTTCAAGTATGCCTGTCAGTTTATTCGTTCAGAGAAGAATCATTATGATAGACTACAATAAGGACTGTTATGCCAAGAGTCTATCAAATTAAGTGTCAAGGATACTACAACGATTAATTTTTGTTGTTCTTGTACTTAATATATATCAATAACGATGGAACTTTTCTTTTTAAAAAAAATCAATGCTGAAAAACCGGTCATTCTCTGTTAATTCAGTACCCAAAGCGAAAATTTTCATTTGAACACTTACATTGTTGAAAACGAGCGATCGACATTTAAAAAATCTGAAACGCTTTTATAGGACAGTGAATTTTGCTCAGTTTCTGAATGGTTTAGCTGGTCCTGTTGCAATGGCAGTACCTCCTGTGTTATCTGTTGTCTGGTTCCCCGTCCAGCAGCGCACAGTTGCCACAGCTGCAGCAGCTTTTCCCAATGGCATTGGCATTGCACTGTCCTTTCTAATAGGTAGGACCACTTCTCTTCCAGGACGGTTAATATTGGTCAGTTTCTGAATGGTTTGGCGGGCCCGGTTGCCATGGGTGTTCCGCCGGCTTTGTCAGCATTGTGGTTTCCTGTCAAAGAACGCACAACAGCCACAGCACTTGCCACTGTTCTTAATGGCATAGGTGTTGGCGTCTCCTTCTCGCTTGGTATGTCATTTTTCAAAAACTAGACATAAGACGTTCTGCCTTTGAACACCTCTGCCCAACAATGCAAGCAATCTTACCTCAAATGTCCATAGCTTATCCATGCACGTCGAACTGTTCATGTACAACACTGACATAAAAAAGGTAAAACCCAAATTACTCTGCAGGACCATGGACGTAGGACAATTGTTGAACGGTTTTGCTGGACCTGTAAACACATTTCCTCCGGCATTTTCGGCTGCCTGGTTTCCAACAAATCAGAGATTGACTGCCACAGGCGTCATAACTGCGTCATCATTTCTTTCCAAAGCTATTCCTATGGTGATAGGTACATACGCCTTTCTTATACTTTCCCTTATTTTTTCAGCATATTTCTGCTTTGGATCATATGTGCACTTTGAAAAACACACAAAAATTTAATTTTTTTCTTTAGTGTAATTGATTAATACTAGAAATGTCTGCACATGTTGTGAAAAACCATTTATTTGAAAGATTTCTTTTTTATAAAGAAGAATAACATTTCTGTAAATTTATTTAATTTTTTTTACGATAGAAATCGTGGCACGAGAAGTCAGTTGTGACACACTTGTTTTCACAAAATGAGATCAAGTGTAATTTAGGAAACAAGTTCGTCGAGTTCCAATACCCTTTTATTTAACGTTCTGGCAGAAAAAATACCTTAATTTCCCTCTCATATGATGTTTATTATGTATCAAATAAGCACTATTAACGCATAAAATTGTGCTTACCACTATACTCATGAAAACATGGGATGCGCTTTTGCTCTAATGGAGTTGAGGGTTAATGTATGCATTTAAAGGAAAGCAGACTCTGGATGAATTTTAACAAGTCATGACGAAAACAAAAGTATTTATAAAACATTGAAATTGTAGCAACTGTATATAGATATATAAGACAATAAGACAGATAAAGAATAATGTTTTACCGTAGAGAACAAACTGATCGCTGTTTGATGAGTCATTGAAACTTAAAATTTCAATATGTTTGATAAATTCTTTGAATATATACATAATTATGGACACAATATCGCTATTGTAGAGTAGGATTCCCCCCCCCCCCCATAGCTAGCCCCACCCCCGGAATCTGTACTACAGAGTAGGATTTCCCCCTGAGGGGAAATTTTGCAATAGACTGAATAGAGCCAAAGAGATAGGTTCACTTTATCCATAAAATGGCCCTGCCCATATAACAATTTGCTGACCAATCCCCAATGTCACACTTCAAACATCAATATAAAGTAGAGACTTAGTGCTTTCCATTCCTATTAAAAAAAATCCTCTGAGATTCAAAGTATTGAAAAACAGGCCTTGTGAAACTGCAATATTATTGAATTTTGAAGAAAATCGATCCAAAAAAATAAAACATGGATCATAATCTTCTGAAACAGTTCTTTCAATAGATAATTGAACATTTTAAATTAGAGGTTGGGGTCTATGCAAAATATTGAAAAAACGGCGTAAATTTTGGGCCATTTTTAAGAATTTTCAAGATCAGAGGATATAATGACACAATTCATGACGTGATATTACGTGAACTAGCGAGAAAATTACGTCATTTTTAATGGATATGCAGTCACCAAGGGTCCAAGTGTAATTAAATATATTTTCAACTAAAACTGAGCAGTTTTGGTTTTTCAGAAATTCACAGGGCCAAAAAAGGCCCTGAGTGAACTTCTTTCCCCCTTGTTCTTCTCGGAGTAGGATCCCCCCCCCTTGTATCAATGATTAAATCATATCGACAATATTTTGGCTAAAAATTTATTTGAAAGTTAACTGATTTTTTAATTGAAATATGAGTGTTTTTGATTCAAGAATTGTCAAATTTAGTATAAAATCTCAAATACAGTATATAGTTAAAATCATTGAGTCACCCAAAATTTTAACTCGTACAAAAATGTAAAATTAGCTTCCACATACCATTTTGTGAGTATTTGAATCGAGTAGTTCTTCAAAAAAAATAAATAAATAAATAAATAAAAAAAATCAATACAAGACATACTGCTTTTTGCAAACCGAAGCATAAGTATATCCTCTCGACCCTATCGGTACGTAACTCTGGATTTGAACGCAGACAGCAAATACTCCCTTAAAGTTTTGCAAAATTTCATTTAAAAAAATGGATTACCCATTTTTAGTTTCATGGCAAAGGCAGTTATTTTGGATATTTAAACCCTAGAAACTTGGAGTGACACTTACTCCACTTATATTACTGAATATTATGTACATGTAGGTTGAAATACAACTGGAAAAAAATCAAATAAAATTCCATGGATTAGAGTTAAAAATTTGTAACTGATTACAATATACCATTTTTTTGGGTCAGAAATTAGCTTGATCAAATGAAAAGAATAAGATTTTAATGCTTCAAGAGAATTGGTTGGTTAGTTACTTAGTTTTTTTTTTTTTCAATTTTCATACTTTGCATTTTCAATAGAACTGGTCGCCAGTTTGAAGATAGGACATTTGTAACAATGTTTCCCCCTCCTTTATATATAAGTATAGTCATGATGTTTTATTGGGAGGGACATTGGCTCTGTTGGATTTCTGTAGGGGAAATCTTACTCTAGAGTCATTTTTCCGTGGGGGAAATCCTACTCAAGAGCCAGTTTTCCGGGGGGAAAGATTTTAGAGGAGAAAGCCTACTCTGCAAGACTGGTATCAACATGATCATTTTTGAAATTTGTCTTATTTTGGATAATGCTACATTGTATTAGATTTTTCATTTTGTGTTAAACAATCATCATTCTATATGTGAATGTTAAACAATACAAACATTTTCAATCCATAATCGTTCATCCAAATAAGGAAGGACAGTTTAATATATGATACTTTATTTTGCTATGCTTACCTTATTCGTTCATCCAAATAAGGAAAGACAGTTTAATATATGATACATTATTTTGCTATGCTTACCTAGAGTTAGTGTTCCAAATTACTTTGTTGTCTTGCATCAACTGTTTATTTTAACAACTTTGTTCATTGGGTTAAATCAAACTATTTCACTATTTTAGGTCCATATATGGTAAAAGACAGAACATCAGATACTAACTCTACAGTGAGGTAGGTTCTGATGTTATTATGAACAATGGGATGTATATATATATTTGGTTTTTATTTTTATGTTTGTTTATTATCTATTTCAGTAATACCTCGAGGACTAATATGACAGGTACTGTACGAGATTAAACCATATTCTGTTATAGCATGAAAACAAATTTTAACAATAACAGGATTTTTAACATAATGTTACATTATCTAGATTAAAAAAAAACTTGTTTCGTCATTAGTGCAATTGAGTAGTATTACCAAAATTCAATATTTTTTTTAGATGATGATAGAATTTCACAAGAAAGACACGATATTATGATATATATGTATGTAGGTAAGCAATAACGTATATATACATCTAACTTTGACAATCTCCTCTTTAAGGACATAGGATACTCAAAAAACATGTTAAAGAAATCTGTAAACTCGTTTGTGTAAGATAAATTATTACTAAAACATATATTTATCACAAAATTTCCATATCAAACCAGCCTTCTCTTCCCATTCTCCCCATTTCTTACTTTTATGTCTGCATTTAAAATCAACGCAAAAGCATCAAAAAGTGAAATTACCCAAAACAATTTAAAATTTACTCTTATTTTACCAAGTAACAAATTTATTTGAACCAAAAATGGTAAAAAACGAGAGGATATTATCAAATTCCTACTCTCTCCAGATTTTGGGTATCCTTTGATTTGCATTTTATCTGTTTTGTTCTTGATTTATTTTTCCCAGAAGCTGCCTGGGCCGCCTTTATTCTCCTGTTGATACTCATTTACTTCCCAGCTAAGCCCCCCAAACCTCCGACACTATCAGCTTCCATGGAGCGCATGGACTTCAAGGCTGGCGCCAAGTGTCTTGTCAGGTTTATAGATTTTATATTTACAATATGAAATGTTTAACTTCGGAAATTCTCGGAGGCTGTATTATAAATGTCAAAATTATAAATGTTCTTTTGTACAGAAATGTGCGGTTTTGGATTATATGTGCTACATATGGTATATCTCTGGGAGTCTTTAACTGTTGGCAGAGTGTTCTTGATGTCATCCTTAAACCTCACAACATAGACGAGGTAGACATACATTAATGACTTAGTAGTAATGTTGATTTCTACTTTGTATTGTGTTTAATTCAAATAAATTAATTACTTGTAGTGTGAGCTTTATATTTGGATTTTTTTCTCCTAGAACGAGGCAGGGTGGTTGGGTTTTTATTCCATTCTTGCGGGTTGTGTTGGATCTGTAATATTAGCAAAGTAAGAAAGATTTACCATATGAAATCTACCTACTCTAAGAAAAATAAATCAGATGTCTTTTCAAGTGGTAGATAATTTTTCATTGCAGATTTGCAGACGTGTTTTCACGTCACATGAAGATGTTTCTGTTGCTTCTGTACATAAGCGGAAGTGCGTGTTTCGTCTGGTTTACTCTTCTCATCAATGGAACCATTCCAGACTCCACATGTAATTCTTCTTAGGAAATGGACATCCACTACGCAAAGTTTCTTAAATTCATAGAATTATTTATCTTTTGTTTATGTGAATAAGTATCCCTTAACTAGAGTGAAAATATATATGGAATATCCATAAATGTAAAAGACGTCAATGCACTGGATTGGCTATTTTCGTAAAATTTTGTCAGTGAGTCGGTTCATAAATCTTTCTTGCAGAAGAAAAATCCACATCCTTGAAATCATCTACAAACAACTTTGTGCCTATGTTTGTCTTGGTTAAAACTTTTTAGTTAAGGGGTGAGTACATTTTCAGATTCCTTGTATGCCGCCATTATCCTTGCCACACTCCTCCTTAACGCCAGCGTGCCCCTTTATTACGAGATGGCGTGTGAAGTAACTTACCCTGTGGCGGAGGGAATCACCAACTTTGTCCTGACTCTCGTCAATAACATAGGGGGACTGGTATTTCTTCTCGTCGGCATGATACCCCATATAGGTAAACCTGTTATGCCAATAATGCAAACAAAAATAAGCACATGTTATGGATATAAACATTTTTTCTTCATGAGATTTTCTGACACGTGACATTTAAAGATAAATAGAAGTTCATTATCTAATTTTAAGAGATATCTGACTTCTAATACCTGCTTTCGATGTGTTTCTTGATAAAAACATCGTCAATCTCTATGATATATATTTGTGTAAGGACATGTTATATGGCTCATGTAAATTTCCATGAACATGATTGAAACAGATGTGTTTGTGAAACACTATGCACCCGGCGGCAACAAAGTTCGAAAAAGCTATTTTTAGCGTATAGGTCACAGTCAAGGTCACAAGGTCATTGACCTTGGTGTCATTTGAAAGAACTTAATAAATAGTGGAGTATGCATACCAAATATGAAGTCTCTATCTCCTATGGTTCAAAAGTTATGGTGAAGGTTAAAGTTGACAACAGACAGACAGGACAAAAACAATATGCGCCCCCGATCTATCGATCCGAGCGCATAAAAAAGAAGTAACTGTCATGATAATTTTTTCAGGGACTGCTTGGGCGAACTGGGCGTGTCTTGGCGCCATTGTGTCCTGTATCCCCGTCTTATTCCTCATCAAAGAGAATTACAACCGTCTAGAAGTAGACGAAATCAAAGGCAAAGAAACGTAACGAAAATTCTTCATAGAGAGAAAGAGAATATCAATGAGATTATATTTTGTGTATTTATTGATTTTGATATCTTAGAGAAGTAGTCCTGGTACTTAAAAAAAGTGCTCATTTCTGACTCTGGAAATGCTCCTGAAATTCTGGAGAAGACTATTACAGGGCCAGTATTTCGAATTTCTGAATACTTATGTGTAAATATCAGTGTGCCTATAAAATGAATTGAAGATGTCTTGAACCTTATTTCATATTATGCCTTTGCAGAAGAAAGGTTGTAAAGACATATCAATGTGTTGAGAAGAATATAGAACAACCTGTATATAGAAGCAAATCTCATTTCTAAAATAGAGACAATGAGTTACACCATGTACAAGTTTGCATGCAGATGTAATAAAATAGAGACAAAATACACACCCTACCCCTCCTTCACACAAAACAACAACAACACCAATAGAAAAATATATCATTTGTAAATTATAAAAGTAGCCAGTCCTTGTTGAAGTTGGGGTACATTGTTGTCACCCTGGTCCGTCGGCCCGTCTCACTATCCTCTTCATCGAACTGTTTACATTTTAAGAAGTAGTTAATTCATAAAATATGATAGGTGGTGTGTTCTAGGTGTGCAATAAGGTTTTGGAATTTTCATTTTTATCCTTTTGGCAAATTGGTACACAATTGGAATACAAAGTATTGTATTCATAATAATACTGCTAGAGATGCTCGTGACACTTCAGCAGAATCAGTATACAAACTTTGAAAAAAAAAGCATTACACTTGACCGAATGTGCCTACATTGCTATGACATAAAGTAATGGTATGCATGTACATTAAAATCATTACGCCGATGACATATGAAATATGGAGATAACGAATAGTAATCATGCTCAAAAGTCCATTGTCTATTGACACAATACAAATCAGAAAAACACAGATCTCTTAAAACATCAGAGGTGGGATCAGGTGCCATGGTGGAGTAAGCATCCCCAGTCGTCGACCGGTCACACCCGTTGTGTGCTCCTTGTCATAACAATATGTATGTAAAAAGTCAGTCAGCATTCGATTTAAAGAGAGATTTTATTTGCTGTCAAGGTATTGTATCGACCATACAACTTGCGAAATGTTGACTTCCAACGATATTGTTGATATCCTTGTTTCATGAACTTGTTTGTCAATAGCTTGCCTCGTTTTAGAAATTGTTCGTAAGTAGAGAATGCTTTTGCGTATGGAATCAAGTGGGGAACATAAACTCCATTTGCAGGTGATAAGGGTTTATCTTGCTACATAAATAAGGGAAGTTGACGATAGAAAAGTTGATTGATTGTATGTTGTTTTACGTGCCGTTCGAGAATTTTCACTCATATAGAGACGTCACCATATATCGGTGAAGGGCTTCAAATTTAAACCTTTACTCGGCACTCAGGGCCATTGAGCAATGAGGGAACTCTATCGTGCCAACGCCTGTCGTGACACGGAGCCTCGGTTTTTAAGGTCTCATCCGAAGGACCCGCAACTTTCACTTCAAAGTGTTTGGCGAAGGAACAGTTGCTACATATTTTTTATCGACTTAGGTCAGTCGCGGCCGTGATTCGAACACACGACCTTCCGATCACGGAGCGAGCGCTCTACAGACTGAGCTACCTTGACGGTTAGAAAAGTTGAAATCATCACGTTTATCATGAAGTTTTATTGTTAGGTAACCATTGTCACGTCTTTTTCTAGTAAAATATTCAAATATGAAACAGATGTATCAGCCTCTGTGTTGTCTATTATTTCAAGTTTACTGGGATATATCGATTCGACATATGAATGGAAGTAACTAAATATTGTTAATTGATAATAGTCGTCAATATCTAAATTACGAGTTGAACGCCACAGCATGTGATTTCTTCTCATGTACAAGGTTTGGAATAAATTCTACTTCATATGAATACAAAAATAGGTCTGCTAATAAAAGGGTGCAATTGATACCCTGGGAATTCCAACAGATTTTTGGAAGATTTATCTCCAAATACTACAAAGATATTGTTAACTCCAGCATATTTCGGAGTACTTGTGTGTACAATCAAAATGTTTTTTAACAAAATAATTTTGCAAATGACCAATGACAAGGTAAGTAAATTTACGAGTTCCATTTTTATTGAAAAGCAGCTGTCTGTGATGTCAAAAAGCCCGAACTTCAATTTATCGTGGAGAATGGTTGTCTAAAATGTTCAATGGTCGTACGATTTGATGTTATTGATATTGGTAAAATTTTGTGATTTCAAATTTTCTAAAAGTTGGAGTTCTTAATTATCCATATCTGATTTACACCACTTCTCGAATATAATTATTGTTGAACAGTTACTTCTGAAGTCTATCCTTCACTGTTACTTTATTAACGAGTAAAGAAAGAGGCTTGGTAAAACATTACTGAAGCCCGCTATGTATCTGTGTAGTTTAGAAGTTTTTAGAATCCATGTATAAGTACAATTTGATTTTTGGGAATACTAGTATTTAAAACTAACATATGATTTTGAAGAATTTCCTCCTTAGAAAGGGAGCTATAGGTATAAGTTGGATTACCACATGCAGAATTAAATCCAATTAAGCTCCTTAAAATACAATTCAAATAATGAGCCTTAGTCACAAAGACAGCGTTGTTACCTGCTTTATCATCTGGGACCAGTACATATTGATCGTGTAATCGATCAAATTCTTTTTTCACTACTGAATTATTGAAGGCAGACAGATAGATGGTTTTCATATTTCCGCTTAATCGCTTAACGCAAGATTTCAGCATCCCTCTGATACTTTAAATCCATTCTGAAAAAGTGTCAAGGTATTTTTTTTATGTTTGGCCCATCGCCTGGCGTAATCTCCAACAGAATTCATAATATTTATGAATTTATGACACCAGTTGAAAGATCAGGGTTCCCTAAATTTTGGCCTTTTAAAAATGTGATTTAACGTCTTCATTATTAAATTTATTTACCTCATCAGTAATGACATATCCAGAAGGACTTTAATTGTAGGGTGAATAAGAACATGAACACGTTGGAGGATTATGTTTCAGATTTTCAATACTTAGGCACTGTAGACTTTTTTTGTAAATAAAAATGTTTGGAAGTAATAGTCGACGCACACTTGTAAGAAATACAAAGCTTAAACTTGAACTTGAAATATGGTGGAATACAAGACTGGACACTTTCTGTGATTAAGAATATTACTCATATAACTGCGCCAATTCCTTTGTTGGCAAATTGAAGTTCAAAGAACAAACGGGTTGTTTGAGCAGTATTTTCTTCCATAAAACGTGGCGGTTTACTAGACTAGACTGTTTGAGACAGAGTAAAGTTTGGTGCCAATGTGATGAAGACCTAACTGTTTATTCACATAAGGTAATAGTGAATCAAAAAGAGACACCGTTTATTAATTAAAATGCCCCATCACATTCACATTGCTACTCTGTGAACTTGAAAGATCCCTAACACTATCGATATTGTCATTGCTACCATAAAGAAAGGCCTAGTTTCCTAATCCAGTGTTCTTCTCGTTGTCTACGGAATGGTGTACTCAATGATGGTAAATCTATTCTAGAATTTCATTAGCAAAATAGAATGATCAGGTAAATTAAGGTGTTTGTAGAGAAGCTGCTGGTCCCGTTGTGAATTTGAAATACAAATATATATGTCCCGATAATCTTATATTGAGTGAACCCTTGGTTTCACCAACATAAATAAGCCCCAAAAAGGTACATTCTATTCCGTAAACAACGTTAGAAGATTTGCAGTTTAGATTTTCCCAAGTTTTGGTATAGAAGCTCTGTTCACGGTAAAAGACATCCCCCCCCTTTTTCCGTGCTTCTGTTTGTTTGAATTTCATTGCCAATGCATCAAATTCTTTTGAAATAATATATTTAGACAGAAAATGTTGATTTACTGGGTCGAGCGAATTGCATGAAACCTGCAGAACACCATAACAAATAGATAAAAGATAAAAGTAACACTCTCTAAAATTATTTATGCACAAATAATTAAAAAATTTAGAAATGAAAAAAAAAACGCTCCTAAAAAGAGCAAATCATGACAAGGCCAATGATCTTATACATGTATCTACACAATTTTTCTGACCGTAAGATTACTAGCAAAATACAACTTGTGACCAAAACAGCACAGGTTTGACAGCTTTTGACAGAACATTTGGAAATAGAAGATATGGAGTCGGAAGAAGAATCTTCGAATATATCTCTAATAGAAACATTCCTTCATTTTTTTTGTATGAACTGTTGGGTTTTTTTTTTCCGAAGCTGGGAAACTGAGAACAGCACATATGACATATATGTTTAATATCCCTGAGGATTATCCGAGGGACACCGGAAGAATTCTTTGAGTCTGTGTCTCTTATAGACTCAAAAGAGTGATGCCTTTTTATGCTGGGCTACTAGTATCATTTCGTTATACTGTGTACTACTCATGAATAAAGAAATACCGAACGACAAGCATCTTCGGGGACAGACTGTTCACCAGCAGAGATACATTTCGGTGGCTAAATCGAAAAAGGTCAAGATAACGAAAAGTGATAATGAAATATGGAGGTAAGGGACAGTAATCAAGCTTAAAAGTCCATTGAAACAATAAATTTTGGGAGCAAAGCAAATGCGAACCTCTAAAAGCATCAGAAGTGGGATCAGGTGCCATGGAGAAGTAAGCATCCCCTGTGACCGGTCAGACCTACCGTGTGCTCCTTGTCATGCAATCTGTCAAACTTAACGATTAAAGTTGCATAATGAATCAAAATCATGTGTTTCTTTTAAGAAAATTGTATCACAAAACAAAGATTTCTGTGAAATATGAATATAGCGAAGTTTTGACAACTCAACTGCACTGTAAAGCAAGAAAAAAACTGCAAAATATAAGTGCCGGAAAAACAAATGTTGTATCTATCGCTTTGTTTTTATCGTCAATGTCAACAATGTCAAGGTCATGCGGCCTTTATTTTTAGCGTGAAACTTGTAAACAACATTGAATTGGGGCAAGCAGAAGTAAGGAATAAGTTATGATAATCTTTTTTGAAGTTTGTATCAAAATTCTCAGTCATTCGACATTTATATCTATGGAATTGAAACCATGCTAAATTCTTCAACTTTTCAGCGCATGCGTACAATAAAGAGGAAGAAGTGAAGCAATATTTACAAAGATTTATTTTACTTTATTTTTCCCCATTAAATTAGACTTTTAGGTAACCTGAGTCACTCAGGTGACCTATTGCTATCTGTTTTTGTCTGTCGTCGTTCGTCGTACGTCGTTCGTAAACTTTTGAACATTTTTAGCTTCTTCTCTGGAGCCACTGAACCAATTTTGGCATATAGCATCTATGGGTGAAGGGGAGTAAAAATTGTGAAATTCATGGCCCCTGCCCCCTGGAGCCTGAGGGGTGGGGCTAAAACCATCCAAATTAATGCAATCTTTAAAAATCTTCTTTACTCCTGGACATCAAGCAGTCAAACTGTTGGCATGATGGTAATAAGCATTGAGCCCTCTACCAAAATTGTGAAATTCATAGCCCCAGGATCAGGGGTTCCGGTGCTAGGGCGGGACTCTAATGATTATATAGTGAAAATGCATTAATTCTTTTAAAAAAATCTCCTCTTCTCCTAGGTATTTAGCTGTTGAATTAAGTACGTAGTTATGAAGAGCAAGACTGCCTCTGCCAAAATTGTGAATTTCATGGCCCCTGGGTCAGGGGTTCTGGTGTTAGGGCGGGGCTCTAATGATTAAATAGTGAAAATACATTAATTCTTTGAAAATCTCCTCTGCTCCTGGATATTAAGCCGATGAACTAAATACATAGTTATGATGAGGAAGAGTGCCTCTTCAAAAATTGTGAATTTTATGGCCCCTGGGTCAGGGGTTGTGGTGTTAGGGCGGGGCTATTATGATTATATAGTGGAAATGCATTAATTCTTTGAAAATCTTCTCCTCTGCTCCTGGGTATTATGCCCATGATCTAATTACATAGTTATGATAAGCAAGGGTGCTTCATCAAGAATTGTGAATTTCATGGCCCCTGGGTCAGGGGTTCTGGTGTTAGGACAGGGCTCTAATGATTATATAGTGAAAATGCATTATTTCTTTGAAAAATTTCCCCTATGCTCCTGGGTATTAAACCAGTGAGCCATGTACATAATTATGATAAGGAAGGGTGCCTCTTCCAAAATTATGAATTTTATTGACCCATGGTCAGGGGTTGTGGTGTTAAGGTGGGGCTCTATATTGATTATATAGTGAAAGTGCAGTAATTCTTTGAAAGTCTTCTCCTCTGCTCCTGGATATTATGCTGTTGATCTAAGTACATAGTTATGATGAGGAAGGGTGCCTCTTCCAAAATTGTGAATTTCATGGCCCGTGGGTCAGGGGTATCATTGGGGGCCATAATGATTATTTACTGAAATTGAATTAATGCTTTGAAATCTGCTCTTTGGTATTAATTAAAGATTTATGATGAGCAAGGGTACCTTTTCCAAAATTGCTAAATGTTTGTCCCCAGGGTCAGGGGTTCCTGTGGGGTGGGGCACTACTGATTATATAGTGGAAATGCATTTTTTCTTTGTTTCTCTGCTCTACCTCTGGGTATTAAGTAATCAAAGTAAGCATGTTAAGTGTAGAGTTATGATGAGCAATGGTATCTCTTTAAAAATTGTGAATTTCATGGCCTCTGGTTTAAAACATGAACCAAATTTAATTGTTGGAAAGTTGTTGCATGATACTCAGGTGACCTATAAGGCCTGTGGGCCTCTTGTTTAGGTTCTGGAACCTGTAATTTTCTGAAACCTAATATCTTCAAGAACAGAACAAAAGCATGTGTCATGCACAAATTCTACTGTTGTCAATTTTCCCGTTTGTCCGTCACAGTGTCACTTTAAATCTGACTTCATATATTAAAGAAAGTCTAGTAAGCACCTGGTATAAACAGTCATGCGTTACTGCTTTGTTGTTTTAATATGTAGGTTATAGTGATAAGTTTATCTTCGTGATAAGTATACTAGTATTATATCTGACATAGATCAACAGTGATTTGTTCAGTATGGATGTTATCAATTATAGGTATAAAGGAAAACTTGAAGGTATGCTGCGTAAGCAAAACATTCAGAGAGAATTATATATTAAATATTAAAATACATGTATTTATCATTATTTTATTTTAACAGAATTTTAACTTTGACGTCTTCCTTTAATTCATTATTAGGTTTTGACTTGTATGATGTCGTCTAGAATAATTGTTCGCAGCACCAAGTCAGTTTAAATGTAGTTTAAATGAAGTTAATAATGGATTTAGTTTCTTTATGATTTTGCTTAAATGATTCGACGTGGAATTAAAACGAAAATATGTCTACCAAAAATCTTCTTGTGAACGAGGAATCACCCCCATCTTATCAGTCCATATACCCAGCGGAAGTAACCATAACAACAGAGCAGAATGACATTCAAACCACCGTGACCCCCCAGTCTGTCATAGACCCTGATACAGAAACACACATTTATAAACGGCGCTGGTATGTGTTAATAGTGTATTCTCTGCTGGCCTTTACACAGAATGGTGTTTGGAACACGTGGGGACCTATTGCTGCATCGTCAGAGGAAGCGTTTGGTTGGTCTGACGCGGACATCGCCCTCTTGTCAAACTGGGGACCAATATCCTATGTTCTGGCAGCCTTCATCATGTCTTGGGTTGTTGATGTTAAAGGTGCGTTCATTTATTATTTACACATTGGGAATAGTCAACAGAAGAATTGAGCCATTTTCTATAATTTGTTCTAAAACAATTCTTTAATGTTTAAGTATTTTACAATTTACAGGACTTAGATGGTCGTGCTTAAGTACGGCGGTTATGATAGCCCTCGGCGCTGGTGTGAGATGTATAACAGACCGGCCTCCTTATGTTAAATGGTAAGTGGCCACTAGTACAATCCAATCTCATATACGCATAGAAATTATACGGTAAGCCTGATGCGATATACTAGTAATCGGCTTAATACTTGTACTTGATAACATTGTAACGACTGTTTTCTATTTTTGTTTATTCAAATGAATATCATTGCTTATGCGTGCAGTGCCAACAAAATTGCATATAAAAACCCTACTCAAAAATAGAACATTCATTGACACATGGAGGGAGGGAAAATGCAAGTGTAGTTCCTGCAGAAACCACAGCGTTGGGGCAGCATAGCTGATGAGACAATATTTATTTATTATTTATTTTAGAGTCATAGTCTTCTATTTTTGCAGTTTTTCATTTACTTTTGAAGTCTTTCATTTGCTTTACTGATACCACCTCATTTTATTCTATTTAGTTTTTCTAAATTTCTTTTATATCAATATGTTAAACTTTGTTATTTACTTAAATTTCCAATAATAAGGACCCTGGGGACTGAAACATTTGGAGTAACATCCTATGATGGCAAAAGTGTAAGCTCTCCAGGATACAAGTTTCTTTTATTTGTTGCTTTTGATGTCTGCTTTTTCCTAACCTAACAACAATACATATCCTGTCTATGTAGGTAGGGACTGACCCAATCACTAGACAGGATGTGTGTTGGTGAGGAACTTCAATTATTTTTTGTTTTTTTTATTTTGGTTAAGCTGTATCTGCTTGAATTTTTAAGTTTCTAAGCTATCAATTTTATTTTTCTATTATTAATACAATTATGCTTTTTAATCTGATTCTATGTGTTTAATGTAGTAATTTATCCAATTTGCTATTATGATGATGCTTACTTTTTATTTTTGTTCTTAATGCAATCATTTTGCTCTTCAATTTTCTGTTGTTTTTTTCTAATTCTTAAATTTGTTTTATCTGCCATGTGTGTTTATATATGTACATGTGTTTTTTGCATGTTAATTTATGTTGTAAATGTTTTCTCTGTGATATTTTTAGCTGTGATAGTCGGTTAAAGAGCTCTACAGAGCTCATGTTCATTGTTAAACTATGTAAAAAATGCCGACTTTAAATAAAATTTACTTACTTACTTAAAAAATATAATGATATATTTTTACTGATTTACTTTGTGCTTTCCTTAATATAACACGTCCAAGCACACAATTCAAAACCCAGAGGCAAACACCCCTTGAACAACATCAGTTGAGAACATGCCAGACATGTTGTATTGTTTCCAAGACAACCTTCGTCAGGTTTAAGCTAGTCTTGATGCTACAATGATACTTTATTATGTTCCCCAAACGGAGTTTGGGAACATATTGTTTTTACTCTGTTTCTTCTTCTTCTTATTATTATTAAGGTCTTCCGTTTCAGACGGAAGACCTTATAGTGATTCTACTGTTTATTATTATTATTATTTTTTTCTCGTTTTTTGTCCAAGCGATTTCTCAGAGATGGCTCAATGGATTTTCTTGAAACTTTCAGGGATTATGGCAAATAAAATAAACTAAAAACATTTTTAAGGGTTTTGCAAAATTCACTTCCGATCGTCAGATATGTCCGATTTCCGTTTTTTCAAAAGAGATCATGTCCGGACGATATCTCAGAAACGGTAAAAGATTAAGACTTCAAACTTTCAGGGATTATAGATCATGACAAGTATGTTTGCAGAATATGTTTAAATCCGTCAGCCGTCACTTCCAGTCGTCACAGGAGGAGATCAAAGAAATCGAAAATTTCAACTTTCCTTATTTTAATTACATCTTGCATCGCATTATTGCATCTATTTTACAGTTTCGAAATATGTTAGTCCCACCGGAAACAGAAACGTCAACTTCCGGTTACAAGAGAAAAACTACATAATTTGAATATTTTACTTTCCAATAAATATCGCAATAGATGAAGTATTTGAAATGATTTTTAGATATGTTATTTAGACTGCAAATGTCTAGAGTAACGTCAAATATCTTGGTAAAATTCACTTCCGGTCGCATGTTTTACTGTCCGCAAAATAAGAACTTGTCAAAGTGAGATCTCAGAAACGGTAAGAGATTAAGACACCAAACTTATATGAGTATTAGAACTTAATGAGTAGGCAAAACTCTTTGGGTTAATAGCGTCAGCCGTCACTTCCGGTCGTTACAGGAAGTGATCAAAGAAATCAAAAATTTAAACTTTTCACTTTTGAAATAAAACTTGTCATATAATTGAATCTCTTTCACAGTTTCTATATGTGTTGGTCTCACTGGAAACAAAACACGACACTTTCCGGTTATAAGAGAGAAACTATGTTATTGGGATTTTTAACATTCCCAAAGATATCACTTATTGATAAAGTTTTGAAATGATTTTTACATATGTTATTGAGACTGCAATTGTCTAGTGTGAAGTCAACCATCTTAGGAAAATGCACTTCCGGTCGCGTTTTTTTCTGTCCTCAAGTTGAGATTTTGTTCACCTAAATGCTCAAAAACACTACATGACTGAAGTCAAAAACTTTCAGAACTTATAGTTAGTTACCAGTTTATCTACATCATGTAAAAATCGTACGTTGTCGTCACTTCCGGTCGTGACAGGAAGCGATGCCAAAAAGTGAATTTTTAAAGTTTTTTTTTTCTTTTTGCAGAAATGTTTGGCTAATGCAGATGTTAGATAGACCATGACCATGCAAATTATTTTTATACATTTTATTTGTTTGGAGCACTTTCGTTCATGACGAAGTACATAAAGAAAACAGAAAAGTAATTCCGTTTGTTTTTATCTGTATCTACATATCTTTGGAAGTCTTGAGATAACTTTTGTTATTATTTAGAGTAATCTTATTGAGATGATTGTGAGGTTTTTTTTCTCTAAGAAGTCAAGAAAACGGAAGACCTGTTATTGCCAAGGCAATAAGTATCTAGTTATGTTCCCCAAACGGAGTTTGGGAACATATTGTTTTTACTCTGTTTCTTATTATTATTAAGGTCTTCCGTCTTCACGGAAGACCTTATAGTGATTCTAATGTTTCTTATTAAGGTCTTCCGTCTTCACGGAAGACCTTATAGTGATTCTACTGTTTCTTATTATTAAGGTCTTCCGTCTTCACGGAAGACCTTATAGTGATTCTACTGTTTCTTATTATTATTATTATTATTATTTTTTTTTTCCCCAAAATTTTGTGCAGGCGATTTCTCAAAAACTATTCAGTGGTTTTAAATGAAACTTTCAGGAATTAAGCGTCGTCAAATGAACTTTGTTCATCAGAAGGAAAATTTGGAAAACTCGCTTCTGGTGCCAAGTTATTGACAGTTTTCTGATTTTAAAATGAAATTTTGTCCCCCCTTTTTTTCAAAAATGGTTTAAGATATGAACTGGAGACTTGTTAGAGATGATAGGTTATGTCCTCTAGATGAGGGGAATCACCTTTTTGTGCGTCGTCAATACTTCCGGTCGTTACCGGATGCGAATTTAAAAAAGTCGTATTTTTAAACTTTTTTGTTTTTCTATATTTTTCTTTTATTTTAATAAGGTTAATAGAGACTCTTCTGAAAATTCTTTATATATAATTTATTTTAGAATTGATCAATCCAAACTCTAGATATTCGCATTTCTAAATTTGAAGCGGGTCCAAAATGGCGGCTGTCTCTGTAAACTCCGATAAGTAGGTCAGAATTTACGGAGTCAGCCGAGCGTTTGTTTGAATGAAAGTACCATAAGGATCAAAGAAATGTGAAGGAAATGTTGGATTGTCACATCACAATTACGTTGCAATTCTGTTTCGCAATAGAGTTTTAATCCGGGGTTTCCTCAAACGTCTACTATAATTTTTCTTGTCTGTATCTCAAAGTAGAAAAACGACATGACTACAAGTGGAAATACGATAACTACAACCTTTTGTTTTACACCATGGAAAAACTGATCCTAAACCATGGTTATAAGTAAAAGCTTTTGAAGAAACTTGCCTGACTAAAGCAATCAATATATAGTAATTATTACGTGGCCATTGTTTTTTCCCCATGCAGGCTTGTGTCATATTAAATGAACAGAAAAGACAGAAATAAGAAAACCATTTTTTTAAAGATTGTTTAATGAAAATGATTAAAATATTTTTTTTTCTAAAAGATGTTGTTATTGAACATAAATGGTATCAGATTCCTTGACCGTCGCAGGACGAGACATGTTTTTGGGCGAAACATTCTAGTCTTCCCATGAATGTGTAACTAATCGGGATAGTCCACTTTGGGGGTAAACAGGAAAATAAAACTTGTAGAAAATCTTACCTAAATCACTGCTTCAGTGTTACTTATCCATACGATATATAATAAGTACAATATGATAAATATACTTTCTCAAGCTCGATATTCAGGTTATAAGAACATACATTTTGATATTTCATTGAAACCATCACCATTCAATAGAAAATACATTCCGAAGGAAATGCGCGAATATTTAACCGTGACGTTTGGCGCGAAATAATGTATCGTGACCAACCTTTCGTAGTAGACAAATGGTCTGATGCAGAAGTATATAGAAGTGCAGAAAAAGATTACATGGACATGCCTGTATATGGAATTACATGAAATAAAAAGTTGAATACATAAAGAATAAAAGAAAGTAAACAGTATCATCAGAGAATGGCTAAAGATATGAATATGAAACTTGCTGAGGTGATAGAGCATCAAATGTAGATATGGTGATTGACCATTATTTTTCGTCGTTCCTACTTCCGGTCGCAAACGGAAGTGAATTCAAAAATGTTAAATTTGCAACTTTTTGTTTTTCAATATTTTTCTTTGGGATTTACAGGGTAAATAGAGAGTCTTCTGGGAGTTTTATGCATATTTTCATCTTTTTGATTGAAAAAGTTTGCAGAGATTTTTATAAAATTCACTTCCGGTCGAGTGTTTACCTGTCCTCAAAATAAGAATTTGTTCTAACAATATTGCTCGGCAACAAGAAACGACTGAAGTCTGAAACTTTCAGGTCTGATAGTCAGTCATCAGTTTATTTGAATCGTGAGAAAATCTTG